TACACAAACCCTACACAAACCCTACACAAACCCTACACAAACCCTACACAAACCCTACACAAACCCTACACAAACCCTACACAAACCCTACACAAACCCTACACAAACCCTACACAAACCCTACACAAACCCTACACAAACCCTACACCCTGCTCTTTCTACCAGCTTAACCCTTACACTTACCCAAAGCGCTTGCTTCCAACGCCAAAAGCGCTTAAAAAAACACAAACGTGTACAAGTGAAAAGTACAAGTTTCAAGCCCAAGTACAAGTTAAAAGCACTAGTTAGAAGCACTAGTCTAAAGTACAAGTTAAAACACTAGTCTAAAGTACAAGTTAAAAGCACAGAAAACAAGTTAAAAGTACAAGTTTGAGACACAAAACAAAAACACAAGCTAAGAGCACAAGTTAAGAGCACAAGTTCAGAGCACAAGCTAAAAGCACAAGCTAAAAGCACAAGTTAAAAGCACAAAACACAAGTTAAAAGTACAAGTTTGAAGCACAGAATAATTAAAGCACCATTTAAGAGCACAAAGTACAGGCACCAGTTAAAAGCACAAGTTAAAAGTACAAAAAACAGGTTAAAAGTACAAGTTTGGAGTACAAGTTTGAAGTACAAGATAAAGGCACAAGTTAAACGCATAAAAAACAGATTAAAAGTACAGGTCTGAGGCACAAGTTAAAAGCGCAAGATAAAAGCATAAGTTAAGAGTACAAAGTACAAGCACAAGTTATAAGCACAAGTTGAAAGCGCACTAAAAACAAGTTAAAAGTACAAGCACAAGTTAAAAGCACAAAAAACAAGTTAAAAGTACAAGTTTGGAGTACAAGATAGAGACACAAGTTAAAAGCACAGGTTAGAAGTACAAAGAACAAGTTAAAAGTACAAAGAACAAGTTAAAAGTACAAGTTTAAAGAGTTAAAAGTACAAGTTTAAAGAGTTAAAACATAATTCCAAAGTACAAAGCAGAAGAACTTGTATGGTACAAAGTACAGTGTCAAATCCTCAATTATATATTAGAGTACAAAGTACAGGTGTACACTCAAACCCGGAGAGTACGCTTTAGAACCACCAGTTAGATGTAGTATTTAAGCATAGAAGGTAACCATTAAAGCCTTGTATGAACAGGTAGGGAAAGAGTAGAAGGAAAACTCATACAAAAGTTGAGAAAAACAAAGCTGACAAATATGTTAAAACGAAGGCTTAAACAAAGCCGAAACAAATTGAAAAAGAGGCCGATCAAGTATAAGAGTACAGCACGTGTGAAGACAAAAAAACAGAGTCGACAGAGCATTATTGGTTGTTTTACAAACCAATTTCCAAGACTTTTGGTAAAACATCAATTTAATTCTCTTAGCGTGTAAAGTGTGCTTACGTAAGGCCTGATGTAATTTACAATAATATTTGCGAAAATCAATTTAATTCTCTTAAGATCTCAGACACACAAACCCCTCGACTTTTAATGTCACCTGATACATTTTTGAATGGATGACTAACCAAAGTCAGACACACAAACCCCTCGACTTTTAATGTCACGTGATACATTGTTGAATGGATGACTAACCAAAGTCCGCTTACATGCCAAACCCGGGGGCTCGTAGAGGCACCCCATACAAAAAGCGCGACATACAACAAACCCGGCCAAAATCATGGCAAATCAATTCTAATTCAAAAAATAAAAACATTTGCCGTATAATCCAAGCTCAATAAACCCGCCATACTATTCAAAAATCTGCAGAAAGGGCTGGAAAGTGGAAATCCCGGATTCCCACTTGCGCCATGTGGGAATCGAAGGCAAGCGGCGCAATGTCTTAACCGCGAGTCCCATAGACACCAAGTGGGAATACCGGAGTTTCCGGCATTCCGACATGCTCTGGTACTGTGTGTCCGCTTACATGCCAAACCCGGGGGCTCGTAGAGGCGCTTACAAGGCCAAAGCCAAACCCGGGGGCTCGTAGAGGCAGCCCATCCAAAACAGCGCTCTACGCTCAAGCGGCCCAAAATGATCGCAAATCGACTCTAATTCAAAAACTAAAATAATCTGCAAATAATAAGAGGTCGATAATACCGCTAGGCAGTCTAAAAATCTGCAGAAAGGGCTGGAAAGTGGAAATCCCCGGATTCCCACTTGCGCCATGTGGGAATCGAAGGCAAGCGGCGCAAACCTTAAGCGCGAGTCCCATACAAAGCAAGTGGGAATACCGGATTTTCCGGCATTCCGACATGCTCTGATACTGTGTGAGTGCAACCTCTTACAGGGCCCTCCAACACACTTCTCACCCGCCCTGCTCTCTGTCCTGCTCTTGCGCTCCCCCCACGCTTTCTTCTCACGCCTCTCCGTACACTGCTCCGTACACTCTTCGCCTCCATCTCCTCTACGCTCCTTGAACCGCGACGTCGACACTGCTTCTTTCACTTCCTTACTTGTCCCTCGCTCGCACGCCGCTTCCTTATCCCTACCAACAACCCCGACGCGCACCGTCCTTGCGTTTCCTCACTCCTCAACCTCGACGCCGACTCTGTCTCTCCTCACTCTTCCGCTTCCTTGCCTCTTACGCTTCCGTTCCCCTACGTATACGCCACTGTTGACTGTCCAAGCTCACATGACTGGACTTCTCCACAAACTCCCGGCTGAGTCCCCCTGATCGCGTCACCTGCACACTCACGCTTTCTTTGCTTCTCGTTTTTGCGCTTCCCTTCACCTACCTCTTTTACGCTTTCTTGATCTTTACGCGCTTGGCACCTGGCTCTTACGCCAAACCCCACCATTAAGGCCTTTACCGGAAACTGCATGCTCACAAGACTGACCACAGCCACCAGTGAGTCCACTATAACGCTTCCAACTCTGCTGTTTGTTTTTTTGATGCGTCTCTATCTTCGCTTCTGAATCGTTTCCCTTGCTTTTTTGCTTACCCAATGCTAACGCTACCTCTCTTTACTCTTGCCTACGGTTCCTCTCAGCTTCCGCACAGCGCTGGAGGCGCTGATCATCATCATCGCCAAATTCGCCCATACACTCCGCCCAGCACTGCGGCGGCATTTACACCAAGTCTGTCCTTGTTTTCACTGTCCTGTCCCTGTCCTCCATATACAAAGCTCTTCTGCTTCCTTGTCATTTCGAATAGTCAATCAATAAAATACAATTATATGATAATAATATACTCCCCAGTAGCGTATGCCAGCATGATATCAATAGATAGATGGGCGCGTTTTCCTCTTAGTAATATGTAGTCACTTGCTGTGTAGTGTAGGCTAGCACCTTAAGCGTAGCTCCTGCTGCGATGCTCCCTCCTAACTCTGATATGATTGTTGGCTCCTCCAGCACAGCAAAGGCGTTGCGACACCTGAGACAAGGTTGTATGGCCTGGGAGTCCGGAAGGAATTCTGCTTAATTGAAAGTGTCTAATATTGCTCGTTTAACGCTATCGAATATATAATAGCCATATCATGAAGTAGCTGATCGTAGCCTCTATTGATCACGTTACAAAATAACTATATGAAAACCAGAACATCAAGTATAACAAAAATATCCTCTTAGTTCAGCGAAAACGTCATTTTCTTCACTTTGGCGGGCACTTTGATGATCTTTTGATCTCCATCAGAAAGAATTTCCACGTCAGTATTGTCAGACGTGGCGACATTAACACATACGATCTTAATATTCCAATCTTCAGACATTTTCCCTTCGCAGACCTCAACGTTCAGCTTTGCCATAGGTACCGATCCAGTGACTTCAACATCAATGACTACTTTGTCAGGTCCGTTGACGTTCTTGTAGTTTGCGATCGGGATCTGCTTCTTCACTGGTTCAGAGGCATTGATCAGAAGAGTTATACCACTGGCCCAATCATATTCAACCTGCTCATCGCTCTTACCAAATGCAAGAACCCCACCAGGTCTCAAAAGTGCAGGGAGAGAAAGGAAGTCATGCTTCTCAGTGTGATAACGTCCTCCCTCGCGCAACTTTCCGCCATCCAGCAAGCCGTACCATTTGCCAGTATTCGTCTCGGTACGAGGCACATAATAGGTTACCGTACCCTTGTGATTGAAGACTGGTGCGACAAGGATCTCAGACCCAAAGAAATACTGCGTATCCAAACTCCAGACAACTGGATCATCTGGGAACTCCATGAAAGTATTTCGCATCATTGAAATACCACTCCGATGAGCTTGAAGAGCCTGTAGAATGATGTAAGGCATGAGGGTGTGTTTGAACTCAACAAAGCGTTTCAAAACAACGTCCGATTCGCCCGAAGGATCCAGAACCCAGGGAACGCGGTAGGTCCCGCTTCCGTGAAGTCGAGAGTGTGAAGATAGAAGTCCGAATGCGATCCAACGTTTGTAGAGAACTGGATCTGGCTTCCCCTCAAAGCCGCCGATATCATGGGCCCAGAATCCAAACGCAGCAACAGATAGCGAAAGACCGCCGCGCAAGGACTCGGCCATAGCTCCAAATGTAGACTGAGGATCACCGCCCCAATGAACGGGGAACCTTTGTCCACCGGCGGTTGCAGAGCGAGCAAAAAGGCACGCTTTCCCATGACCAAGTTTCTTCTCGATAATTTCGAACGTCACCTTGTTGTAGAGGAATGTATAATAGTTGTGCATTTTCTCGGGATCCGAGCCATCATAGTAGACAGCATCGCCAACAGGGATACGCTCGCCAAAGTCTGTTTTGAATGCGTGAACTCCCAGATCAATGAGAGCGGATATTTTAGACTGGAACCACTTGCAGGCCGCGGGATTGGTAAAGTCCACAAAGGCCTGCCCGGCTTGCCAAAAGTCATGTTGCCAAACGCTCCCGTCGGTACGTTTGATAAAATAACCCTTCTCCTTGCCTTCCTTGAAGAGAGCGGACTCTTGAGCCACGTACGGGTTGATCCAGACGCAAACGTGGGCTCCGCGGTTAGCTAAGGCCTTCATATCGGCTGCTGGGTCCGGGAACAGCTCGCTATCAAACTCAAAGTCACACCACTGGAATCGTTTCATCCAAAAGCAATCGTAATGGAAAACTGACACTTTGATGCCGCGTTCAGTCATTCCGTCAACAAAACTGAGGACTGTGTCCTTGTCGTACGTGGTAGTAAAGCTAGTGCTCAGCCAAAGTCCGAAACTGTAGGTTGGAGGCAACGCTGGCTTTCCAGTCAAGAGTGCATACCTCTCCACAACCTGTTTAGGACTGGGGCCATAAATGAGATAGGCAGAGAGCTTCTCGCCAGGAAGAGAGATGTTGACACGGACGTTGCGCTCAGACTGAATCTCATACTGCACAAGGCCTGGAGACGGGATGAAAACTCCGTATCCTTTCGACGTCATGTAGAATGGGATGTTTTTGTATGCAATGTCTGAGGTTGTTCCACCGTCTTCGTTCCACATCTCGACGTACTATAGGATAGTTAGTACCAATCGCGAGACAGTATCAAATGCTGCAGAGCTCTTACCTGGCCATTCTTCAAAAGAGGTCCGAATCTTTCACCCAGGCCGTAAATCTTTTCGTTGACATCGACGTCAAACTGGTAAGTAACATAGCGCTCGCCTCGAAAAGGATCCATGTAGCTTTGTTTGGCTCTGACATTGTTGCCGATACGGATGTAACCAACAGATCGGAAGCCCAGCTGTGTCACTAGAGTAGAGTCGCCGTCCTTGTCCGGAGCCGTGAAAGACAGGTTGAAAGACGCCGGGCGGGTATCAAGAGTAGCGGTGAGATCTCCAGAAACCAACGTAGCCGACTCGGCGCTCTCGACGACTTTGGGAGTGAAGTCGGGCTTGCCATCGGGGAAGATCTCAAACTCAGGGCCAGACTCGGCGGATTTATGGCCGGCGTGGTGGACGGTTGAAAGGTGAACGATGCCTTCAGCGGGAGACGAGATCGTATGAGACAGAGTCGAGGTGTTGAGGGTATCTCCGCGACGGACGATGGGTTTGGCGGCCTTGGGTTTGAAAGTCAGTAACGAGAAGAAGATGAGAGCAAATGAAGGAAGACGCTCACAGTAAGGGCGTAGATCTGATTGGGTTCCACGACAGTCTTGACTACTTCAGACGCCCAGTCAATGACAGTGTCGGGAGTGGGCTCCCACATTCCTTGGGAAATTCGGACCATTCTGCTGACGGGTTGAGAAGCGGATGAGAACGAGGTGGTTGTCGAGGCAGGTCCCAGGAAGACAGCCCGGGATATAAGGAGTCTTGCAATCTGACGACTGATTTATCCAGTGGGTAAATGGTGTTCTTGCCGGATAACATTTGGAAGCGCATCCGCCTGAGAGCCAGAAGGAAAAGCGGGCCGGCGATCCGGCCGCGGATTACGCTGGGGGCTACAGAAATTTGCGGGGAAGAGGACGGTTAAAATAGTGCAGGGCGCGGCTAAAGAGGTCGATCGAGGGCGAATTAGGTTTGCAGGTGCCGGGGTCCCCACAAAGGGCGCCGCATTGTTTGTTTGGCCCTAAAAATGGGTGAACCATAGAGTTTTATCACTTACACACGAGCATTAGCGCTCCTCCGGTTTTATATATCTTTGTCTTCGCCTGCCTGAAAATGTAGAGGCCTAACATTGCTCTGTTACTGCTCTACATATCCTCCTCTTCAATTCTCCATCATGATCGCCGACTTTGACGTTGAGAAAGTCATCGAGCAGCTCACCACCGACGAGAAAATCGCCCTCCTCTCTGGTCAGTGCTCTCTAGCGATTCCCACTAATGAAATTATCTTCATGATGTTAACATGCACACCCCGTCTTTAGGCGCCGATAACTGGCATACTTTCAAAGTCCCCCGTCTTGGGGTGCCTGCCATCCGCGTTACTGATGGTCCAAACGGCGTACGAGGAACGCGTTTCTTCAACGGTACTGCAGCTGCCTGTTTTCCCTGTGGGACCGCGCTCGCCTCTACTTGGAACACAGACCTGCTGGAGAAAGGTGGCGTCTTGATGGGGCGTGAAGCGATTGCAAAGAGTGCGCATGTCATTCTTGGTCCTACCGTCAACATTCAGCGCGGCCCGCTCGGAGGCAGAGGCTTTGAGAGTTTCTCCGAAGACCCTCTGCTTTCGGGTCTTTGTGCTTCTGCTATTATCAATGGCATCCAGCGTACTGGCGTTGTTGCGACAATCAAGCACTTTGTGAACAACGATCAAGAGCACGAGCGCAAGGCAGTCAACGTCATTCTTTCCCAGCGCGCGCTGCGTGAGATCTATCTCATGCCGTTCCAGATTGCAATTTCCAATTCGAATCCTGGTGCGGTTATGTCTTCCTACAACAAGGTCAACGGATGTCATGTCAGCCACAACCCCTATCTTCTCGATGACATCCTTCGCAAAGAATGGAAGTACGACGGTCTGATCATGAGCGATTGGCATGGTGTTTACTCAGTCGCAGATTCCATCAACGCTGGTCTAGATCTCGAGATGCCAGGTCCTGCGCTGTTCCGGGGTGACTTGGTCAATCGGGATCTCAATGCTAGAACGGTTACTATGCGTACAATTGACGAGCGCGCCCGCAACGTTTTGAATTTAGTAAAGCGCGTCCAAGTGCTTGATATCGAACCTGAAGGACCTGAATCAACGCGCAACAATACTCCCGAAACGGCAGCCCTTCTCCGTCAGATCGCACAAGAGTCTATCGTGGTTCTCAAAAACGAAAACTCTTTGCTGCCTCTGAGCAAGACGAAGACGACGGCTGTCATTGGACCCAATGCCAAGGTTGCGAGGTTCTGTGGTGGAGGCTCGGCTTCTCTTGAGCCTTACTATGCGGTCACTCCGTATGATGGGATAGCAGAAAAGCTCAAATTGGAGAAGCCGACATATGTCGAGGGGGCCCCTGTCTACAAGTCAATTCCTCCGCTGGGAAAGCACAACTGCAAAACACCGTCAGGACAGCCAGGGCTCCGCTTCCGTTCTTATAGAGAGCCCGATTCCGTTAAAGATCGGAAGCCCGTCGATGAGCGCACTCTAGCAAGCGGAGACGTATTCTTGAGTGACTACGAGCACCCTTCGATCATTGACCTTCGCGTCTTTTATGCAGAGTTCATCGGCATATTTACTCCTGAAGAGTCTGGTGAATACGAGTTCGGGCTAGCCGTCTACGGAACCGCAAAGCTTTACATTGACGACGAGCTTTTTATCGACAACGCGACAAAGCAGATTCAAGGCTCAGCATTTTTTGGCTACAGTACTCGCGAAGAGATAAAGAGAACTGAGCTTATTGGCGGGAAGTCATACACTATTCGCGTCGACTTCGGTAGCGCGATGAGTAGCACTCTGCCATCAATCACTGGCGACGTCCCTGGAGGAGGGCTCAAACTTGGTGTCGTCAAGGTGAATGACCCGAACATTGAAATTCAGAAAGCCATAGAGGCTGCTGCTGATGCCGATCAAGTTGTGGTATGTATCGGCCTCAATGGTGAGTTTGAGTCTGAAGGATTCGATCGTCCAGACATGCTTCTTCCTGGCAATACCGACAAGCTGGTCTCGGCGGTGCTGGCTGCAAACCCTAATACGGTGGTCGTTGTCCAGTCTGGATGCCCAGTGGAGATGCCCTGGGCAAAGGAGGCTAGAAGCATAGTGCAGGCATGGTATGGAGGCAACGAAACAGGAAGCTCGATTGCAGATATCATTTTCGGAGACGCAAACCCTTCGGGAAAGCTTTCTCTCTCGTTTCCTGCGCACAACGAGGATAATCCTACATATCTCAGCTTCCGTTCGGATCGCGGACGAGTGTTGTATGGCGAGGATGTTTATGTCGGATACCGCTACTATGAAACAGCCAAGAAATCTGTCTTGTTTCCGTTTGGTCATGGCCTTTCTTACTCTGATTTCAAGTTCTCTGATCTGACCGTCGCCATAGATGGCGAGGATGTTGTCGTTTCTCTCACTGTGACAAACTGCAAGGGTCCTGAAGGATCCGCAGTCGTTCAAGTTTACGTTAGCCAGCAGCATGCGACTATCAGTCGTCCTCTCAAAGAGCTGAAGGGATTCGCCAAGGTCTTTGTAAAGGCTGGGGAGTCAGAGGCTGCCAAGATCAAGTTCTCAGTTAAGAGCGCTACGTCATTCTTTGATGAGATTGAAGATAAGTGGATCAGTGAGAAGGATACGTACACGGTCCATGTGGGAGATAGTAGTGCGAGCATTCAGCTTACTGGCGAGTTTAGCACTGAAAAGACGCTGTATTGGTCTGGGCTGTGAGTTTAGAATTTGGTTTATTAGCAATAGAGTATGTTTCAGCCATAATAAAGATCTGTGCATCGGTAAAGTCATCCGTTTGGTACAAAGTGTATTTAAAGGTAACCTGTGTACGGCTACACATATATTATTATTACAGAGATGGCAAGGAGGCAAAGTCAGATATAATTTTAAGTCGACAGACATAACTCTCAATCAATCAGGAAAGCTGGAACACATAAAATCACCACAAGAAACAACTTCCCCGATTCACATCTTGTGAAGATGGCTATTCTTCGACCACTTTCTGACTTTCTTTCCGTAAAAGTAGAGAGGGATGCCGGGTAGCATGACAGCGATGTTGAGTGCGAGAATGGTGATGATCGGAGGTACAAAGCCACTGCTGAGAATCCAAGATGTCAAGAACTTGGACACACCATAGCCCCATAAATTTTTGTTGATTGTCACGTTCAGAAGGATATCACCTGCAGCAGGTTTGTAACTGTCGATGGCATAGGTCAGGGCGATGGTAGGTAGGGACGCGGTTTGCGCGCCAAGGAAAGCGTAGCCGACGATGACGATAACTTCCCATCTCCATTGATTCTCGTAGCCAACAGCGACTATTGTGCTACCAACGATTAGTAGAAGCGTATAGGGAATGATTGTTGGGAGACGCATTTCCGGCTCACGAATGCCGTTGTTGCGAGTGGTCGCTCTCATAGAGAGCCAATCTGATAGAGGACCGGAGGTAACTAGGCCGAAGCACGCGCCAACCCAGGTACCAAAGTTGAGATAACCGATTTGGCCTGCGGTCATATTATAGGGCTCAGCGCTGAACACTTGCGCGGCAGTGAGGTTGACGACCAAGAACGAGGAGGCTGAAAAGGAATAGACAAATGCGGCCCACTCAACAATCGGATATGCGAAAAGTTCAAACGGCACGAGAATTAATCGCTTGATGTCTTCATCATAACCGCGGGCGACTTTAGGGTAGAAAGAGAACTGATCACGGCAGGGTTTTCCTTTGCCTAGGTAAGTGTCGTGATGCTCAATGGCTGCAGGGTCGGCGCTTCTAGCTGACTCGTCAACTGGTGAAGGAAAGTCCTCTTTGTTGGGCGCATCCATAACGTCAACCTCTGTCTTGTTGTTTGACGGGTTCTGCGAGCGCTGTTCGTCGCTGCTGGCCGGCCCCGAAGCTTTTTCTCCGCCTGTATAGAAATCATCGGGAGCGTTCCGGTTCCACTTTGTTTCAGGAACGATCATTAAGAAGACCAGCAAAAAGGCGTAGAGCGCGGTGTTGAGCCACCAGAAAGAGCGCCAGCCGTAAAGCTCAGTCATGCGACCAGCGACGGTGGGTCCGATCATGAGCATGCCCATGTAGCCCCACAAGTAGATTCCCATGTATCTTCCACGATCATGAAGAAAAATGACATCGGCAATCATCAGAGGTCCAAAGGTCTCAGATGGTCCTGCGGCGACACCGTGTACAGCAGAAGCACCGATGAAGGACTGGTAGCTGGTAGCACGAGCACGCCAGATATTGGCACCGATTCCGAGCAGAGTTGAGAGAAGAAGGGCGGGGCGACGGCCGAAGCGGGTTGCGATGGGGATCCAAAGGAAGTTCGAGAAGCCAAGGACGAGAATACAGACTCCAGACTAAACAGCCCGATGATGTCAGCCAGCCAAGATCAAGAATGATTGGGATGAGGAGATACATACAAACTGGAGGACGTCTGCAAGAGAGCGGTCCCACTCTTCCATATAGTAGTCGACCTGTGGACTGATGGAAAGAGGGCCGAAAGCGCTAATCATGGTGACGAGCATGACGCCGACGACGGTGATGAGCTTCCAGAAGATGGTCCAGTTGAGAGGGTCGTTCGGGTGGTTGTGAGGCTGGGGGACGAGGACTTGACCGTTACTTCCACGAATGAATCGCACATCGGGCACTAAAGAACATAGATATGTCAGAGATCAGGAGAATAGTGCATCAAGGGAAGATGGAGGGGGTAGGACATACGGTCGCGCATGATCTCAGTTCCCGGGATCAGCTCAGCGTTGTAGAGCTCGGCTAGCTCGCGCTGCTCGAGCTCGAGCTCTTCTTCGTGCGAGAAACCGGTGGCCATATTCGTTGCAGGAGGTGGAGGTGATGCCGAGGAACAAGAGATCGTGAGAAGAGGGAGGAGGGCGAGGTATTATAGAAGAGAAGCGCAAGAGTAAAACTCCGGCGGAGAGGCGGAAAGAAAGAGGAGTAAACGGAAGCAGTAGCGATATTGAACGCGGGGAAGATAATATTATGGAGTATGAAACGGGTTGTTCCGGTATTTTGCTATTACCACAGAGGCACGCCAGCCAAGGATATAGATGAGAACAATATATATTCGACGGAAACAGATGACAGAAACAGGGAACATAACAGACAGTAACTGGCGACAGGATCATCGTCGATTCCTCTTTTGATCGTGCTGCTGCTGCCGCTGCACATAATTAATTTGGCTCTTTTCTAAGACAAAGCAAAAGGGCAGAAAGTGTTGTTGATCCCGGTTTGAGTTTGGCTGCTCAGGGTAACCTGCTCCATTGTTTCCTATTCGAGAACTCCCAGCAGTCCCGTGCCATTTGCTTTCCGTTGCTTATAACAAGAATAGATAATATTACTATGCTTCCGTCTCGGGGTGGGTGCCTGACATTATAATGCCCCTCCTTCTTTCAAGTTTGCTACCTCGATCTGATCGAGCCATCGCATGCCAAGATCCTCTCCATCGCCATCTCGTCAGAAGATACTCGACTATTTCTACTGGATCAATGACTGACTGCTAGCAAATTTATTACATAATGTCTTACTAACCACGAATAGGTGGGCAGCCAGGGCCCAACTCACATCTGCGTGATCTCAGTCACGATATTGTGACTGCATCATCCGCGCGGGCCGTCCGCGCCGAGTTTGCCGGTGTCTGTTCTTCCTCGACGCGCGACTTTTAATCCACGCGCGTGCCACCTGCTCATCGACGTCCTTCCATGCTCCTACGTGCACATCAACCATTTATATATAACCATTACATCTTTCACGCGTCTTTTCTTGCTCGTCACTCGCTCTTACTAAACACTCTTTCCAATAATGGCTACTCGAAGCATTATCCGCTCTATCAAAAACGTATCTAATGGATACTCCCAGGCTCAGGTTAAAGTCCGTCGCGGTATGTATCTTCCACAGTCACCGTCTTTCCTTCTTAGTGCTCTATAGAACTCATACTCATCTTTCTACTTAACTCAGCTACCAGTAACGACAACTGGGGCCCCGACGCCTCCGATCTTGACGACATCGCGCTCATGACCTTCAACATTATGGACTTCTACGACATTATGGAAATGCTTGACAAAAGACTCAATGACAAGGGCAAAAACTGGCGTCACGTTTTGAAGGTAAGCTCTCTCAAATTTATAATGTCTAATTATAGATTGGAAACTAATCAAAACTACTCTACCAGGCCTTGGTTGTTCTTGATTATGCCCTTCATTTCGGCGCAGAAAACGTCGTTCGCTGGACTAAAGATAATATCTACGTTATCAAGACCCTACGCGAATTCGCGTACATCGACGAAATCGACAATGACTGCGGTATAAACAGTATGTTCCTAACCTTAGCTTCCTGTCGAGATAACTCCACTAACCTAGCTTATAGTTCGCCTGAAATCAATCGAGCTCGTCAAATTCCTCAAAGACGACGAGCGTATCCGCTACGAACGCGCCCACAGCCGTAAATTCAGATCAAAAATCATTCGACAAGGACATGGCTACTTTGATGCGGCTTCTGCAAAGCGCATGCCTGTCCTCGTTACTTCAGAGGACGACCCATCGATGGCCAGACTGTTCAGAAACTCGGAAGACGATGAGTACAATAGTCGCCGACCAATTGATGCAGAATACGATTCCGAGTCGACCGATAACGAGAGTCGACACGGACAGCGACGCCGCCGCCGTGCATATACGAATCCTACGCCGCAGAAACACGATCAAGAAGATCTCGATGAGATACGAGAGTCACTCGAATCACGCGCGGCGGCGAAGAAAGAAGCTGAGCGTTCTCAGCGTCGTGCCCGGGCTCTCTCGTCAGCTGCAGCATTGTCTCCTCATCCTGAAGAGCACACGCAATTTGGTGCCGTGCGAGTCAACCAGCAACCCGAACAGCAGCAGCCGATTGCTATCCAGGCCTTGCAAACTCAGTCTACCCAGGTCCATTCTCCGTTGACCGTCCCCACTGATTACACCAGAGCTGGATTTCCTACAACTCTGCAACCTCAGGCAACCGGCATGGTCTTCCAGCCTAATTCCCAGCAGATTTACGTGGCTCAATCTGCTCAATTCCAGCAGCCACAGGCGACCGGCTTCATATCATACCAGAACACTGGTATGCTGACCCCCGTCAGCAACTCTGGATCTCAACCACTCAGCCAGCAGAGCTCTACATCACAGCAATTCTTTATGGCTCCTCAGCAGCAAGTACCTGCAATGACGGGACAGGTGCAGGGTGCATATTACCAACAGACCTTGATGCCTCAGCAGACTGGTGTCTACTATTACCCGCAAATTTCAGCCACAGGATTCTAATAGACGTCTGCTGATAACTAATTATCTTCTGGGTCAACTCAATCTTCTTTTCTTTAATTTTTGGATTTTAATAACTAATTACGAGGTGATGCAATGTGATGATACGTATTATGTGGTGTTTGTGGTTTAAATTTTGGGTGTATCTATATCGTTTTTGTATATATATCTGCAGTGTATAATTCCATATCTCTATAGAATTCTATATTTGTTGATAATCGGTAATATAATCTTCAGTGGCTTCCATATAAGACAATAAGACATTGACTGTCAAGCTCTATTCTAACTCGAAACTCCCCACTTTCTCAACAATAAACAATTACCAAAAACAAGCCAAAACAAAGTCCCTAAAAGAGAGCGATCGGAAGCAATAAGGATTGAAATAGCAATAAGAATCAATGAATGACGTCACCAATCGAACTTAGAAAATACATGAAAACAGACAATCGGGAAATGTACAAAAAAACACTATCTAGCAGTGATCTCTATGCTTGCCGGAACGGGTTGTTCCGGCCAGTGGGCTGAGCGGCGAGCGGCGAGCTCACTGAAGGCTGGTACGCGCTCTGAGTTTGCTGCTGTTGCAGCATACCTGTACCCTGCATTGTTTGGAATTGACCAGGGTATGCCGTTTGCTGTTGCTGGATAGACTGCATTGCATTCGGCTGTTGCTGCTGGCTGGAGTATCCTCCGAAGCCCACACCGGTGAAGTCAGATGAAAGCGGCGACGGGCGGTATTGCTGTTGCTGGGAATAACCATAACCTGTGGCCTGTGGTTGTTGCATGCCTGTAGACTGGGGCATCTGCATGCCGGTTGGTTGCTGCATCAGACCTGTCTGCTGCATCTGGACACCAGTCTGCTGCGGATACTGCTGCAGACCTGTCGGTTGCTGGAATTGTTGCTGGTAGCCGGTCTGTAGTTGCTGTTGCTGTTGAGGCTGCTGGTATCCAGTGTACTGCTGGGTCATGCCAGTATACTGAGGAGACACAGCGCCAATCGGGGAGATAGCTCCGACGGGAGAAAACGCGCCGGTGTATTGGGGTGAAGCGCCGGTTTGGATGACAGAGAGGTACTGTTGCTGCTGCAGTTGCTGGGGTTCTTCGAGCTCGATGAGGTTGGGGCCAGAGTCCTGTCGCTGGGTGGTTGGTCTGGCTCCCGAGGATTGGTGTTGCTGATCAGTCCGAGTGACACCGAATCCGATCTCGCCGGATGCCCGAGCGATCCGTCGTTGCTCTTCCCGTCGCGCTGTCTCCTTGCTTTCCTCAATTGCAAGTTTGAGGTCATCTTCTTCACGTCTGTCGACTGTGTTGCGTCGCGATCGACCACCGCTGCGAGAGCTGGGAGTGCTGCGTCCGCTGTCGTCTCGCTCCCGTCGTCGGCGTGAGCCGCCTTCGTATCCGAGCACGTCGTCTGCCTTCGCAAGGCGCTCGCGCATGTGATTGCGGTTAGCTCGTTCAGTACGGATGCGGTCGTCGTCGTGGAGGAGAGCGGTAAGCTCCTTTGCTTTTGTTCGAACTAGTAGATTGTCTGATTAGCTACCGTCTCGTCTTGATTTAGGAACGAGTAGGGGGCTTACTTGTTAGTCCCTGATCGTGATCCTCTTCGTCGATATACTGAAATTCTCGGAGGGTTTTGATGATGTAGAGGTTGTCTTTGGACCATCGGACGACGTTCTCCGAGCCAACATGAAGGCAGTAGTCTAAAAGAATGAGAGCCTGAATGATTCAAAATGCAATTAGAACCAGTATTCCGATAATGTTGCGTACAAGAGAGCTTGCCTTTAGAACGTGACGCCAGTTCTTTCCTTTATCGTTGAGTCGGCGATCAATGATTTCCATGATCTCGAAGAGTTGTTCTCTGGTTTCAGATGGAGTTAGAATGGTCCTTGTAGCTACAAGGATATACCGGAACATACTGGTCGAATGTGAGCTGCGCAATTTCGTCCATCTCGGCGCCACTTGGGCCCCACGCGTCATTACTTGTAGCTATCCGAGGCGTATGTTAGAAATGCTTGGTTGAAGAGAGTGACAAGAGTAGACAAAGGCGGAGTACCATTGCGAACTTTGACCTGGGCGGAGGTGTATCCGCTGGTTACGTTCTTGATCGAACGAACAATTGACTTCGACATGACTGTATGCTCGCAGACAGACGGTTCTGTCTAGAGAAAGAAGAAAAAGGGAAAGGGAAAGAAAGAAGCAGTAATAGCGAGAGAGCGTATTGTGATCCGGATAAGAAATTGGTTGATGATTTGGAGCGAACCGAGAGTGGTTGGCGCCGCCCGGCGGCAAGTCTAAGCCTCGGTCTAGTCAGCGGTTGTGGCATAACTGTATAATATCCAGCGCAGTTACTTTGTTGGCAACGTCATAGCCCGGGGAGTCCGCTCCATTCGGAAACAGACAATCTCGTCGTCTCTTGTCACTTCTTCCGTTCCCTCCGTTCCTGTTCTTCTTTGCTACAAGACTTTATCTGTCTGACTACTGCTGGGCACAGCTGTAAGTATCACTAATCTGAGCTTCAAATGTTCTGCTGTATTCAGCTGCATATCATCATCCGGTAGTCTTATGCATACTAACTCTTATCGGCTCTGTATAATAGCTACATCAGTCCTCGAAGCCAAAATGTCAAAATCAATCATAAGGTCAATCAAGAACGTCACGATCGGGTACTCGGTCAACCAGGTCAAAGTTCGGAATGGTTCGTTCACCTTTCGTACTCTGATCCACCGCAGCTTGATCCGGCTAACCTGTCACTTCTGTAGCAACCAGCAATGATCCTTGGGGTCCCAACTCTACCGAGATGGAAGAAATCGCCCAGCTGACTTTCGATTTGTATGTACCTTTGTCTACATTTTTTAGGTATCTGTGCTTGATCTAATGTTGGGGTATAGAACGGCGTTTCACGAGATCATGGAAATGGTTGACCGTCGTCTCAACGACAAGGGCAAGAATTGGCGGCATGTGCTAAAGGTATGAATTGCTTGATCGCAAGGTTCGCAACGTTCCAGGACTGACTTGAGACTAGGCTTTGGTTCTTCTGGATTACCTGATCCATTCTGGGTCTGAAAACGTCGTCGTATGGGCCAAGGAGAATATCTACCTGATCCGAACGCTCCGGGAATTTCTCTACGTCGACGAAGAAAATAAGGATCAGGGCGCGAATGGTATGAGATGTCAGTGCTACTGTGGTCTTTTTACGGCTAACGTCAGAATAAATTTTAGTGCGCGCCAAGGCCAAAGATCTTACCGGTCTTTTGAACGACGACGAGAGAATACGAGCTGAACGATCCAACAGGAGTCTGATGCACAGCCGAATCAACAGCGGTCGGATTGCAGACGAAGTCCCTGAAAGACTAGGCAGGATTATGCCTACCCAGCAGTCGGAGAGACTCGACCCTTACGGTATTGGTGTCGATGCCCGATCGTCAGCGATCGATGCCAGCGCGGATGAGACCCAACTTGATCCCGAACTGAGACAGGCGATTGCTGAGAGCAAGCTGACTGCTGCAGAGGAGGAGTCTAGACGTCGCGAGCGGGAGACAATTCCAGATGAAGACGAAGATCTGGCGCGAGCGTTGAAGCTGAGCGAAGAAGAGGCTCGTCGGAAACAGCAGCAGGAGTACTACGAGACGCAGAGACTATCTGGACAGTTTCATCAACCCCAGCCTACTTCACCTCTGAAGCTCCAGAGCACGGGCGATTATCAGTCTCCTTTCCAAAGTCCGTTCCATACTGGACAACAGCAGTCCCAGCAGCAACCGCAGGCGGCAAATAATACCGATCTGCTTGTTGATATATTCGGACCGACCCCTGCTGCTGCCTCCACAACATCTCCTGCACCAGCCACTAGCACTTACCCGCAGTATTCTCAGCCTGCAAGTCAGACCACGTTTGGAGCCGTCTATCCTCAAACTACTGGGTCGAATTTCTATAATTCTCCGCCGACATCGACGGCGCCGACGTTCGGCGACCAGACACATTCCAACTCTCCGTTTGCATCAAGCTCTCCATTTGCGCAGCCAGCGACGACCTCGACTACTTCTCCGTTTGCCCAGCCAGCTACAAGCTCAACTACTTCTCCATTTGCCCAGCCAGCTACAAGCTCGACTTCTTCCCCGTTTGCAAATCCAGCTAGCAGCAACGCTGCAACTTCATCTCCATTCGCTGCCAGATTTTCAAACCCAGTCAGCAGTAGTGCTGCGACCTCATCCCCATTTGGTGTCAGCTCCGGAACGAATTCACCGTTTTCGCAGCCGCAGCAATATCCTCAGCAATCATCAAATTCGCCGTTCAAAAACACCTCGAGCAACTCGCCATTCTCCACTGCGCAGCCGGCGTCGACGAGTTCTGCGTTCCAGTTTCAGCAGACACCGACATCGCCTGCTTTTAAGCCAACCACTCCGTTCAACACGACCCAGCCTGTGCAGTCGCATACCACTGGTAACTTCAACGGCAGCAGTGACGCTAGCAAATCGCCTTTTGCTGATTACTCCTCCCCCAGCCTCAGTTCTCGCAGCCCACTGGACAGTATTCGCAGCCCACCAATACTGGCTACCAGCCCCCCTCGCAACGGTTCCAGTATTCCCAGCCCACCGGATACAACAATTTTTCTGCACCTTCCTCTACCGCCCCGCAAACGGGATATGCAGCTGCTCAAACCTCGCAGTCACCCTTCCAAGTCTCATCGTACCCTACAGGTGGACAGCAGCAGCCGACGTCGCCTTTTGCAGCTCAGCATGCAAGCATGACTTCAGACACGCCTACACGATCAAACAATCCGTTTGCGCAGGACTCTTCCTATGGTACTACTGGCAATAGTGCACCGCCGTATGACAATCCCACTGGAAACGGTGGATTTACGCATACACAGAGATCGTCCAACGATTTCAGTCTTCTTTAATTTTGTTTCATAGTAGTTTTTTGTTCTTGTGTGTTTAATGGAGATTGATAAAGTGGGATTTTTGTAACTGTCTGTTTGTTTTTAATATTTGGTCACTTTGTGTATTCTCTTGTTCTATTTGTTGATCTGTAGATGTACTTTTTAATCAATCAGAGAAATGTTGGAGAGAAAAGAATGTGCGCTTGTAACGTATGTCTAGAAGCTCCTTCCTCGGGACCACATTGAGCTGTCAAAATCAGACTCTGGTACCGCAGGCTTCGGGATTAGCGTACAAAGAATATAGTTAGCCGCTTCTTTATAGTATAAAATAGATTGCCAACTCATTTTAATCGTGCACGTGAAACTTGGTTGCATTTCGAAATATATTGGAAGGATGTTAAATAGCAGTGTGGCTAGGGTGTCTGAGGAAGTAAATAAGGAGAACGCAGCTGGACTAGTATGATGGGAGGAGCGAAAGAGAATGTCTGCTGGCTTTGGTAGTTCAACGCATTAATCGCTAGATTTATCTGATATTTAGTCAGAATAAAATAAAAATATCAGGCTCCGCAGTAAGAGTTGGAACTGAATAACAGTCTAATTAATGAGTTTTAACGTCGATCCCTGTAGTTTCGCGCATCAATAGGGTTCCGCGCACTCTCAACCACACTCTATGAAAATAATGATAGCGCAACAAGTTAAATCAATTGAAATCATTTGAAATATTATACAGTGAATATCTTCTTTACAAGCGCAGGAACTATGTCCCGTCCTATTATACTAGCTATAGCGTCGTCCAGTCGACTCAGCGCTCCCTTGCTCTCCGCCCCCTTCACGGCTTTCCACCTGTGGTTGCTCTCGAGCTCTGCTCTCAGTCGCCAAATTCTGTCGTTTCTGTTCTGTAACAGACCCTCCATGCCTGATATTCACAAATTCAAGCCAATTTCGTTCACGCTTTGCATAACACGTGAGCATTAACGCTCTTCGTAGATTCTACAGTCAGCATGCTCGATACTCAGGACCACAGTTCAAGTATCAGATATAAAACAGAAAAAAGGGAGTTTCTTTTTTTTTCTTTCTTGGTTTTACAATACGGTGCCGCCGCGCGCTCTTGATACAACAAATACACAAAACAATCTGCTCTCTGCTAAGAAATATAACAAAACGACACAAAACAAAATCAAAAACAAAAACAAAAACAGAAACAAAGTAGAACAACAAAGCAACATAACAGTACAACAAGCCAGCGCAGCAGCTTGTCAGCATAAATCAGAACAGAACAACGTCAGAGAAGCAGATACAGAAAAGACAGACAGGAAGAGCGCGCATAGAGCGACTGGTGCCAGGATCGGGAAGAATGCATTACGCATACTCTTGAACAAGACCATGAAGCCCTGCTCAAAAGTTATGTGGGACTCTGCGACTCTCGAAATCGCCATACCCACTAAAACCCGACTTCACCCAGAAGGCAGTCATGAACTGCCCCCATATTGGTGGATTGTCAACGTCGCGCTTGAACCACTTGGTCGTGCGGACTCTCTTTAACAACCGTCGCCTCGGGGCTCCCTTGCGACGGCGCAACTTACCAGTGCGTTTGTTAAAGAGACGCGACAACGAAGACGTTTTAAATCCAATGAACAACCTGGCTAAAGAAGAAGCTCATCAGATTGGCCGCCCTGACCAACCGCGTCCACCCTGACCAGGCAGGATCCTCGGCGCGTACATGAGACGGCCACGCAGAGGGACCGGGCCGACAACGGAACTGCAGTTCCTTTGAGCGAGCTCACCCGGTATCTGCGCGGGCAGGTCATAGACCAGACCGCTTGGTCGAGTAAGCTTCTCTCTCCCTTTCTCCTCTCGCATGCATGGCACGACGCCCACTCTTGAGGGTGTGCAACCGCGGAAACAGACCGGAATATGCAACTCCCCTACTTCTCGAGGTCCTGCCACAGAAAGCGCGTCCTACCTGCTAAGGTATATGCCACTCTTAGAGAACGCTACCTGGATATTATGCTACCCTGAAAGGCGCGCTATCTGTTCCAGTCATAGCCGCCCCCATAGAGTGCTACATAGCGTGGTGTAGTTTGCTCTCAGTACGAGAACTCTACCCACGCATAGGCAGTTTCTCAGGAAATGCTCATGGAACAGCGCAGTCTACACTTTGAGAATACTACCACTTCGGTATAGGCTATTCTCTAGAAGTGCTACCTGCGCAGTATAGGCTGCTCTCTGGCGACTTCACGAGGCGCCCTGCATGCGAGAGAAAAGAGAGAGATCAAAGCCTACCTGATGTTCTGCCGTCGAGAGAGAAATCCGGGATGCTGATAATCCCGATCTATTGCTGAAAAATAGATCAAATCGCTGGGGTGAGACAGGAGCCGAGAACCTGTGCCGGGGGAGGGAGAAGAGAAGGGGGAAGAGAGGCGGGCGAGGCGGGCGCGCTGAAATGTGCGGATCGCGGTTCGGGCGGGCGCGTGTCTGATGTAATAGGGTTTCTGGTTTTGGCCGAAAGTAAACATGCACCTGACGCCGCCGCTCGTTTCGTAATTCTTGCCGTTCACGGATGATTACCACGCTCAATCAATCGTTCAAATACGTCTGACGCATTACGTCGCTTTGTATGGTAGTCTATGCACGGTAGAGACAAGTACCTTAGATTGATATTCTCCTCCGTCGCTCGGCAGCAAGCTCAGAAAACAATACGCCTGTTTTGAACGACTAATGTCCTATAAATGCAAAGAAATTATTAAATCCTGCGAAACACACGCTCGATTTGGAAATTACTCCCTACTATTGAGTTGTCCAGACGTCTATGGGATCATGTATATCTGTAAAATCAATAGAATCTATCAAATAATCAATAGAATCTATCAAATTACTAGTCTAACTATCAATAATATCCAATATATATAAGCATTACAAAACACTACAAAACGGCGCAAAACACAAATACTGAAATGATGACGATGCTGATGGCAATGACGATGATGAAAACAAAAACAATTATGCTTGCTGAAGGGAGAGACAAACTGCTAGCAGTGCGAGCAGGGACAAGCGGATGAAAAGAATAAAATTACATGGTTTGGTGGTCATTGGACCCAGTCTTGAGGAGTATGACTAATAACAGATTATATCAAACAAAATGTAGAGACTATATTAGATAAATGTCATCAAAATCACTGTACTTATACATCGCCAGTCTAGATGATGAGAATATGCATCGAGAACAGAATAGTCGTACAATCATGTAAATCGAACGGTCACAATGTTCATGACCTGATTCCTAAACACCCACTCGGCTCGCAGCTCGTTACCGCCTTCCATAGAAAGCAGGATATGGAAGTTGACGCGGTAATAAGGCTTCCCATTCGAGGTGATGCGCTCGAAGCTTGTTTCAGGATCAAACGACGTGAGATCGATATCGAGAGTCGCGATCTTTTGAACGTTGGGCTCGTCAATGAAAAGCGGCAGCTCGTCGTCCTCGCATGTGTAGATCGCGTCAGAGAAGAAGAGGCGCGCGTTAGTGGGCACTGCACGGAAAAATGCGAGCGTGGTGGGCTCGCCAACTTTCATTCGGTCGCCTTTCCGCACGAGAGCGTCGACGGTGTTTTTGCACTTGTAGGTTCCGTCGACGGATTGGGTTCGGTATCGCATTGGGTGGATTGCAGGATCAAACTCCTGCATTGTGGCCATCATATAGTGCCGTCGAGCGATGCGAGAGGTGAGCGTGCTTTCGTAAACGCCGGTGTACACTGCGCCACGAACAATGGCGGCAACCGCATCGACCGGGCGGCGCAGGCGTGAAGCGTAGTGGTTCGGAAGCTGGATGCGGAGTTGGTCGTAGAGGTAGGTCGAGGATCCAAAGCCGCCGACGAGGAGGATGGCTTCGAGAGACTTGTTGAGAGTTTCGACAGACTCGATTTGCTGGCGCACAAGCTGGACAATGCGGGTGATTGTGGGTTCAAATACCGATCGGATCTCATCCATCTGGAAGACAAGGTACTCGTCGATAAAGCCGAGGGTCGGCGCGTTGATGACCTGGCCGATTTCGACCTCGTACTCGAGCTCCTTCTCCGAGAACTTTGCCTTGATCGCGTCAAAGCTGTTGACGCATTTGCGACGGATCTTGAGGTTCCGCATCTTTGTCGCCGCCTGATCTTCGGCTGGACCCAGTCTAGCGAGTTTATTGACGACGAGCAGGGAAAAGGCAGCGTCGATTTCGGTGGAGCCACATGTACCGCCAGTACCCTGAGTGCATTCACGGACAGAGAAAGGATCCATGCTCTCGACTTCGTACGAGATCAAATCGACAGTTCCACCACCGCAGTCCACAACAAGAAAAGCATCGTTAAGCTTCAGGTCCATAACACCTTTTTTAGAGCAGAACACGGCGGCGGCCTCGGGCTCGGTGATGAGCGAGAGCCGTCGGTCGGTTGGGTCTTCAATGAATCCGGCCCGAACAGCAGCCTGGCGCGTGGCAGCCTTGCCAGAGTCGTTCCAGATTGCTGGCACGGTGAGAATGTAGCGTATCTTTTTCTCCTCTTTGCGGTAGAGATCTTCGCCGAATTTCTTGATGAGCTCTTTCGTCATTGCTTCTCTGAGCTTCGTGAGGTAGTCTGACGTGACCTCGATCGCGGTTTTGTTGGCAGGCAGCGCGTGCTTGCGGCCGGCGTCGAGGTAAGTGCCCGAGTTTTGCAAATGGAGTTTGAAGAGTTCAGCCTGTGAGAGAGTTAGGCGCATGCAGTTTGAAGATAAAAAAAGAGTCATACCTTTATAATACCGGGCTTCAATCCTCCGGACAAAGTGACGGCATTCTGTGTGTCAGTGCCCCAGCCGACTACGTCGCCGGCAGTGTTGTAGTAGACCACGGACGGGATTTTGAATCGGGAGTTGTTGGCGAGACCGGGCCATTCGGAGATTGTTTCTTCAACGACGTCGGATTCTTTAGGACCGGTGACATATGCAACTGTTGTGGAAAGATTTTGTGTTAGTTTTCACTGCATGTTAAAAACATAATAGGGAGAAACATAATAGGAGTAGAAGAAGAGGAGAACATACAGGCGATTCCGGAGTTTGTGGTGCCAAAGTCGATGCCGACGATGAGATGAGTGCCGTTACCGCCGCTACGGTTCCATGAGATTCCGTCCGCAAGACCAGGAGGGACTTCGCGCGGGAAATTAGTGGCGGAGGGGTATGTTGCTGTGCTTGTCCGTTGCTGAGGAGACGGTCTGCGGTCTAGTAGGCTTGGAGATGGCGACTGTTGTGGGATTTGCTGCTGCTGCTGCTGTTGCTGCTGCTGCTGCTGCTGTTTTGGTGCGGTGGAAGGAGAATTGAGGGATGAAGTGAGGAAAGGAGAGGGGCGGACGGCGGGAGTGGTAGAGACACTGTTGTGGTCGACGATGACTTTTGTTCTGGTATTCTTTGATTTGTGTGGCAGGAAGTCCTTCAAACCCATTGTGGAGATAGCGCAAGAGAGGACTGGTAGTCAAAGACGAGACGGCTGCGTGTGTGTTCTAGGAAGATATAGCAGAAGAAGAGAAGAAGAAGAAGCGGCGGGCTGAGTCGAGGTAGTTCGAGAAGGAGAAAGGCGGAGAGTTGAAGAGAGAAGCGAGGGGTGGATTAGGAAGCGGCTTTCGCGTACTAAGCTGCTCAGCTGCGTTTTTTTGACTAAAGCTTCTCGAGATGCGGTCTTCAGGGCACTGCGACTGCTCCGTATTCTGCACAAGCAATCAGCAGTGAAGAATAAGATCAGAAGAGAATAACGCGAGAAAGAAGTGGCAAGAAGGGAAAGCAGTATAGGTGATTGGCTATTAAAAGAAGCTGAACAGATTGATTACCTTAGCCACAAAGTAATGCTTATGTTATCACTATATTTTTGGACGGCTGAACGGCGAACTGGGCAACAAGGAATGAGGGTTTGGGGAGGATTCTTATCTCGGTTCCTTTGAGGAAGCTTTTCCGCGCTCTCGAACTCTGCTCTGCGGTTCTTTTGTTGTAGGGTCCGCCCTTGTGGCTGGTGCATCTCCAGGCCCATCGCGTCATGTGACCTCAGATCTCGACTCCCAGATGCGTTTTGCTCAGCCCTGTTCTGCTCCTGCTGAGCCCCGTTTTGACTGCGGATCTGCTTTATTTCTAATGCATAGATTCGTGGTTTAGTCTTTCATCTTTCTCGTTCCCTGCGTCTATTGTCTATTGGTCTATTTTTAGACTGAATCAGGGGACTGCTCGCTTAGTCCCCCAACCTCGCTCCTGATCTTCGCGTAGGGTGCGAGGGCTGTGCATCTCCGCTTTCGCGATCGGACCCTGCGGCAAGGAGGATGTGCTCGCTTTCTGGTTTTGAGAGACTTATTTTCTAAAAAAAGATGCCAGGCGAAAGGTTACTATCGAGCTCCGCCAAGCGTTCAGCTTGGATTTTCCGCTCGGCCATGGATGACGCAATGGTCTTCGCAGGTTTGTTAGTGCTGGTATCAAAGCTGATGCAGTCTTTTTGGTCTCCGGGTAGTCCACGATTCTTGCTTTTGTGGTCTAGAAGTCAAGTGGAATCTTATAGCTTATTCTCAAAGTTGTGTCTTTTTCGCAGCTATTAAACTGCATCTTCAGAAGCCTTAGTGCGGGCGTTAATCCTCCTATAGTTTTGGCTAGCTGTCGTCTACCGCGAATCTTATCTCGATTCCAGAACAGCTCGATATTCTGACTCCGCTGATTGTGCTTTTGAATGTATATGCTTCTGTTTCTTTTGCATGAAGGTTTGCAAGTTTAGTGCTTGTTCGTCTTTTCTTGTTTGGATATTATTTGCCTGATGTCAAGGTTGCAGTGAGGTGTAGGTTCTGTTCGTCGAGGGAATCAATGACAAGCCTCTCCAGCAGTTACAGAGATGAAGGCCTTAGATGGTGGAGTGTACTGTGCTGCAGGTGCTGGTATTGAATAACGAGGACTGAGAATGATTTCACTATATGAAGAAGCCATGTGCACTACTCTCTGTTTCTGTTTCTAGCTGGATGCGCTTAGATAGAGATGAAGTTTACAAAGGACCCTCTATCTTAATCAGATCTAAGTTTAGAGCATGACAATAAGAGTTTGAAAAAGAAATTCGCTGAATTGTTTGTTGTTAAAGTATAGGTTCTTGTTGATGGCTTGCGATGCTAGTATAGTCAGGGTCGACTAGCAAAGTTAAGCAACTCTGGCTGTCGACGAATATTAAGAATTCGCGAGGGATTTCACTGAACATAAATCTGCTGTCGTTGTTAGTAGTATCAATAACAGAGAGTTGACTATATCAGATGATTCTTATTTCAATGTCCTGAACATAGTCATCAACATGAACCTGCAGATAGCGCTGATATTATCATCGGAGCGTAGACAAGAGCTCATATACGCTTGATCGATAGATGCTTTGAGGATTCGAGAGTAGCGAAGAGGCTTAAAGTATAAGCATGAGCATATGTCTTTACAAAGTATGGTGTACGTTTGCGGTTTTAGGTCAAATATTTATCCGACAACAATCACATACAAGCACAGCCGACTCGCGAAGATCGAAAGAGGCAAAACAGGATTCTCGGATCCACATCAGCGGCTGGAGAGATAGATTGGCGGGAGAAGTAGGATATCGGAAGCAGTCAGCCTCAGTGTTAGATTTGGAGCCGGAGCCGTGTCGAGAGATTGGCTTAGCCGTGTCATGGCGTGGAGCCGTGTAATGGCGTTTTGGTCTCGCAACGATTCCCGTTTCCGAGGCTCTCCTTTTGCAGAAGATGAAGATGCGGTTATTAGTGCTATCAGTGCGGTAATGAGGAAATAACCCGGGCGGAAATGAAATTGTGCCATAGTAGGCCGGGTTTGCGGGGCCAGTCTAGGATCTCGCGCTAGTTTATCGGTTCGGTATGTATGACGCCAAAACGTTCGCTAGTGCCTGGACGCAAACCCTGTGGTCGGCGAGGTAGTCGGCGATTTTGAAAAAGAAAAGAAAGCGGAGGAGAAAGAAAGGAATGCGAGCAGCCATCGGGCGACGACACTAATGCTCGCTGCTGCGCGCTGCGTGCTGCTGGGCTACTACGAACGGGCGGCTGCTGGGCTACTACTAACGGGCGGCTGCGAGCTCCGGGTGATGGAAATGGTTTTCAGCTGTGGCTGGGAGGTTGACAGATCAGCAGAGGATCACCAGAGCGGTGCCGTTGAGATTACTTTACATATCGGACTTCAGCCGCCGAGATGATCTATCATCTTGATATCAGAAGCGATGGTTCAGGTTGATAGTCGTTGCAGATTATTCGCATAACTAATAGCCTATTCAATAGCCAAGCTTAGCGTAGCGAAAGGGTTGCTGTAGGGTTTTAGGGTGTCTGTGTCACGTCATCCTTGGGTGATGAAAATATTAAATTAAAGAGGACCCACGTCTCCCGAACGATCTCGCACTATACAATGATACTGCAAAGTACGAATCATGTACGCCAGGTCGTTTTTGCTCGACCAGAGTGCACGTACAGGCTGTTTTCTACGTTTATAGCGCTGTACGGCAGCAATAAGCGGAATGATAACGTAAACGACGAGGAGAAGGCACAGATAGGGGAGGTGCGCCGATGGCTATCGAACCTGAGCGCGAAGAGTGTCCCGCGCGAGAGGTTCGAGAGCAGCTTCTCGCGGTCGAGCGGGCCGGGGGGGCAGAATGTGAATAAGCTGAATACGAAGGCCACGATCCGGATTCGATTGGATGCGCTTGGTGGGTGGATGCCGGCGTATGCGCTGCAAAGGCTGAGAAATGAGGTGGGCACTGCTATTACTACTACATACTGCGCAATTTGCCACAGCCTGGCGGCGAAGAGGCTACTAACGGTAATATTAATTGCAAGAAATCGCGACACATCTCGAAAGAGACGGTGCTGATACAGTCCGATAGCAGCCGCAGCCAGCGCGAGAACCTGGAGGAGTGCTACGAAAAGTTCTGCGAGCTGGTGCGGCAGAGCGTGCATCTGCCGGCGGAGGAGAGCGCGGCCGAGACAGCGGCGCGGGAGGAGAAGTGGGATAAAATGTGAGTTGCCGGACTGAAGCTGATGAGGCGACGACGACTGCTGTTTGTGGGGAAGTGCTAACGCGGTGCGTACTGCTGCAGACGGGGGCGCGCGAACGAGGAGCGCATGCGCGCAAAGAAGCATCGCGGCGAGAAGCTCAGGTCCCGTCGCCGAGGGTGGGACGATTGATTGCTGCTAATCTAACGGTAATAAATTACTTGCTAATCTAACGGTAATAAATTACTTAAGCGCATTGGCAACTTTAGCCGTTCTTTCGGAGGTCGGCGACCTAGTTTAATTAGCACTGCCCCGCTAGCAATAGCGCGAGTACTGCTTCCACGCCGGCTGGCAGACTCTCCAGCTTCTTTGCTACGCCCTGGACGGAGGCGTACCCGGCCCTGCGCCGGCTGCCCGCCGTACGGATACACACGTCTGCTGCTGCGACACCTCCGTCGCGGTCTGCGCGCGATCGCGACCCCGGAGCGCACGCTGGCCGCTGAACACACGGGGTGCGGAGGACCGGCCTGCCGGACTGCAGGCGGATCACACAGATCTATTTCCACCCTCATCTGGCGAGCTCTCTTCTGACCCAGCTCCGCGTGCCCGGCCACAGGAGGCGCAGAGGCCGCCTAGCCACTCCAAGATCAGGCGGAGAGTTCACGGCTAACCTGTTTAGGTTTAACGTCGTACTAGCCGAACAATTAAGCGTCCTGGCACAGCGTGAGCGATGTCTGGGAGTGGAACCCTAGTTCCTTGCGAGAGACCAGAGAAGATAGCTGCGTAGAGAGGCTTAGTTGTTTGCTGCAGGCAGTAGTATGATCAGTCGTAGTATCTGCTTAGCAGTGAGCAATCAAGGCCTCGGGCGACCGACAGCGCGGCAGATCCAGCATTCTCTTCTCTTCTCTCGGCGATCAGCCGCCTCGGGCCTTTGTCTGCGCTAGCCGTTCTCGTCGACACCCCCAAACCGTGCGGCTGGTGCTGGGTGCGGCTGGCGCCCATTGACTGCACCGCCCGCACCGCCTCCTCCGCCGCACGTCTGGCATCGCCCTCGCCGAAGAGTCGTCGACCAGGGCAACACAGCCGGCTCGGTCCTCTTCGGGCTGCTTCTCATTATATTTGGAACCGCGTCTTCTCACAGCCCACGCGGCTCGGTTTATATATTCCCTTCCTCCTCCTCCTCCTCCTCCTCCTCCCTTCTTCTCTCTATCTTCCTCCCTCCTCCTCCCCCCTCCTCCCCATCGCATGGACCCTTTCGCCGCCCTCCTCGACATCCACCAAGACCCTACTTCCACCCCACTCCACTCCCGCGGCCGCTCTCGCTCTGACGCCGGCCTCTTCCAGCCTGACCCTTCCCTCCTCCTCACCACCACTGCCTACCCCTCCGACGACCTCGCCCTCCCCCAGAACCAGCTCTCCGCCGCCTCAATGGCCACCATCTTCTACACCGGCGACGTCGCCCTCGACCTCTCCGCCCACGCCGCCCAGCACGGCCACAGCCATCTCTTCTCGCTCGGCAGCATCGCCCGCCGCGCCCACTCCGTCAGTGTCCTCGACACCCGCTCGCTCTCGCCCTCCATCTCGCCTGCCCTCTCCCGTCTCTCGTTCGACTACGACGAGCTCGTGCCCGAGCTCTTCCCCTCGTCGTCCCAGACAACCGGATTCACCCTCAAAGACGACTACGACATCTTTTCCGAGTCCTTCTCGAACTACTCGCCTACCTCGACCGTCTCCAACCCCGCGCCGTCCTCATGGCAGCAGCAGCAGTTCGCCTCGCAGGCGCAGTCTGGCCAGACCCACTCCTCGCACTCTGTCGCCATGGAAGAGATCTTCTCCTTCAACCCCCTCTCCACCGAGCATTCCTCCGCCAAAAACCAATTTGCATCTCCCGTCTCCCCACACAAACTTATCACCAACGCGCTTCCTTCCGCTCCCGCCGCCCAGTTCAGCTTTATCCCCGCGACCCCAGTGACCATCCCCGCAACGCCAGTCGTGAACAACAACCCGTCCTCGGACTTTTTCGCCGCCGCCGCTGCCGCCTCTTCCTCGGCGCAGACTCCCTCCGACTACTACGCATCCCCTGCCGCCCTCTCGCCGGACTTTTCCAGCTCGGCGCAAGAGTCCGTCGCGGGCACGCCCTCGTTTTGCAACGAGCAGCTAACTCCGCGCTCGGCCACCAACTCTCCCGGCGCGGGCTCGGAGGAGACGGTCGACTACAACGGGCGCCGTCGACGGATCTACACAAAGACACAGTTTGCGTGCAACCACTGTCCTCGCAAGTTCAGCATCAAGGACATGGACGAGTACGCGCGCCACGTCGAAGAGTTCAACATCCAGCGCGAGTTCAAGTGTCCCGAGCCCTCGTGCCCGTGGGCAAAGATTGGCTTCCAGCGGAAACTTGAAAAGGACCGCCACTTCACGCGCAAGCACGGCGTGCCCAAGTACGAGTGCCGTTTCTGGGCGGGTCCTGGCAAAGAAAAGTTTCCGGGCGCAAAGGTTTGCACTACTCAATGGCATGCCGACTCCGGAAACCGTACCCGGCACGAGAAGAGCGTGCACGGATATTTTGTCAAGACCCATCGCGGAAGAGCGTCCTTGCTCGAGGAGGTCGAAATGATCAAGATTCCCAGACGTGTGCGCTCAAACAGCGGGAATTAGGATATGTATTATTTGTACATGTATTTTGCATAGGGGACGTTGTATAGTTTTGGCATGAAAGGCTATATGAGTACGGGTTGGGATGTGTTTTTGGTATTGGGATTGCATATATCATGGACTTTTGCATTGCATTGAATGGGTTTGTTTTGGTATTTTTTTATTTATTGTGAATGTTGTTATACATACTTCTTGTCTATATCTATATATCTATATCTGTCTTATTGTTCTCTACATTTCCTCATAATCTCTTTTCTCATTGGATTGTTCTAGCGCTCAAGCCAGAGCTCAGGCATTTCGCAATTAGCTGACGTGATGGCGTATGTAAGAAACTGTAAAGATGAGTCAGCAACTCCCAAAACCTTAATTCCACAGAAGAAAAAAAAAGGCCGTTGATTATTTACAAACAATCAATCATCAATCATTCGGCAGCTGTTTATCTTTCCTTCTTCTCTTTTTTGTTTATTCGTGGTTTTCTGTTTTATTGAAAACCGCTGCTGCTGAGGTTTTGCAAAATGACCGTCACTGAGATTACGAGCGAGTCGCACTTTAACGAGCTGACGACCTCGCTACCTCCAGCTACACCTATTACGATCTCCTTCCACACACCATGGTAAGCAAACCACTTCTTGAATCTACCTTGCTCTTTATCACTCGACTTGTGATTGCTGATTAGTATAATGATCAGGGCGGCGCCATGCACGCAGATGAACGCAGTCTTTGCCTACCTCTCCGACCAATTCCCAAACGTCTCCTTCCTCTCTGTCGACGCCGAGGCATTGCCCGAGATCTCCGAGACCTTTGATGTCTCCGCCGTCCCGTTCTTTGTCTTTGTCAAGCACGGAAAAGTCATCCGCGAGCTCTCCGGCGCCGATCCGAAAGAGCTCTCGACCGCAATCCAGGAACTCGCAGGATCGAGCTCGACGACCTCGTCATCATTCCCATCCTCAACCGCATCCTCCACCGCTCCCTCCACCACATCCGCAAACAACTCTACATCCACCACAGCCTCAAACTCTGCATCTACACAGTCACAGCCAAGTCGGGAACTGAGCTCGGAAGAAGATCTCAACGAGCGATTGAAGAAACTGGTCTCCGCCGCCCCCGTCATGCTTTTTATGAAGGGAACGCCTGCTGCTCCGCAGTGCGGTTTCAGTCGGCAGCTGGTCGGAATCCTACGAGAGCATCAGGTTAGGTAAGAATTACCCCTCCACCTTTGCAAATCATATTTCAATGACTAACTCACATGTGTTGTGCAGATTCGGCTTCTTTGACATATTAAAAGACGACGCAGTCCGCCAAGGTCTCAAGAAATACAGCGACTGGCCGACTTTCCCGCAGCTCTACGTCAACGGCGAACTCCAGGGCGGTCTTGATATCGTCAAAGAGACTCTTGCGGATGACCCTGAGTTCTTCAAGAACCTCAACACGGCCGCATAAGCCTCATTGTATTTTGTTTCTATCCTGTTAATTATCTTTAATTTTACATTGTGTGTTTATTGCTTGATCTTTTGGTTGTTGTGGCTGTTGCTTGAAGGTGTCTGCGAGTGGTTATGTTACACTATCTGTTGTGAATTTCGTTTTTGTTTTGCTAGTATTTGATATTTAAATGGATCATCGCAAACACAAACCATCACGCCATCTATCAATCCACCAACCGCTCAACCCAGTGCTGAAGAACAACCTTTCCCTCCTCAAAAATTCTTCTACGGTTAATCATCGCCGCATGCGCCATCGGCGTAGACTGCACATGAACAGCGTACTTATGCCACGGCAACCGATTCAGCGACGCCTCGATCTCAAGCTGGATCGGTTCGAGCTCCAGCATTGATTCCGGCTCCGGCAAGTCGTCGCAGAACGAGCGTTTCGCAAACTCTGGATGGGATACGCGATGCTCGTGTAAGGCGGTGCAGATGGTTGTGAGGGAGGTTGTGCTTGGTGCGCGGTGGAGGGGTGGGGATGTGGTGATTGAAAAAGTTGGTGCCTCGGGGGCGGAGGGAGTGTCGTCGGGGGAGCCTGTTGCGTCCATGAAGTTCTCGACTGCGGATTGCATGATCGAGGCTTCTGTCTCGTGGTGCTCAGTCTTGGACAAGTCTATCGACGAGTCTTGATCGGACGGGATCAAAGTTGCAGTTGACTTATTTGACGAAAGCTCGATCGCTCGACCTGCTTGCTTTGAGAGCTTGCGGATCCGCGCTTCGGAGATCTGAGTGGTGACCATGAACCCGAGAAGAGTGAGCGTGATGACTATCGGTCCGATCGTAATCAGCGATATGAAAAGGATGTACTGCCGTCTGCTCCATGGCGCTCTTGTGGGTTTCCCCGCCACGTAACTCATGGGCTTGGAAAGGTCGACGATGACGGGCGAGGCATCTTCGAGATACTGCGGTTTGCAATTATGCACGTCGGTGAAGGGGTCACGGGTTGTGATGAACGCGGTAAAGAACGGCACCGTCCGATCGTTCGCGGCGTTTGCGTACAGCGAGATTCTTTCGAATTTCTCGCTCAAAACTCGATAGTAAACACTCTCCGGATCCGCGAGCAGCGCAAGAATCCCGCCCGCCCCGTCTTTATGAAACATATCCCTGCCGGACTGCGAGAGCATGTACCGTCCATACTGGGTAAACAGTCTCCGCAGCAGATCTTTGCGGCCCGTGCTGGTGCCGAGATGAGGGGTCGCGAAGGTGGTGAAGTTCTTGGGCTTGATTGTGTCGAAGAAGCCGGTGCGGTCGAGTTCGCCGACGATGTACCGCGCCATTAGGCCGCCGAAGGAGTAGCCCACGATACTGAACTTTGTGACTGTGATGCTTTTGGATTCTTGCACCTCTTTGATTTTCTGCCTAGTCTGTAGATTATAATTACAAAGTCAGCAATCTTCTCTGCGATCCCAGATCAAGAACAAGACAAACCTCTTTAATAACCCTGTTCCCGCAAATAACAACACCATCGTACGTCAGCGTTCCACTGAACCCGCTAGGGACCAGGATCTGCGCATCGGGGTACTGCTTCTTCACTGTGGCTCGGAGTTGGTTCATATGGGTCGGGTTTCCCCATAGCCTGTGTGTAGTATTTGGTTAGCGATCGTGTTTGATGATGGTGAGTGAGGTTGAGGAGATAAATACCCGTGAATTAAAACAAATAGATGATCTTCGTTCATCTTTCAAGCCGTGTATTCTTTCTCCAAGCGTGCTCTCTGTCAATATAGTATTATCGATATCTTCGACTCGCAGATCAGCGATAACGATCCACCCTCCTCAATTCCTAATCCTCTTCAGACAGTAACAAAACCTCACAGTCCCTATATCTCAAAAGCAAATCTCCGTTCTTTGGTCAATGACGATTCGTCCCTTCAAATTTCTCTGCTCGAGTCTGGTGATGGCGTACGCCTTGCCGATGATTTATCAGCCTATCTCGATGCTTAAATCGTATCAAGACCCTCGCAATCGTCCGTCAATCCCAAAATCTTGTCAAAAATACAACAACAAAACCACAGTCAGTGTATATACACTGCAGCAAACTTCTATCGCTCAAATAAAAGAAAGTAAGCACAAGGCAGAAACGAGGGATATCGCTCTTATCCACTCGGAGCCAAACGCACGCCGACTTCCGCGCTAAAGTTGTCATCCCAACCGGCTTTTATCGGCGCCGCACCGCTCGCTCGGTCATCGTCATCGTCATCGTTGTTTTCCGTTGTTTGGTAAATACGCAATATGCTAGTTGTCTACTGGAGAACAGATAGATTACTCGTGGAAAAGTGTGGCTGTGTTGAGCTATTGTATATTAAATCGTTGGCAGTCATTCATCCATTCTGCAGACATAGTGGGATTGAGAGAGCAGACTCTGATCTATATCTCTCGAATTAAAACCTGCACACTCCCGCACAATAATCATCATAAACAAATAGAGAAAAATTGAAAAATAAACACTAAAGGTATCGTACAAAAACAAACCAAACACCGCCTCCGAAAAATGTTGTACACTTATCCCCGCCTCTTTTCATTCAAAATAATTTGCTGTAGGGTTTTCAGGTATTACTAGTAAGCAACCCGATCTTCCTCCACACGTCGTCCGTCAGCCCTTCCAACTCGCGCGAACTGATCCCCTCGCCCAACTTCCGGTGCTGATCGACTCCGTACTGCACAGACTGCACGATCAGCGACCGCAGGATCTCCTTTGAGATCGCGCGCGGCTTGAGGAATTCGCCGTCTAGCACTTCAGAGATGCGGCTCCGTCGCTCCGGGTTTCGGTCAAGACAGCCCTTGATGGTCGTGATCACCTCTTTGGGAACGGATACGCCGCCAAGGCCGGTTTCGGGATACTGGATCTCGATCTTGGGGTTCAGGATCGCAAGCATGCGCTGGGTGCCGCTGTAGGCTGCATACGGCGGTCGGCCATAAATCATCTGGTAGATGATGCAGCCACAGCTCCACACGTCGGATGGCCGACCAACCTTAAGCATACGCTTGCCTTCGACCGAAGAGACATCGACCATCGTCTCCGGGGCCATGTAGTTCGGGGTACCCATCTGCGTCTCACGCCGGACGTTGCTCGTGTAATCCGGCACTGCGTTTGCGATTCCAAAGTCGATGATTTTCAGCATCCCTTTGACAAAGAGAAAGTTTGCTGGTTTGAGATCAGAGTGTACGATATCGTGTCTGTGAACAGCCTCGACACATTTCAGCATCTCAATCGTGTGGAACCGAACAAAGGGGATATCGAGCGGACTATTGAGTCTAGCAGCAAGCACATGCGCAAGATCGATCTCGCCGCACTCCATAACCTATGTGTTTTGGTTAGTCACTAGTCCAATCAATAAAGACACAAGACAGACTCACCATATTGACAAACCCATCCAGAATCTCAAAATCGACTAATTTCACCACTCGCTCTTCGTCACTGAGTTTTCTCAGCAGCTCGATTTCACCCTTGAATCCCTTCACAACCGCCTCATCAACCTCGTCAAACGTGACTTTTTTGAGCGCAAATACCTTTGTCGAGTTGAGAAGCTGCACTTTGAACACTTTTGACGATCCTCCTTTGCCAATCAGCTCTAACCTCTGATATGCTCTTCCCGCGATCTGCCGTAAAAATGTTAGCCTAATCTTCACCAGATAATAATTGTCTCACACTTACCACGACTGTATTCTTCTGCTTCTTGGAGGCAATTTTCGGCGTCGGCCTTGGTATATCGAGATTGCTCATCTTTGGCGGCGGGTCATAAATGTTGCATTCAGGAGGCGGCGTAGACGTTCGCACGGGGCGGATTATATTAGATGACAATGGTGTCAACAGCTGTCTTCCCACTAGCCGAGAGGAATGAGAGGAGCGCGGGTTGCTGTGCGCTTGGTTTGCCCGCGGCGGCTCGTCGTGATAGATGTCTGCTGCCAACGGGCGCTGCTGGCGTGGATTCTCGTCTTTATTCAACGGCGAAAAAACTTGTCGATGGTGGTGATGCTTTTCTTCTCGATGACTTTCGGTGAAGGGCGTTGGATTGATATTCTCGTACAGCGGTTTCTTTTCGGAGACCAGTCGGACAGGCGATTCGGGCACGTAGCCGTTGTCAGCGACAACGAATGACTGAATTACTGGAGAAGGTGCCAGAGCTTCTGTGGTAGGAGGAGGATGTTTTGGCGTCAGGGATTTGTGAATTAGACTCGTCAATTCCTTTGCCGCTTCATACGGCGAAGACGTGTGATGTCGTCGCTCTTCGATCCCATAATTGAACGGACTTGATCGGTGAAGTGGCTTCTGCCGGAGCTCGCCGTGCAGGTCATCATTCATAGTCTTGGGCGATAACGCCTTGCGAGGGCTACCCGACGTACGGGGCGACGTCGTGCGAGAATGCGCTTGATCTCGAATTTCCAAACGCGAAATCTCGCCACTCGAGATACTTGTCCGATGTTGCTCTGACTCTTTTGAGGATGCTGATGTGTATTCACGTGAAGACCGCGAGGACCAGTACGTGTCGCCGCGAGGGATCTCTTCGTCCTGTGTTGAAAACCGCAGCCGTCCTGCACCGTTCCCTCCTGCTTCGTCGATCGTCCTTCGCAGCTCGTGTTCGTCGTCTTTTGAATTTTCTTTTGACTTCGGTGAGGCACTGGGACTTTTCGCTATTGGCACGCCATCGTTCTCACCCTCCTGGCTCTCTCGTCGCAAAGCTCGTTTAGGAGGCCCAAGTCTTCCGGGTTTGCTTTTGCGGAAGATGCTGCGGTACTGAGATGTGGGCGGCTCGCCATGAGATCCTAGCGTGGGCCGCGTAAACGCCGGAGTCACTAGTCCCTCGCGGCTGCCACTGCCTGCACCACCATTCTCTGACGATCGGAACTCGGTTGAATCTGCTCCTGCGCGGTGATGCGGAGTCGCGGCGACAAAGGACCCGGGACTGCCAGATAATTTTCGAGTCGGCTGGTCTGCGTTGCTGTTGCTGTTTATCTCTTCTAGATCCTCCCGAAATCGAGTACGAGGCGCGCTCCCTGCAGCGGCAGTATAAGGCGAATTGCTTGCTTCTCTGGACTTTCGTCGTTCCCTCGCGGCGTTAATTAGAGCCGACGTAGATTGCAGATACTTCGACTGGTGAAGTTGCTGTTCGGGATCATATGAGGTTCTTCGGCTGCGACTATCACCGCTACTCGCGCCGATGTCATTGCTGTTGCTGTTGTTGCTGTTGTTGTTGTTGTTGTTGTTGTTCCCATCTGCCGACAGAAGCGCGAGCGCGTAAGAGCTAAGAACAGGAAGCGCGTAGCTGTCGTCGTCGGAAGAGGAGTGCGCAGTGTCGTCGGCGGCGGCGGCCGAGGCAAGCATCGCTACTGCAGCAAGCAAGGCTCAGTGTGATGCACGAAAACACACGGGACGAGATCCAGAGCTGCGGGTGCACGCGTGTCCCGATGCTGTCTGCTGGCGATCGGTAGGGGAAGAAGCGTGCCTGGAGGCGCGAAGCGTGGGAGACGAGTGGTGGAGGAGAAGAAGAGGGACAGAAAGGCACAGGGTCAGGTGTATTGTTTCGTGGAAGTGGAAGCGAGGATGGGACGCAGAAAGTATATCGCAGTATTTACATCGCGTTGTCACGGCAACCATAATGTCAAGAATGCTGGGTCTTGTGTATGCTTAGTAATATATGTGCTAATACAAATGTAGGGCTCAACCCTACACAGGCGAGCAGCAGTCGCAGTCACGTCTAAGTCTTACACGTGATCAGAGCACTCCTCCCAACGATCGGCTGGGTTTTAATGCTGGGAGAGTTTCACTTTCGAGTTTCTCTTTCTTTTCTTCACCGACTGGATTACCAGAAAGAAGGTATGTGCTATTGTGTTATGATACAGATGATCTATGAAAGAGGATAGAAGACGTTTAGAGCTCCTATTATCTTTCATTTGATGTCTTTTGAGCAGATCTAACAGTTGTTGTAGCATTGTCATAGTACACTTGCCGACTAGTCGTCTGTCAGTCATCATGCAGATTTTCGTCAAAACCCTCACGGGCAAGAGTATGTAGTCTCTTCTTCATCTACTCATCAAACACCGTGTCTAACATCCTCCAGCTATCACCCTCGAGGTGGAGTCGTCCGATACCATCGATAACGTCAAGTCCAAGATCCAGGACAAGGAAGGAATTCCCCCCGACCAGCAGCGTCTTATCTTCGCCGGTAAGCAGCTCGAGGACGGCCGCACTCTCTCTGACTACAACATTCAGAAGGAGTCGACCCTCCACTTGGTCCTCCGCCTTCGTGGTGGTGCCAAGAAGCGCAAGAAAAAAGTGTACACCACTCCCAAGAAGATCAAGCACAAGCACAAGAAGACCAAACTTGCGGTTCTCAAGTACTACAAGGTCAACTCTGACGGCACTGTCGAGCGCACCCGTCGTGAGTGCCCTACTGAGACCTGCGGTGCCGGTGTCTTCATGGCTAAGATGAAGGGCCGCCACTACTGCGGAAAGTGCCACCTCACCTACGTCCAGTCTGCTTAGATGCTTATCTGCTTGCCTTGCGTGGATTGATGTATTCAGTTGTGGACAGTTGATTTTTATGTCTTGTATATTTAAGGTTAATTGCACATAGCTACGGTTATATCTCTCCTATATATATCTCTCTCACTGCACGTAGTCTAAATCCCTGTAGATGTGACCCACTGCATGTTTATAAGTTTATACAATCAGATATATCATGCGACGCTATCATTCCAGAATCGGTCACCAGAAAACAAATTAAAGAATATCACATAAACAAAAATTATAGAAATCGAGACAAAGTCCTACTTTTCGGGCGCGCTCTGGACAGGCGAAGGGCGCAGCAACGGGTGCGCTTCGGTGTTGAAGACGTAGTCATCCCTATATCTGCATTAGCATCATCATCATCATCTCTCAATATCAAACAAAGGGAACATACAGAGAAATCAAGCTCGGCTCAGCAAACAGCAAATAAGCATACTTTAGCGTTTCCGCCATCCAGAAACTCTCCATCTCGTCGAGATATGTAATCTTCCGATTATTCGTCACGTCCTTGATCGCCGAGAACGCGGCGTCGGTCTTTGTGTACTTTACGATCGCGCTGAACATCTCCCAGCCGCGGTCCTGCCACTTGCGGTCTCCTGTCACGCGGTACATCACAAAGATGCTCTCGAGTGCTTCCGGGCGGAGAAGGTATCTGCCGTCTTGGTAGAGGATCGAGTGCGGTTGGTCGTACCAGCCGCCCGTTTCCCAGCGATTAGGATCGTCCTCCGCCGGCGCGTCGGGCGCGTCGACCTCGAGCACGGTGCCGGGGACGGTGGTGCTGCTCTCGCTTCCAGCTTCGTCGTCAGAAGAGGAAGTGCCGAGAGAAGTCGCGCCTTCAACGGCTCTGACTTCGTCTTCGTCGTGGGGAGGCGGCACGGCATCTGGGTTTTCGTCGCCGGGAGCGGCGTTGTTGATGCCGGCGGTCGTGATGGAGTCGTCGGAGCCGGCGGGTTCCTCGCCTGGGGCTGATGAGTGGTTCTCGCCAGTTGCTACTTGCTCAACCTCTTTGACGCTTTCGGAGGAGGAGGTGGTGGTGGTTTCCTCCGAGGATTGTTCCGAGCTAGCAGACTGCTCAGGGCTTTCAGAGGTCTCCTGCTCACCTTCAGATGCCGCAGTATCTCCAGACTGCTCCCCGGACTCGACCGAAGTATCACTTGACGTGGACGTTTCCTCATCAGTCTTCCCACTCTCGCCAGCGCTCTCTGAGGATTCAGACGATTCAGACGATCCAGATGTCTCCTCGCTAGAACTTACAGCAGTTTTCTCGACAGCACCGGCTTCGGCAGGCTCGGTCCCTTCGCCGTCACTTTCGCCAGCTCCCTCATCTGGTGCTTCGGTGCTAGCTTCTTCTGACTTGGTTTCTTCAGAGGTAGTCTCAGAGGTGGTCTCAGAGGTGGTCTCAGATGTGGCCTCTCCAGAGGTGGACTCTTCAGAAGTGGACTCTTCAGACGTGGCCTCTCCAGAAGTAGTCTCCTCAGAAGTAGACTCCTCAGAAGCAGTCTCTCCAGAAGTAGACTCCTCAGAAGTAGTCTCTCCAGCTGTAGACTCTCCAGACGAAGTCTCCTCAGAAGAAGTTTCTCCAGATCTAGTCTCCTCAGATGTGGACTCTCCAGAAGAAGTCTCCTCGGAAGTAGTCTCTCCAGATGTGGACTCTCCAGAAGAAGTCTCCTCGGAAGTAGTCTCTCCAGAGGTAGTCTCCTCAGAAGTACCCTCCGTATTCTCGCCAGCAGGCGCCTCAGAAGATTCAGCAGGTTCGGCGCCTTCACCATCGCTCTCACCCGCGCCTTGATCTGAAATCTGTTCGGTCTCTGATGAGGGCGACGACTCTGATGTTTGTTCAGAAGTAGACTCCTCAGAAGTAGTCTCCGTATTCTCGGCGGGCGCTTCGGAGGATTCAGCAGGTTCGGCGCCTTCACCATCGCTTTCACCCACGCCTTGATCTGAAGTCTGTTCCGTCTCTGATGAGGTTGACGACTCTGATGTCTGCTCAGAAGACTCAGACTGCTCAGAAGACTCAGACTGCTCAGAAGACTCAGACTGCTCCGAAGACTCAGCCTGCTCATTCTGACTCTCAGTCTTCTCAACAGCATCCGGACCAGAATCATCCTCGACCTCAGCCGCCGCATTCTCTCCCGCGCCCTCGATCTCGGTCTCCGCCTTTGCCGCCGCCTCCTCGCCCTCCGACACCGGCGCCTCCGCCGCGTCCTCCTCCGCCTCCGCCTTTGCCGCCGCCTCTTCAGCAGACTCGTCGACCTGTCTCTTACGCAGCTTGTTCTCGCCCTCCGAGGACGCGAAGCGGTCGACGAAATGGCAGTCTGAGGACAGACAGGGGTCGACGTGGAAGTTCTCGGGCATGATTCCCGTGTTTGTGGCGCGGTAGGACCAGTAGCAGCCTTCGGTTAGTTTTTCGGCGGTTTGGAGGTGCGCGGGGTTTTCGAGCGCGCGAGCGCCGATGGCGTACATGCCGCCTATGTAGCAGGTCTAGGAGTTGTGTTAGTCTGTAGCTGTAATAGTGCGTTGGATGTAGAATTGGGAACGTACCAGATGGGTCATTTCGGCGTCGAACTCGGCGGCTTTGGTATCCTTGTCGACCAGAACGTTTCCAGAAAACAAAATATCAGGATCTCCCGCAACCTTAGGCCGGAAGAGCAAGTTATCGTCGATGGCGGCGGTCGCGGATTGATACATGTCTTTGTACTGCGCGACGGTGCCGCCGAGGAGGAGGTACTCTTTAATCATGTACTCGTACGCGGAATCAGCAAGACCGCCGGCCGTGTACTTGAGCTTATTATTGCTGTCCTCTTTCACGGTCCCGACGATCGCCTTGACGCCCACGCACTCTTCCACCGGCAGATTGACAGGCGAAAGGGAGGATGATCCCGGGCGCGGGACGTCGAGAAGGGACTTGCGCAGGGCGGCAGGGACCTGGCGTTTCTGCTTGGCGTTTGAGTCCGACTGCTTTGTCTCTGCGTCGATAGCAGCGCGGTTGAGCGCCGCCGCTTCGACGTCTTGATTGTCGGCGGCAGAGGGCGCGCTAGATTTTTTCTCCGAGGCAGTCACGCAGCCCGAGATATCCATGAACGAAGGCCAGAGACCGGGGATGTCGGTCTTTTTCTGGGATTCCTGCAATTGATCAGAGATGCGCTGGATGACGGCGTAGTACGCGTTATTCTTTGTGATTTGCGCGAGCCGCGTGAACTCGAGCGAGAGTGACGAGAACTGCGCAAAGACGACGGTGTTGCCTGCGCGCAGCTTTGCTTCTTCGGGGCCGTAGTGCGCGAGTACCGGGTTATAGTACAACACCGGCATGCCGTTCGGGGTGTCGAAAGCGCCGAGCATGAGGTCCGCGAGCTCGACGGCTTTGTCGAGGAAGATCTCCTCGCGCGGGCTCGAGAGGTCGTAGGCGGAGATCAGGCCGCCGAGGAAGCGGATTGTGGTCTCAAAGATGGGGATGGTTTTGTAGTTTGAGGTCGTGAAGTTGAGGGCGGCTACGAAAGCCTTTGCTTCCTCGAATTCCTCGGTGAGGTCCATGATCTGCAGCGTGTCGAGTGCGTCGACGATCGATGCCCCGAGACCGCCAAAGGTATCGGCAGATGTGTTGCTCGCGGGCTGGACTTCGTCGTGACCCCAGGCGTATTCCTTATATCCCTGCCAGGAATGCAGGAAGGCATCTTTGACGGCAGCGAGACGGGCCTCGCGCTTCTGACGCTCGTCGTCGGATTCGGCGGCGAACGAGCCCTGGATCTTGGCGAAGCTGAGCGGAGGCTCGTCAGGGAGCGCGGCAGGGTTCGCAAAGGGAAACTTTGCGATGCGCGGGCGCGAGAAGATTGAGGGATCGGAGGAGGACTGGCGGATGCCGGGGGGGAGTACGTTCGAGGACGGACCGGTGTAGTAGTCGTCGACGGGGAAGGTGCCGGCGAACAGGATTGTCTCGAGGGAGGAGACGAGTTTGGTGTTGGGGGATTGAGCGAGGGGGAGGGGATCTGAGTTGTGGGAGGAGGAGGAGGTGGTGGTGGAGGAGGAGGAGGATGAGGAAGTGGTCGAGGACGGAGGTGGGGTAGGGAGAACCGAGTGCTGGTCGGCGTCAGCGACGTCGGCGTCCTCTGCTGTCTTCAGGATAGAAGAGGAGGAAGAGGAAGAGGAAGAAGGCAGGCCATAGAGGAACTTGTCGGGGACGATTGAGTAGTCCCTGCGGACGACGACGAAGTGGTATGAGATGGCGAGGGCGAAGAGGGTGAATAGGAGAACGGCTCTATGCCTGCGGAGACGAACAGAAGGCATTGCGACGGCTGGCTGAGACTGAGCAGATGATGTAAGAGAGTCAGCAGCAATTGACGCAGCAGCAGCGACGACGACCAGGCAGCAGAGAACCGCGAGTGAGGAAGAGGAGGAGATGAGGAGAGGAGGAGAGGAGGAAGGCTGCTTGTGGAGTTAACGGCTGTCACAGCTGCGGAGGACCAGTTTTGGTGGTTGCTGCAGCCACTGTGTGCTGGGGAGAGAAGTACGGGTGTTCAATGCAGTGAGTCTCTGTCATCGTAGACCCACAACACTCCGATCTGCGCCGCTGCGGCGTTTCCAGGGGGAAGGAAAGCGGCGGCCATCAACCATCGGCCTGGTGCTTGCTGTTCCGGCGATGTTGATTTGGATGTGGGTTGAGTTGAGTTGAGTTGATTGTTCATTGATGTGGATATCATTGCGTTATCCAAGACATCTGAATTGTGGTGGTCTACGCCTTCTACTGCCTCGGGCAGCAGGGTTTGTATCTCACGTGAAATAGCTCTCTTTACTAATCATGTATTTATACTACAAACTATATACCTACTGCTCGGCCTGGTTCGTCTTGAGCGACGACCGACCCGCCTTGAGCAACTCATCGCAAAGCAACAGATTGACCGCGATCGACGTCGCGCTCGCAATCGCGTTGCGCAGCACCCGGAACGAGTCATACACGCCCTCCAGCACCGGATCCATCGGCTCTCCGGACGCGAGATCGATGCCGACGACGTGGCCGTCCACGACCTCGTCTTGGCACGCCGCGAGCGTGTCGAGCGTGTCAAAGCCGCCGTTGGTCGCAAGCGTCTTGGGGATCACAAGCAGCGCGTCCGCGTAGGCCTGCACGCCGGCCTTGAGCTTGCCCTTGACATCCTTGTGCAGAAAGTCGCCCGTGAGATGGCTCGCGCACGCAATCTCAAACGCACCAGCGCCGGGCACAACGCTCTTGTCGGTGATTCCGTTGACGACCGAGCGCAGACCGTCGCGGACGGCGTCGCTGATCTGCGCGATCGTGTGCGCGTTCGGGCCCTTGATGAGGATAGTGACCGACTTGGGGTCCTTGACTTCCTCAATAAAAGTGTACTTCTCCTCGCCCAGCGTGTGCTCGTAAACAAGACCCGCGTAGCCGAGCACGGACGGCGAAAGGTCGTCGACCGAGTTTTGCGCAGTGCCGCCACACACGAGCTGGAGTCGCTCCATGTTGCGTCTCTTTGCGCGTCTGAGAGCAAAGATGTTGTTGCGCGCGAGGACGTCGAGCGAGAGCGGGTCGATACCCTTCTGGTTGACAATCACAAAGCCCTTGTTGGAGTCCAGGCCGCAGACCTCGTTCTTGAGATCGACAATCCTCTTGAGCTTTGAGTCAACAAACTTGCGCTCGCTCTCGACCAGCTTCTCGCGCTGCTCGGCGTTGCTGTAAAAGAAACCCGAGTTGACCTCGGACTTTTCGTACTCGAGCGACACGTTGAGCGTGAGGATGTAGGCGTTCTCGAGCCGCTTGGGCATATCGGGATGCCGGGCGCCGTGGTCGAGCACGAGGCCGCGGACGAGCTGGGTCTCGGCCGCGGACTGGTGCTGCATCTTCATGATCTCAATCATGTGCAGATCGACGCGCTCGGGAGGGCTGTATATCGACAGCACGGCGTCGGCCACGATCGGAGTGATGTGCTCGGCGAGGGTGTGGTTGAGTTTGGTGGCGAGGGAGGTGCGGGCGATTGCGAGAAGAAGCTCGCGATCGATGTCTTTGGCAATCTTGAACGAGTCGAGGAACTGTAGAGAGTTAGAGAGGTGAAGTAAGGTGGTGAGAAGATAGGGGATGGAGGCATACAGTAAGGGTTTCCTTGCGCGCGAGCTCGAATCCCTCGGTGACAATTCGGGGATGCAGGCCATCAGCAATGTAGCGTTCGGCTTGCTTGAGCAGTTCTCCGACGAGCAGGCAGACGGTGGTGGTTCCGTCGCCGGTGATTTCATCTTGGGCGGTAGCAGCGCGGGCTAGATGTTGTTAGAATGGTAGTTGAGAGTTAAAAGAGAGGGGAGATGTACCAATCATGACGGCGGTGGGGTTTGTGATTTGCTAGAGGGTGTTAGTGATGATGGATATGAATATGATTGCTGATAGAGGTACACACCATCTCAGAGAGGAGAACCTTGCCATCCTTTGTCAGTTTGATGTTGCCAGATCCATCGACGAGCCTGAGGAGAGTTGTTAATACAGTAATAAAGACAATCAATACAGAGATGAAGCAGAGATGAAGAGGTAAAGATACATCTTGATTGTGCCTTTCGGGCCAAGATTGCTGGAGAGAACGTTCTGCAGTCCCTGGGCGGCACTGATGTTGACGGACAGGGCCTGGTTCCTCCGCAGGGACTCTGCCTTTGGATTTAATAATTGAACGGCGGACATGATGATATGTACAGCAGATGAGAAGATGGATCAAGAGTCTGGTTGACAGAGGCAATTGATTGTGGGTGGATTAGTCGCGAGCAGGAACACGGTGGAATTGCGGCGACGCGTCTGTGATATTTTTTCTGCGTGGAGGATGCTGAGAGGGAAGGGGTTGGTAGTAGATTACAGATAGATTACAAATCACATTACATCAGCAATTACAAAGCAGACAAAGAGGCAGTGCGGCAACGCCGATCAGTGGAATCGTCAAAGTTGGACTAAGTTGAAAGTGGACAGCGGCCGACGGCGGAGAGGAGGAAATGAAGAGAAAAAGAGGAAAAGAGAGAAAAGAGAAGAAAAAAATGAGGAAATTGTGATTTGGAGCAGCGAGAAGACACAACAGCAGAATACTTGGAATACTCCAGATATACAAAAGAACACATAATAGAACAGACAATAAACAGTATATCAAATACTATTGCAGCAGCAGCAATAGTCTGGCATCTCTTCAAGACAGAGAAATACCAAACCCTGGCTGCTTCTTGCTTCTTGCTTCTTGCTGCCTTCTGAACTGTCATATCCTCTGTGCTGTACTGTATTGTGTTGTTGTATTGCATTATATCTATTATTTAATAGTAAAGAACAGATACAATATAATACGAACAGAATAGTAATCTACACACAAATAACCTACCAGATCTCTGCCAATCTCCACCATTCGTGACTGCGAATCACAAACTGACTCACATTGTGACTCAAGATGATGGCGAATTTTGAGGATAAAACACTCGGCGGCCACAACTCTGCGTCTCCTCCACCTTTTCTTCCTCTCTTCCTCTCTTTCTCTTCCTCTTCCTATCCTCCCTCTTTCTTCTATTCATTCGAATAACTATCCATCTTCTCTACTTCTGCAGCTTACTCTGTATCTGCTCTTCTTTCTCTTCCTGTCTTGAATTGTACGTCAACCCACCGCTACCTCCTCTATCACTCACTCAAGACTCTAACACTCTCAGGTTCTCACGATGATTGCCCCCGTCCTCCGCATATAGCCCAGGCCTTTGCCTCTACTTCTACCTACTTCTCTCTCCACCATCACCTCATAACACCACACCTCCACCATGCAGACCATCAAATCCATCTTCTTCCCCGCGCCATCAACCCGCCCCTCCTCCCCTCCTCTCGACACCGACGACTTCACCGACGAACAACCGGCCCCAGTCGACGAGCCCCCGGAACCTCATTCCGCCCTGACCGAAGACTTCAAACGTCAGCTATGTCTCTCGCCTCCTCGCAACCAGTCCTCCCTCCTCTCCAAAATGCTCGCCTCCCCCGTCTCTTCTGACGCCGGCTCCTCCACCGGCGGCATCGACGCCTTCTCAGACAGCGCCTGCACCTCCCGAAACACAACTCCTACTCCGCCTCCTCACTTCAGCCTGGCTCAGCCGACAAAGGGAATCATGCGTCCGACACCCGTCTCCCACGACCCGCGCAACGCCGCTCACACCACCACTCTGCAAGAGTCCTCTGAACTCTGCGTGCTCAAGCGAACAATCAAGTTTGCCTGCACCGGCCAGGGCAAAGAGTCCTCTCGCGAGCCGTCTGCCTCTTCAACCCTTACTGTCGACCACAGCGATGCCGAAAAGAGCGATCATGATCTCCATCCACACATCCACCATCCACAGCCACAGCGCATCTTGCGCGTCGATGACGTCTTGTTGAAGGAGCGCGAGATCTGCAAACTGAATGCAGAGGTCGAGGCTGAGGACGAAGAAGACGACGATCAGGATAACGACGATGCTGATGAAAAGGACGAGGATGACAATGAGGTCGACGACGAGGATGAAGATGATGATGATAATGAAGACGACGATGTTGAAGAAGACGACGATGAAGCTGCTGAGGATGAAAATGAGATTGAAGAGAACGACAACGACGACGATGAAGACATGGGCGATGCTACCCCGCATGTCCTGCGTCTTCAGCGTACGCCACTCGTCGAATACGAGTCTGACTCTTCGTGCTCGACAATCTCTGACGGAGGTTACGCCTCTGACGCCTCAGGAGATTTCTCTGACGTCGACAACGCGGACCAAAATGGCGAGCAGATAACTTTCGCGGCCTACCCCCCTCCCGGAAGCTTCCCAAACCCCCTACGTGCGCACTACCAGAAACCACGAAAGTATGTTCACCGAGAACGGATTCAGCGGCCGGCGACGCCACCGGCCAACATGATTCCCGACTCTAGCGATTTCGTCTGCGGTACCTTTGACGAAGACCGTCCGATCGAAGTCGCATACTTCTCCGCACTGGACGAGCGGCACCGCGAGGCGCACGAGCTGTGTCCTCAAGATATCGACCCGTCGTTTCCTGAAGAGATGGACGAGAACGACGACGACGACGACGACGATGACGACGACGAGGATGCGGCAGAGACAGCAGGCAAGACCAAGCCCAACGCGGGCGCGACGGCGGCGTATGCAGCAGTTGCAGCCGCCGCTGCCGCCGCTGCAGCTTCGCGACGGGCAATGACGACGTCAAACACAGAATCGGACGCGCCTGGCGAGCGACGACGATGCCGATCCCCGCCGCCCGCGTCTAGACGATCGATGCAAGTCCGTCACCATCGTTGGGAGACGAAGGAGGCTGTTGCGGGCGGGAAGGCGGCTAGTTTCCAGCACCCGCGTGGACATGCGATGAAGGCCGCTGCCGCGAGAGCGAAGAACAGCAACACAGGTAATAACAGCAACAGTCAGAAGAAGAAAGTACGCGGGGCGATTGATATAGTCAAAGGTCTCGAGCGGAAGAACAATCGGCGGAGAGACAGTCGAAAGCACCATCACCACCATCACCGACACCACGACGTTGCGCCGGGGGAGGGAGTTGAGAAGATGCGGCAGCTGGGATTGATTGCTGTGAAGAAAGGCGAGAATCCGTATGCGGAGTGGATGTTGTCGGTGTAGGTGTAGTCATGACAGAGATGAGATGAATTTTTCAAAAGTTTCTATGTATTTGTATAGTAAGGAAGGGGATACTGGGTGCATGTTTTATATTTTATTCTATCGGTCGATGATGCCGTCGTTATGATTACCAGGTTGTATATATCATTCAGTCTTTTGTATGTAAGAAAATCGAGGAGACAGTAAATACATTCATTGCATATTGAATATGTGAGCATGCGGCTGGGACGGGGTTTGTACGAATATTGGAGGGAGGTCGTGAAGGGGCGCGGCGAGGACGGAGATCAGGCAGCAGATTAAGAGACATCATGACAATCTACAGTTTCTGGATCTTTGATCGCCATTGTGAGTCTGTTGTATGGTTAGTTGTTGTGGATTGATGTTAACGACAGTGATGATGATGAACAGGCGAATGTATATACCACAAAGACTTCAAGCGGCCACAACGAGTCCTGCGACCGCCCACGCTCGCGTCAACGACGGGGGACACTAAAGAAAACGCACAGCAGCAGCAGAAGCGGGTAGTCTCGTCCGGAGGTCCGCCGAAGGGAACTGGGCCGTTGACGGTGGACGACGAGGCGAAGTTGGTGTTTGGCGTGGTGTTTTCGTTGCGGAATATGGTTACCAAGTTAGCTGGCGAGTGCGTATCTTCTGTCTTTCTTACGGCTTTTGTTTGCTGGGGAGTGGAGTGCTGACGGGGGATTGGTAGTCGGGAATCGTTCTTTGCGTTCAAGACGTCAAAGTATAAGTTACACTTCTTTGAGACGCAGACGAATCTTCGGTTTGTGATGGTCACGGATGTGCGCGTGGAAGGCATCAGGCCGATATTAGAGCAGATCTACGCGGGCCTGTATGTCGAGTACGTTGTCAAGAAGTGAGTGTCCTTTTTTTATGAGTTGAAGAGAGAGAGAGAGGGTGCTAACGATTGGGTAGTCCGCTTAGTCCGCCTGAACATCCGGGTGGAGAGGGCGTGAATAACGAGTTGTTTAGTCTTGGGCTGGATAGGTTTCTTACGCCGCTTGAGATTTTCGAGTGAGAGGAGAGTACGAGTTGAAGAGGAAGGGAAGAGGGATTGAATGTATTTTACGGATTAGAGGTATGCTGTCAGTGAATCAAGTAGAGATTGAGACGACATTAATAAACAACACGATAAACAAACAGACGCGCATATTAGAGAACAGACAAACAACCAAACGTGAAACATGAATACTCTATAATACACCGATCATTAATGACAAAGGACAAAGAAGCCAGCCGTCGCGAGTATGCGACTATAGTGGCCGTAGGTACTGTGTAGGAGGAGAGGAGGAATATGGCAGACTACACGTATCTATACGTGTATACGTGTAGTCTGTTGTTGTTTTTTCTTTGCGATTACATTATGATGCAACATCCGGAAGACTGCTTGACGACGGGGTTATATGGATCTTCGCGCTTGTCGGGAAAGGAGGAGGGAATCATGTAGTCTTTTGTGTTTTTTGTGTAGTTTATGATTCTAGACAATCGTCTGTTAGTACACAGCACATGTCATTAAAAGAGGCAGCAAGTACTCTCAAACACAAGCAAACTCAAGCAAAAGGGAACATACCTGGCACAGGACTCAGAAGCCGGAACACGGTCGCGGTTGAGCTCGTCGAGGACTTGATCCCGCACCTGGATCATGCGCTGCAGCTTGAGTTCGGGATTCGCCCGATCGCGCACGCCGCCTGCGTTTCCAAAATTGACCATTGTTGGTAGTAGATGTGTGTGTGCTCAAGAAGTGCAGGAAGTGGTGGTGGTGGTGGTGAGGATTAGGGACTAACACGGTGGGTTCTCTCTCTGTCCTTGTTTCTTCTCTTCTTCTTCTTCGTGCTCGATCGTGCGTTATAAGGCAGAGTCCGCGTTCTCTCGCACCCGCGCTCTGCTGCCTTTGCCCTGGATCTTTTGTGAAGAGCCTGTCTTTTGCGGCGGATGTCTTGGTGGTGGGTGTTCAGTTGTGGCTCTCGGCTTATCTGCGTAGGCGTAGGTCTACCGGTGCTTTGGATTGTTATGTAATGACTTACGTCATATGCACAAAATACTGTACAGATACACCATATAATTAAATAGGTGTTTATGGCACAGACGCGCAACACCGCGGCTGCACAAAACCCAAAACTCAAACAAAAAAAAACGAAAAAAAAGTCAAGAATCGAGAGTCGAAAGGGCTGCAGAGCAGAGATCTTTCTTCACAAAAGCTCCTTCTTCCTCCCGCCAACGAGAAGTTTTCCCAGGCTTTTTGTAACAAGTATCGCAATCATGGCGCCTCACGTTCGTCCGGAGAATGTGCTCAAGGTATGTTTTGGCTTGTGTTTGGAGAGGGGTGGGGAAGTAGGTCGTGTGAGGAGACGGCTTTGGGGTGTGGAGATAGGTGCAAAGGGGGTGTTCTTCCGTCGATAGTGAGAATCAGCAGATACAAAAAGACAGAAGGGATTATCGGCGTGAATTGGATAGGCCCAGCATCAGACTCGCAAACCATCTCGACTAGATCAGAAGTACTAACAACACGTTCCTAGCGCGCTGAAGAGTTGCTCGCCGTCGACCAGGCCGGCGACGCCTTGAGCCTGCTCCACGAAATCATCACCTCGAAGCGCACGCGCAACACCCCAATTGTCTCGCTCGAGCCCATCATGCTCCGGTTCGTCGAGCTCTGCGTGCAGCTTCGTAAGGGAAAGTTGGCCAAGGAGGGTCTGTATACGTACAAGAACGTTGCTCAGAACACGTCCGTCAGCAGCATCGAGGTGAGCATTTTTCTATATTTTGAATTGTGTCGATCGTCGTCTAACATAACTATTGCAGGTCGTGCTAAGAAGATTCATCGACCTCTCGAAAGAAAAAGTCGCAGAGGCGCAGGCCCAGGCCGATCGTATCGCGCTCGACACGATCGACGATCTCGAGGCATCTGAGACGCCCGAGTCAATCATGCTCTCGGCCGTCTCGACCGAGCAGACCAAGGACCGCACCGACCGCGCGGTCGTGACTCCCTGGCTCAAGTTCTTGTGGGAAGTCTACCGCACCGTGCTCGAGATCCTGCGCAACAACGCGCGCCTCGAGATCATGTACCAGAGCACCGCCATCCAGGCCTTCCAGTTCTGTCTCAAGTTCACGCGCAAGACCGAGTTCCGCCGGCTCTGCGAGCTGCTCCGCAACCATCTCCAGTCCGCGGCCAAGAACCCGTCGCAGGCGCACGCCATCAACCTCAACGACCCTGATACCCTCCAGCGTCACCTCGACACGCGCTTCGCGCAGCTCTCGGCCGCCGTCGAGCTCGAGCTCTGGCAGGAGGCCTTCCGCTCGGTCGAGGACATCCACACTTTGCTCACCATCTCCAAGCGGCCGGCCAAGCCCGCGATGATGGCAAACTACTACGAGAAGCTGACAAAGATCTTCCTTGTCTCGGACAACTTTTTGTTCCACGCCGCGGCCGCGAGCAGATTCTACAACGTGCGCATGCAGACCAAGGCCCTGACCGAGGCCGAGATCTCAAAGACGGCCTCGACCGTGCTCTTGTCTGCGCTCTCGATCCCCGTCATCAGCACCGGCCGCATCCGCGCGGGTATGATCGACGTCGACGAGAACAAGCCGAAGAACGCGCGTCTGTCCGGCCTGCTCAACCTGTCAAAGTCGCCGAGCCGCGCGAGCCTTCTGCGCGAGGCGCTCGCGCACGGCGTGCTCGCGCGCGTCAGCCCCGAGATCCGCGAGCTCTACACGATCCTCGAGGTCGACTTCCACCCGCTCGCCATCTGCAAGAAGATCACGCCGATTCTGGCGACGATCGCGGCCGACGAGGAGATGAGCCGCTACATCGCGCCCTTGCACCAGGTCATCCTCACGCGACTGTTCCAGCAGCTGTCGCAGGTGTACGACGCCGTCAAGCTCGGCTTCGTGCTCAAGCTCGTCGACTTCCCCGAGCCGTTCGCCGTCAGCCGGACGACGATCGAGAAGTTTGTCATGAACGGCTGCAAGAAGGGCGAGCTCGCGATCCGCGTCAACCACGCGGCGGACTCAATCACGTTTGAGTCGGACGTCTACGCGGCCTCGAAGGCGACAGACGCGCAGGTCACGCTGCAGCCGACGCCGAGCGAGATCATCCGCGGCGAGCTCAGCCGCGTCAGCAAGTCGCTGTTTGCGGTCGTCAACGTCGTCGACAGCGAGTACCTTTCCACGCGCGAGGCGGCCAAGACGGCAGCGATCGAGCGCGCGATCGTGGGCGTGGACGAGGAGCACCGCGCCGCGCTCGAGCGCAAGGAGTTGATTGAGACGCGCGCGAAAGAGGCGGAGACGATTCTGCAGAAGCGGGAAGAGGACGAGAGCAAGAAGCGACAGCTCAAGCAGCAGCAGGAGGCGGCTGCCGAGCAGAAGCGACTTGCGGACGAGATGCGCAAGCGCGAGTTTGAGCGCGTGCGCCGCGAGCAGGAGGCGATCAAGGAGCAGGAGAAGCGCAAGCTGGCGGAGGAGATTCGCGCTGCGGGCGTGAAGCTCGACGCGGACTCGATCGAGTCGATGGACACGACCAAGTTGCGCGAGGTGCAGATCGAGCAGGTGGAGAAGAAGACGAAGGATACGCAGGAGCGACTACGCATCACGGCGAAGCGCATCGACCACCTCGAGCGCGCGTACCGAAAGGTCGAGATCCCGTTGCTCGAGCAGGACTACGAGAAGCAGAAGGCGACGGATCTGCAGCTGCACAAGGAGAGACACAAGCAGACGGTCGAGCAGAGCCGGGAGCGGTTCGAGTACCGCCAGTTGCTCAAGAAGAGACTGGGTCGGATGGTGGGCGATTACGAAGAGTTCAAGGAGAAGCTTCTGCATTAGCGTTATGTAGACACATGATTCATTTCTCTTTTCTTTTATTTACACGTATTTGTTTGTTGCCGTTATTTTGTTTAGTGTATAAAGAACATTCTGCGGGCATTTTTCTTGTTTCTGCTCGTGAAAAGTAATCAAAAGCGATTTTCCATATCTCTTATTCCAAGCTGTAGTTTCTTTTTACATCTAAATTGAAAGATAATCCATCTACATCTAGACAGAAATAGGACGACTTTCTCTTCCTGTGCATAAGCGGTCGGATCTTCAGGGTTTGTGGGCTAGGGCTATTTGAGATTTGACAGGCCGATTTGATAACAAGGATCGCGAACGGAAGGAGCTACAACGACCCGCACCAGCACCACCGCAGCAGCATTGTATACAAAGATAGACAGGATGCGGTGAATAATGAATGCGAAGCGATAGACGCGTGATTGGATAACTATCTCTGCTTGGTTTACATTCAGAGGTGCTGCTGTGATTTTGGACTGCGCGATAGTTAGAGCTACTGTTTTTGAGATCAAGAAGGATAGGAATTAGACGGGATGAGTATACACAGAAAACATGTGCCGCCGCCGATCGTGCTTGTGTCTGAGCCTTCCTCGCCGACGTTTGACCGCGACACCAGCAAGACGGCGGTGTTTGAGCAGCAGCAGCAGCAGCGCCGGGCGGCCAAGTCGGCCGTGCTGGCGGGGTACTACGCCTCGCTCCACTCGTCCGCCGCGAGCACGCCCGTGAGCGCGCGCTTTTTTGGCGACGACGAGCAGCAGGCGAATGCGGCAGGCGGGTTTCGGTCGCCGAAACGGCATCACTCGCGGCCGCCGCCGGGGGCGAAGCCGGAGGTTAAGGAGACGCTGGATGCGAGGCTGGAGCATATCGATGGGGAGTCGTATGTGATTAATCAGTATATCGTCAAGGAGCAGGTTGGAAGGGGGTCGTATGGTGCTGTCTGTCGGGCAGTGCATTCGGTCACGGGCGAGACTTTTGTGAGTGCCTCTGTTTTTCATGATGTTGGAGTAGGGTGTCTATGTGGACATACAGCTAATTATGTGCTTAGGCTATCAAAGAGTTTTCAAAGTCAAGACTGAGGAAGCATTCGCTATCGGCAATGCTTCGCCAGCGCCATCCTGGACCCTCTCGATCACCAGGCTTCCCACCTCTTCGCATGCGCGAGTTCCCGCCGCAAAAGTCATCGCTGCCCCCCTCGTCGCATCAAAGCGGCAACCCGCTCGATCTGATCCGGCACGAGATCGCGGCGCTCAAGAAGCTCAACCACGAGAACGTGGTGAGCTTGATCGAGGTGCTCGATAATCCCGCGGGGGACTCGCTCTACATGGTCCTAGAGTGGTGCTCGCGCGGGGTCGTGATGAACGTGTCCGAGACCGCGACCGCGCAGCCGTACGAGGAGGAGCAATGCCGGCTGTACTTCCGGGACCTGATCCTCGGGATCGAGTACCTCCATTCCCAGGGCATCGTGCACCGCGACATCAAGCCGGACAACCTTCTTCTGAACGAGGACAACGTGCTCAAGATCGTCGACTTTGGCGTGTCGGAGTTTTTCGCGCGCGAGCAGGAGAACGGCGATACGGTTACGAAGCAGGCGGGTAGTCCCGCGTTCATGGCGCCAGAGATGTGCGTCGTGCCGCGGATCGAGTACTCTGGGCGCGCGAGCGATATCTGGGCGATGGGCGTGACGCTGTATTGTCTTGTGTTTGGCAGGCTGCCGTTTGTAGGCACGGACGGCAACCTACTTGATCTGTATCGGAAGACGCAGACGGAGGATTTCTATCTGCCAGAGAACACGAACGCCGATCTGCGAGATCTGTTTGCGCGGCTGCTGGATAAGAATTTCCGGACGCGCATACGCATGCCCGAGCTACGGGAGCACCCGTGGATAACACTCCGAGATGAAGACCCGCTGCTATCGTACGAGGAGAACACAGCCTCTGCGGTGACGGACGTGACCGAGCAGGACCTCGAGCGCGCGATCAAGGGCGTGAGAGGGGTGTTTGACGTCGTCAGGGCGGTCAATCGCCGATCGAAAGGCGTGGGCCGGCGCACGCAGAGCAGCCACCGAAGCAGCAGCAGTAACCGAAACAGCGTGTGCAGCGTGGCCAGCGTCGAGGGCGAGGAAGAAGAGGAAGAGATGCGCGGCCGGCGGCGCGAGATCGAGACCGACGAGACTGCGCGGAGCAAAGACGAGGTGCTGCTCGCGCTGCAGGCGTTTCACGAAGGTCTCAAGATCCGCCTCGCGACGCTCAACGTGCTCGAGGAAGAAGACCAGGCCGCCGAGCACGCGGACGCGGTCCGCTCGCGCAGTCTCGATGTCTACCCGCGGTCGTGATGCCGCTGCTTACGATGAGGATTACTAATGTACCACGAGCCCCTGAATTGACTGACGATCAGGTGACGTCACGCGGGATGAAGATCGAGGAAAGATCGCCCCCACGCCCAGGGAAGAGCGCGGGAGGCGGAAGAGGATAATTTATTGTCTGGAGCCGAATATAAATACGGACGAAGATCCCGCTGGTGGGCGTGGTTTGCATTGCAGCATTGCAGTTAGAGCGCTAGAAACAGAGACAATGGGATATCCAGACACATTCGAAGGGTTCGCGGTCGAGTCGGCCGACAAATGGACCGAGCCAAAGTACCGCGAGTACAAGCCGCGTCCGTTCGAGGAGCGCGACGTCGATATCGAGGTTCAGGCGTGTGGAGTCTGCGGGTCGGACGTGCACACTGTGACGTCGGGGTGGGGCGAGTGTCCTTATCCTTTGGTCGTTGGACATGGTAAGTACTACTTATTAACTCAATCGCTGTGTGATCCTTATGCTAATCTTGTGTAGAAATTGTGGGCATCGTCAAGAGAGTCGGCGACAAATGCGAGACCGGGCTCAAAGTGGGCCAGCGCGTGGGCGTGGGCGCGCAGGCATGGGCATGCCTTTCCTGCCGCCAGTGCAAGGCCGACAACGAGGTCTACTGCCCGCAGATGCGCGACACCTACGGCGCAAAGTACCCGGACGGGTCGATCACGCAGGGCGGATATGCATCGCACGTGCGCGTGCACGAGTACTTTGTCTTTCCGATCCCGGACGTGCTCGAGACGACTGCTGTTGCGCCGATGCTCTGCGCGGGCGCGACCGCGTTCTCGCCCTTGTACCGCAACGGATGCGGGCCCGGTAAGCGGGTTGGGATCGTGGGGATTGGCGGGATCGGCCACTTTGGGTTGTTGTTTGCAAAGGCACTTGGCGCAGAGGTGTTTGCGATCAGTCGGTCGGACAAGAAGAAAGAGGACGCGTTCAAGCTTGGGGCGGACGGGTTCATTGCGACGGAGAAGAAGGGCTGGAATGAAGAGTACAGCATGACGTTTGACTTGATTGTGAACTGCGCAAACTCGTCCGAGAACTTTGACTTGGCGGCGTACATGTCCCTGCTGGACGTGAACGGGCGGTTCATCAACGTCGGGCTGCCGGAGGGCGACGGGTTCAAGATCGAGCCGTTCAAGATGATTGGCAACGGCGCGGTGTTTGGGTTTTCGCATATCGCGAGCCGGCCGGAGATTTTGAAGATGCTCGATATCGCGGCGGAGAAGGGGGTTAAGTCGTGGGTCGAGACGTTGCCGGTGGGCGAGAAGGGGTGCGGGGAGGCGTTGAAGAGATGTCATGATAACGATGTGCGGTACAGGTTCACGTTGACGGACTACGATAAGGCGTTTCCTAAGAAATAATTTTCAATGACGTGGTTATGCATATTGAATGTACACAGTAGAGCAGTTTATTAAGAATAGATCAAGCTTCAATCGAGACATCTACATAAAGAGGACGATGGTTGGACATATGATACTGGTTATCAAAGAAATTCTCTCCGACCCTGTATCTCACTGGCGTCCACCCGCCATTCGATCCCGCCAAGACGAACGAAGTCCTCGCGAAGCTGTCGACGTCCGAGATCTCGTTAAACCCCGAGACGGTAGAGTGATGTCCTGATCGGGCTGTAGGCGAGGTCTCGTCCATGACGTCGAGGAAGTAGAACGTGTCGTTGAGCGCGGAGGCGTAGGTATTTGAGAACGTGCTGTTGATCGTCACGCGCTCGGTGAGGCCCGTGAGGATTTTGTACGCGGTGGCGGAGGAGGACGAGCCGGGTTCGGTGTTTAGGCAGCCGAGGAGGAAGACGGGCGCGCGGGTGTCGAATGCTTCGTAGGACGCGCGGTAGCGGATGAGAGAGGCGCCGTACTGACGCGCCGAGTCGGACTTGTCGTCCATATGCGTCGAGAAGACGGTGAACGTGGCAGAGGAATTGGATGTGAGGGCGAACTGGCCGCGGGTGACCATGCGGGTCGAGCTGGCGCCGGAGTAGGTCGATGCCTCGGACGGGGTGGTCGAGAGCCAGAAGTGGTCGGTGGCGAGGGAGGAGAGGGCGTCGGTGTTGTAGAAGATGGCTTGCCATTCGCCGGATTCGAGGCCGTCGTCGCGGCCGGCGCCGATGTAGGACCAGTTGTCGCCGAGGAGGGAGGCGAGGTCGGTCATTTGGCGGGTGTAGGCGCCTTGGATGGCTGTGGGTGTGTCAGCGTGTCCCTAGTTTTGAAGAGGAAGAAGCAGAAGAAGAAGAGAAGAAGTACCAAACAGCTGGACCTTGTTAAACAAGATATCGCTCGACATTGCGATCCGGCGCGTAGACCAAGCGACTTCCGCGTGGTTTGAGTAGTAGTCGATTTCCGAGTCGACCGGGACGGTGGAGTTGAGGCCTGCGATTGTGTCGTCGACGGAGATCGAGTCCGAGAGCGAGTCGTAGCGGATGGCCCAGGTGAGCATGCGGATGTTTGTCGCGGCCGCGAGGCAGAGCGCGGGGAGGGAGAGGAGGGCGAGGAGTTTCATTGCGGTGAGAGAGATGGAGAGGTGTTGACAGAAGAAAGAAGAGAAAGACAGAAGAGAGAGAAGAGAAAGACAGAAGAGAGAGAAGAGAAAGACAGAGGTGTTGATATGATTGTCAGAGCAGGAAGGAGGCGTGCGCGCGCGATTGGCTCGGCAGGCAGCAATCATAGAAGCAGAGGAGCAGGAACAAACAGTACGTAAGCCAGACAGAGGCTGGACCTAGCTCGAGACAGAGCAGAGCATGGTCCTTACGTAAATGGCTGACGAGCAGACGGAGAGGAGGAGTGAACGTGGGCGGATATGAAGAGACAGGGAGGCACGTGTGTGGGGAGAGCGAATGTCGTTGGTTGTTTGCGAGGAGTGGGAGGTTTTTGCACTCGCACTTTGGAGGGATGGTCGGTGGTCTTTTGATTATTTGATGTTGGTTTTGAAGTGGCTTTGGATATGGAGAGGATGAGATTGTATGGATATTGAGAAAAGGCGATGAAGTAGTCAGATAAGATAACCGCGCACCGTAGATGTGAGGAGATATAAGCCCTACACAGACATAATGCCGCAGGTGGGCATTATTAACTGTTTTTTTTTTTCTTAATTGTGATAGAATTTATTTTCTTGTTATTTGATTTATTTTGTATATTTATTATAGCTATTACTATGTATGGTGTTAACAAGCATGGTTATATCGAGAGAATTTCAAAGTGCGGTGTAGCTAGAATTAGGATTCGTGTTATTAGATAAAACTCGGGTTGAGGGTATAATAAACATAATGAGCTCTCCAACGTTTTTGACACCACTTTGGTCTTTGCGTACCAGTTTGTATGTTATCAAGTATGTGAAGTTATTGTGAAATAATCTCCAGAGATTTTTGAGAATAAATGGGATTTCTGGGTGGAGAAGGGGAGGTACTGGGTCTTTAAGATATGTATGTGAGGGTTTGAGATACAGCTGCTGCTGCTGCACCGCAGTTGATTGCAGTGCTCGGTACTCGCAATTGAGTCTAGATTACTTTGAATATTATTGCAATTGCTGATATGATATTATAGTATAACTAAAATCATCAACTACAACATCTAAGAACCACGGTAGTTGACACCTGGCAGAGCCGCATAACCCGCATGAGCCGGAATATTCCGGATCCCCACCGTGCTCTCTATATACAACACAGAGACCGTCAATACACTGAATACCTTCTATCTTCTTGCTATTTCTATACAATTGATCAGCAATTAACGAGTACGATATAGCTGCTGATGATGGGAGATGGCAGGGAATAGGGTTCGGGGAAGTAACCTTATAGTTTCCATTAGCGAGATGGTTTGTGTAGGGTTTTTTTGCCTTCTTTTCTAGTATGCTGCGCTGTGTTGAGTAGAGGAAGAAGAAAGTAGAAGAAAAGTGATTGACAATGCATTGCAATGCACATGTATCTAAGAATAAGAAATTCACAGACAAGCGCATGATAATCGCAAGAGGCATAAAAGATCAGTCCACAGAGCGTTAGGCAGCGCGAGTCGGACTGTGACAATGCGGATCGGTCGGATGGCTGACGTCACCTTTGGCCTTCCTCACCTTCTGACGTCAACTTCTGCCCGTCGTCTCCTGCTGCTTCTGTCGCTGATACCACTAACAGCTCCTTCTTCTACTTCTTCTTCTACTGCTATCAAGACCATCTACTATCGAGCAGTGTCTTGGTTGTCTCGGGACATCAGCTGGTCAGGCGTGCAGGGCAGCAGACGCATCACATGACCTTCAAGCCGCTCGCCACGCGGCATGAATTGAGTTTAGCAAATAATAAAGTTTAGTAAATAAAGTTTAAAGAAGGTTCGAGTAGCATCGCGCACAATCCACGACTTGAGCGGCGCGGATATATAAATCCAGCCAGCGTCCTCTTCACTCCTCATCATACAACAACAACAAATACACACATACATACATACATACATACATACACACACAATGGCGTCTGATATGCAATTCACAGACAAGGCTGCCACGATCCTGCAGGAGTCTGCCAGGCTCGCGACCGAGTACAGTCATCCGCAGCTGCAGCCGCTGCACTTCCTCGCCGCGATGGCGATGCCGGAGGCAGACGGGGGCCCGCCATACCTCCGCGTGGTTGTCGAGAAGGCCCGTTATGAATGGGCGCCTCTTGATCGACTGATTAACAAACATGTAAGTTTTTTCGACTTGTTCTTTATTTACTTTACAAGATCAATACTAACAGATTATAGATTGTGAGAATCCCCGCACAGAGCCCTGCTCCAGATCAAGTCCTTCCATCCCCCACCGCCGCCAAGGTTCTGCAAGGCGCGAGCAAGGTCAGCAAATCACAGAAAGACTCGTTCATCGGGCAAGATCACATCCTGCTCGCGCTGCTGGAAGATCGTTCGGTACAAGATCTGCTCAAAGAAGCCAGCATGCGGAGCGAAAACATCAGCACGGCCGTGCAGAACCTGCGCGGCAACAAGCGCATCGACTCGCGCACCGCTGATACGTCAGAGGAGTTTGAGTTTTTGAAAAAGTACGCGGTTGACTTGACCGAGCTTGCGCGTCAGGGTAAGCTTGATCCGGTGATTGGTCGCGAAGAAGAGATCCGTCGGTGCATCCGAGTTCTCTCGCGCCGGATGAAGTCCAACCCCTGTCTTCTCGGCGACCCAGGTGTGGGAAAGACCAGTGTTGTCGAGGGCGTCGCGCAGCGGATTATTGACGGCGACGTGCCGTCTGTGCTGGCGGGATGCCGACTGATGTCGCTCGATCTCGGCGCGCTCAAGGCCGGCGCAAAGTACCAAGGCGACTTTGAGGAGCGTGTGAAGGGCGTGTTGAAGGAGATTGAGGACGCGAAGGAGATGATTATCTTGTTTGTGGACGAGATCCACATGCTGATGGGCGACGGCAAGAGCGACGCCGCAAACTTGCTGAAACCCATGCTTGCGCGCGGCAAGCTGCACTGCATTGGCGCGACGACCGTCGAGGAGTACCGCAAGTACATTGAGAAGGACGCCGCGTTCGAGCGTCGGTTCCAGAAGGTTGACGTGCGGGAGCCGACGATCCGCGAGACGGTCGCGATCCTGCGTGGGTTGCAGGGCAAGTACGAGCTGCATCACGGCGTGCGTATTCTCGACAACGCGCTCGTGACGGCGGCGCAGTTGGCGTCGCGGTACCTGACTTATCGACGTCTGCCTGATTCTGCGGTCGATTTGATTGACGAGGCGGCGGCGTCGGTTGCGGTTGCGCGTGATTCGCGACCGGAGCAGTTGGATACGCTTGAGCGACAGCTGCAGCTGGTGCAGGTCGAGATCTCTGCTCTTGAGCGCGACACTTCCGACGCGGCCAAGACCGACAAGTCGACGAATGACCGACTGCAGGCGGCGCGGCAGAAGGCTGCGAGCTTGGAAGAGGAGCTGACACCGTTGCGCGAGAGATTCCATAGCGAGCGCAAGGGACTCGAGGAGCTGAACAACTTGAGGAAGCGACTCGAGGAGCTCGAGTACAAGGCGCAGGATGCGGAGCGTCGGCGGGATACGGCGTCGGCAGCCGACCTGAGATACTTTGCGATCCCGGATATCAAGAAGCGGATCGAGGCGCTCGAGAACGACAAGAAGACGTCGGACCAGGCGTTGCTCGAGGACCTTGTGACGCCGGAGATTATTTCGGAGACGGTTGCGCGGCTGACAGGAATCCCGGTGAACAAGCTGACACAGGCGGAGAACGTGAAGCTGATCAACATGGAGCGCGAGCTTGCTCGACAGGTTGTGGGCCAGACGGAGGCGGTGAAGGCGGTGTCGAACGCGATCCGGCTTTCACGCGCGGGGCTGTCTAATCCGAATGCTCCCAGCAGTTTTATGTTTTTGGGACTGTCGGGGTCGGGCAAGACGGAGCTGGCGAAGAAGCTCGCGGGATTCTTGTTTGCGGACGAGAAGGCGATGATCCGGATTGATTGCTCGGAGCTGGGCGACAAGTGGTCGGCATCGAAGCTGCTGGGCGCCGCGCCGGGATACGTCGGATATGAGGAAGGTGGAATCCTGACGGAGGCACTGCTGCGTCGGCCGTACTCTGTGCTGCTGTTTGACGAGGTCGAGAAGGCGGCGCCGGAGGTGTTGACGGTGCTGTTGCAGCTGCTGGACGATGGTATTATCCACTCGTCGTCGGGCAAGCTTGTGAATGCGGCGAACTGCATCGTGATTATGACGTCGAACCTGGGGGCGGAGTACATTCAGCAGACGTCGAGCTCGCATATCGACGAGGTGACCAAGTCGCATGTGATGGAGGCGGTGCGGGCGCACTTCCGACCGGAGTTTCTGAACCGGATATCGTCGATGGTTGTGTTCAACCGGCTGTCGAAGAAGAACATCAAGAAGATTGTGGAGTTGCGGATCAAGGAGATTGGCAAGCGGATGGAGGCCAATAATAAGAACATCACAATCACGGTCGACGAGGCGGCGAAGGACTACCTGTGCGAGCACGGATATTCAAGAGACCTGGGCGCGCGGCCGCTGAACCGGTTGATTCAGAACGAGATCCTGAATAAGCTGGCGGTGTTGATTCTGCGGAACCAGGTGCGGGATAACGAGGAGGCGAAAGTGAGGTTGTCGGAGGCGGGCGATGGGCTGAAGGTGTTGCCTAACCACGAGCAGGACATAGATATGGAGCCGATGGAGATTGACAGTGAAGACGAGGATCTGATGGATGAGGATGTTGAGTGAGAGTGAGATAGTTGATAGGAGTTGATAATAAGAGGTTGTTAATAATAGTATTGCTTATTGCTCATTCAATGCTCATATTACTGCGATATGAAATTCTAAACCGTAGTTTGCATCCAGTAAAAGGTAAACAGAGCCATTGTCAGCACCCGCCGCAGCGGTGACAGTCGGGACAACGTTTAGTCCGTCGGGAGGATGCTGACGTCAGCGGGAGAGCGAGCAGAACACCGGCAGCGCTGCGAACACGCGTGGAGGCCTCAGCGAAGACAGAGAATCAGCTCAGAAGCAGAGCAGCGGTCGGGGCCGGTTGGGCCGACTCCTTCTTCTTTATCTTCTTGCTCTTCTTCCCTCTACCTCTTCTCTACCACTCTCCTCTACCACTCTCCTCCCTCTTCACCACCATCTCTCCACCTCTCTACACAATGGCAGACCTCGAGGCTCAGGCCCAGTCCGACGACTACTCTCACCTCAGAGACGTCGACCAGACCCACCTCGCCGCCCTCTCCCACACCCTCTCCTCCCGCTCCGCAGACCGCGCAGACCGCGATCTCTCCCCCGACGACTTCCAGCTCGAGTCCGTCCTCCGCCGCCGCCTCCACGCCAGCGCACAGTCCGGCATCCTCGACCGCGCCGTCGGCGTCCTCTTCCGCGACCTCTCCGTCCGCGGCATCGACATGGCCACCACCTCGCTCTTCACCCTCGGCGAGATCCTCATGACCCCCTTCCGCATCCGCGAGAAGATCGCCGGCGTACGCAACCGCCAGCTGCGCTTCCTGATCCAGCACACAAACGGCCTCGTCAACAAAGGCGAGATGCTCCTCGTCCTCGGCCGTCCCGGCGCTGGCTGCTCGACCTTCCTCCGCACAATCGCGGGCGAGGTCGAGTCCTACGTCGACGTCGACGGGACGCTGCTCTACGACGGCATCGACCAGCAGACAATGAAAGCTCGGTTCCGCGGCGACCTGCTTTATTCCGCTGAAAGTGAGTTTGTGATTTGTGACCCTTTATTTCTCTCTGCTGACACGTGCGCTCGCTAGCCGACGAACACTTCCCGACGCTCAACGTCGACCAGACGCTCTCCTTCGCAGCTGACATCAAAGCCCCCCAGCTCAGGCCCGGCGCCGTCTCCCGCAAGCAGTATGTCGCCGACGTGCGCGACACCCTCGCCACCGTCTTTGGCCTCACGCACACCTTCCACACCCCCGTCGGCGACGACTACGTCCGCGGCGTCTCCGGCGGCGAGCGCAAGCGCGTCTCGCTCGCTGAGGTCCTCGCCGGTCGCGCGCAGCTCGTGTGCTGGGATAACTCTACGAGGGGGCTGGATGCCTCGACTGCGCTGGAATACACGCACACCATCCGCACGACGACGAATTTGCTCAAGAATACTGCCATCGTGGCAATCTACCAGGCGGGCGAAAACATCTACCGGCTCTTTGACAAGGTCACCGTCTTGTATCTCGGGCGGCAGGTCTACTTTGGCCCCGTTGCCGAGGCTCGAGCTTACTTTGAGCGCATGGGATACTACTGTCCTCCCCGTCAGACCACCGCGTATGTCTTCCTATTTCTGATTACACCCACGCACATGCTAACTTCTACTTCTTAGTGAATTCCTGACTGCCGTCACTGATCCCGCCGGCCGCTTCCTGCGCTCGGACGCGCCCAAAGACGTGCCCGTCACCGCCGACCAATTCGAAGCCTACTGGCACAACTCGCCCGAATACCAGCGCGTCGTCGCAGAGGTCGAGCAAGCCATCAGCGCCTGCAACCCCGACGAGAACCTCAAGCTCCTCAACGAGTCTGCCTCGCAGGAGCGCGCGGGATTCGCCAAGCGTCATGATTCGCCTTATGTGCTTTCCTTTGCGCAGCAGCTTCGCGTACTTATCCGTCGCGGGTTCGAACGCCAGAAAGGAGACCGCGCGTACATGATTGCAAACGTGTTTGCTTCCATCTTCCAGTCTCTAATCACCGGCTCGCTCTTCTACAACATCCCCCACACCTACGCCGGATCATTCTCCCGCGGCGGTGTACTCTTCTTCTCTGTCCTCTTCTTCACGCTCAACTCGCTCGCAGAGATGGCCGTGCTTTATCCCCAGCGCAAGATCGTCGACAAGCAGCGCCGGTACGCGTTCTACCATCCCGGCGCTGAAGCACTCGCCTACATGATCACCGCGATGCCCGTCAAGATGGTCTCTGTCACAATCTTCACTCTCATCCTCTACTTCATGACGAACCTCAATCGCACGCCCGGACAGTTTTTCTTCCTCTACCTGATTGTCAATGTCACGACCTTCACCATGACTGCTTTTTTCCAGATGATTGCGTCGTACACGCCCTCGCTCGAGGCGGCTAATGCCGTCGCGGGACTGTTTTTGATGATGGTCTTTATCTACGCGGGATACCTGATCCCCCGGCCGTTCATGAAAGTGTGGTTCGGGTGGCTTTCGCGGGCGAATCCGCTCGCGTACGCCTTTGAGTCGCTGATGGCCTCTGAATTTCACGGATCAGAGTACAGCTGCACTGAAGTTCTGATTCCTCAAGGAAGTGCCGCGTACGATGCCATACCCCTCGCCAACAAGGTCTGCGCGGCCACCGGCTCGCGACCGGGTCGGGACTATATCCTTGGCGACGACTACATCGGCGACGCGTTCGAGTACAAGTGGTCGCATGCGTGGCGCAACTTTGGCCTGCTGATTGTGTTTGCGATCGGGTTTGTCGTTCTGTACGCGATCGGATGCGAGATCCGGAAGCCGAGCGGCACTCAAGGCGACGTGTTGATCTTCAAGCGCGGGCATGTGCCTGAAGAGGAAGAACTCAAGCGCCGGCAGCAGCAGGGCGGGAACGCGGATCTTGACGGGCGCGCGGCGGCGGTGGTCGAGGTCGAGAGCGAGAGCGAGAAACCGGGCTTGTCTGACTCGTCTGATTCGGGCTCAAAGACCGCCGTGGCACTCGACGAGGAGGCGATGCTCGGCAAGCTGCCATCGAGAGTGAACAGCACGCTGCAGATGAACGAGATCTTCTCGTGGCAGAACGTCAACTACACCGTCACGCTCGACGACGGCGAGAAGCGGCAGCTGCTGTGCGACGTGCAGGGATATACAAAACCCGGCACGCTGACGGCGTTGATGGGCGAGTCTGGCGCGGGCAAGACGACGCTGCTCAACACGCTTGCGCAGCGAATCGACGTCGGCGTGATCTCGGGCGGCATGCTGGTGGACGGCAAGGCGTTGAACGCGGGGTTCAAGCGGCGCACGGGATACGTGCAGCAGCAGGACATGCACGTTGCCGAGTCGACTGTGCGCGAGTCTTTGCGGTTTGCGGCGCTGCTGCGGCAGCCCGCGACGGTGCCGATCGCGGAGAAGTACGAGTACGTCGAGACCGTGATTGAGATGCTCGGCATGGAAGCCTACGCGGAAGCGATTGTCGGATCTCCCGGCAGCGGGCTGAATGTCGAGCAGCGCAAGAAGCTGTCGATTGGGGTTGAGCTTGCGTCGAAGCCGTCGCTGTTGCTGTTTCTGGACGAGCCCACGTCCGGGCTGGATTCGCAGTCGGCGTGGGCGGTTGTGCAGCTGCTGCGCAAGCTGGCGAACGCGGGCCAGTCGATCCTGTGCACGATCCATCAGCCGTCTGCGACGCTGTTTGAGCAGTTTGACAAGCTCCTGTTGCTGAAGAAGGGAGGCCAGACCGTGTACTTTGGCGAGATTGGCGATAACTCGCGTAAGGTGATTGAGTACTTTGAAGGGCAGGGCGCGCCCAAGTGCGGGTCCGAGGAGAACCCGGCTGAGTATATCCTGAACTGCATCGGAGCTGGCGCGACCGCGGTCGTCGATCGCAACTGGTACGAGGTTTGGCAGCGGTCGACAAACTACGAGGCGCTAACGCGAGAGATTGCGGAGCTGCACGCGGAGCTGAGTCAACTGCCAGCCAAAGAAGTTGGCAAGGAGTTCACGGGCAAGTTTGCGGTTCCGTGGACGACGCAGGCGCTGGCGGTGGTGATTCGCACGTACCAGACGTACTGGCGGTCGCCGAGCTACCTGATGGCCAAACTGATGCTTCTCATCACCGGCGGCCTCTTTGTCGGCTTTTCGTTCTGGCATAACGAGTTTTCGGTGCAGGGCGTGCAGAATCTGATTTTCGGAGTGTTTCTGCCGATCGTGCTGGCGGCGCCGTTGATTAATCAGTTGCAGCCGCGGGCGATCGAGATCAGAGAGCTGTACGATGTGCGCGAGGCGGCGTCGAATACCTATCACTGGAGCGCGCTGCAGCTGTCGATGCTGCTGGTCGAGATCCCGTACAATATCTTGTTCACGACGGTGTTTTACTGCTGCTACTATTTCCCTGCAGACTACTTCCGCGAGGCGTCGCGGGCGGGATACTTTTACTTTAGCTACGCGATCCTCTACACGAGCTTCTGGACGACGTTTGGGCTTGCAATCACGACGTTTGTGCCGGATGCGGCGACGGCGAATATCGCGACGTCGGTGTTTTTCAGTATGATTTTGTCGTTTGCGGGGTTCTTTCAGCCGCCGAGCATGTTTCCTGGGTTTTGGGTGTTTATGTATAGGATTTCGCGTGAGTTCTCTTATTTCTTTATTTGAAGAGTAGTGGAGGATGCTGACTTTGATTTAGCTCATACGTATTTTCTGCAATCGCTGCTTGGGACGGTGCTGCACGGGGGAAAGATTACATGCAAAGAGAATGAATTCAACATCTTCACGCCGCCGGGCTCGATGACCTGCTACGAGTACGCGGGCGAGTTCACGGAGCAAGCGGGCGGGTACCTGAACAACCCGAACGCGACGTCGAACTGCGAGTTTTGCAAGTGGCAGGTGGCGGACCAGTACCTCGAGACCGTCGGGGTGAATTACGGGCAGCGATGGCGCAACGTGGGGATTGAGATCGGGTTTGTGCTGTTTAATGTGTTTTTCATGTTTGCTGGGTTCTATCTGTTTAGGGTGATGAAGTGGAGGCGGCCGGGGTTCTTGAGGAGGGAGAAGAAGGAGGAGGAGAAGAAGGTTGAGGTGTAGAGTAGCTGTAATGTGTAATACTGAATATAAACTGTTATAAAGATGTTGAGAACCGTTAATGTAGTTGCTCAGTAAGCTCAACACAAAGTAACGTGACCCAAAACTCCCAGCGACTTCGGCCAACTTGTCCAATCCACGCCCGACACCGCCTCGTCGACACCGCAATCCTCTGTTCTCTGCGATTCAGATTCTTCTTCAATCTTCATCTTACTCTCATCATCATCTTCTACTTGTTTTGACTGTGCGCTGCGCTGACCGCTCGGCATGGCGAGCTTCCAGACCCTCCTGATCACCTACCTCCTCGGCGGAATCACTTTCATCCCTCTTGTGCTCTGCGCCGTGGTTTACTACATCTACACCACCCTTCCCGAGGTAGACAAGGACGGCAACATCATCCAGCGCGCGCCTGCCGCGGAGGATGCTGCGGCAGAAAAACCCACGACACGCACACCGTCCTCGTTCCCCGGCACTGATCCGCTCGCCGCCGCGCCGCCCAACAGCAGCGGCGAATCCGACGCCGACCGCGAGCGAAGAGAGGCAGAGGCGCTGCTCAAGTCGCTCGAGACGCAGCCTGATATTGGCGTGGACGCGTACATGACCGGCTGGCTGACTGTGTCGCGCGAGTTTTCGTTTCAGCGCGTGACGGACTCGTCGCACGACAAGCACTCGTCCTCCTCGTCGTCGTCGGGCTCGTCGATAAACGAGACGGCGTATACGTCGATTTATAAGCATTTGCTGGACCGCAAGACGCAGCATGCGCAGGGCGCGCAGGCGCAGACGCCGTCGCCGGATGGGAAGCCAAAGGTGAAGCCGAAGCGAAGGACTGCGAATACCTTCTTTGCGATCCTCAGGTGTGTCCCTCTCATCTTTTCTCTCTCAAGCTCGACTTGCTAACTAGATTTTTAGACACGGCAATCTCTTTCTCTACGACAGTCCCGAGCAGATGAACGTCCAGCAAGTGATTGTCCTCGCCAACCACACCGTCTCGATCTGGCCGCCCAACATCCCCGACGGCCAGCTCTTCATCCGTCGGCACGCCATCTGTCTCGCTCCGATCCGCTCCAAAGCACTCGCCGCGGCCTCGCCCGTCGACGTCGATCATCCGCCCAAGAACGCTTATTTCCTGTTTTCAGAAAATTGTGCGGAAAAAGAGGATTTCTACTTTGCCATCCTGCGCGCGACCAAGCGCGCGATCAAGGTCGCGCCGGAGAACATCAGCGGATCAAGAGGCGGGAGACACTTGCTTCCAAAGTACCCCGACGCCTTGATCGACGCGCACCCGCTGAAATTCAACCCCGAAGACATCCAGAAACTGATCAACACGATCAACTCGGGCGAGGGCCACCAGGACACGATGTGGCTCAACGCGCTTCTCGGGCGGATGTTTCTGGCGCTCAATCAGACGAGCGTGCTCGAGAACTTTGTAAAGACAAAGATCGATACAAAGCTGTCGCGCGTCAAGAGGCCGTCGTTTTTGGGTGATATCACGGTCACGAAGGTGCACTGTGGCACGTCGCCGCCTTATCTTACCAATATCAAACTGAAGGAGTTTACGTATGTTTCTTCTAGTTTTTATTAATGGTGTGGACTTGCTGACTGTGTGAATGTGTAGTAAGGAGGGATTGATGACCGTAGCCGCCGACCTCAGCTACGAAGGCGATCTAAAGCTCGAGATTGCGACAAAAGCTACCTTGAACTTTGGCTCGCGTTTCAAAACACGAGGTGCGCCCTACAACTTTGTATTACTTTTGTGACGCTGCTAATTCGTTGAATGCCTGATATAGAAGTCAGTTTACTACTGCTTGTCGCGTTTAAAAGTCTGCAGGGACGGATTAATTTCACGTTGAAGCCGCCGCCTTCGAATCGGTTCTGGTACTGCTTCGAGACAATGCCCAAGGTGCGTATACAGTTTTTGACTAGATGTGAGATGTTGTGCTGATCTCGCTGTAGATCAATATGGTGGTCGAGCCGGTGGTTAGTTCGCGGCAGATCACGTATAGTATGGTTACTCGGGTGATTGAGAACCGGATTCTCGAGACTGTGAGTATATTCTATGATTTATCAGGTATGAGGGCAACGGCTGATTATGTAGCTCCGAGACTCGCTGGTCGCGCCGTATATGGACGACCTTGCATTCTACAACACATCCCAAGAATACTTCCGCGGCGGTATCTGGGACCATTCACTCCGCCAGGCCGAAGCGCAACAAGACCGTGCCGACGAATCGTCCGCGCTTGCAGACGACCATGACACCGTCGAGCTTGATGCGCACTTCAACGCCTCCGCGCCACGGCACAACACCGATAACTTTAGCATTTCGTCGTCCATCTCGCTCGATTCGTCCGACAAAAACAGTCTCTACGACGAGCACTCGAACATGTCCACTCCCGAGCTGCGGCATCGGGTCAAGTCTGAGCTGATTGGCGACTCGACGACGACAGCGGCCGCGGACGGGGATGCGCATGCTACCGTCGGACGCAGGAAGCGCGTGCCGAGCGTGTTTAACCCGTCTGCGCCGGCGATCGTGGGGACGGACAAGATGAATATAGTGGTAGTGGACGGGCAGGTCGTTAGCCAGAAGGACGCGATGGTGTCGCAGTACACCTCATCCTCGCCCTCGCACCGCTCGTCCAGCAGATCCAGCGCGCGCTCGTCCTTCTCAAGAACCGACAGCGACCGCGCGTCCGTGTTCAACCACACCCTCGGCGGCAGCAGCACGTCCAGCAGCAGCGATAACCTCTCGAGCATGTCGTCGACGAGCGACGACACGCATTCTCTCGCTAGCGTTGACACCGAGCGGGGAACTCGGTCAGAAACGAGTTCAATCCACTCGTTTGGCGGAGACGCGTCGCCGGGCGAGCGCGCGACGATATCAGAGTCGGTGAAGAAATGGGGAAGCAAGTATTTTGCGACTGCGAAGAAAAACGTCGCGGCGCGGATGGCTGCGAACGCGAGCAGCGGCGGACTGACGAGCTCGAGTAACCCTACAAGTCTGCAGAAGGACCGGATTCAAAAGAAGATCATCGAGTCGCGGTTCGCAAACTCGGACGGCGAGATTTTGCTGAACGCGCCAAAACCGCATACTTATCCCCCCGACGCGACGAACGTGGTGCCGGACACCGGGCGCGAGGCGAGAGCGGCGCAGGCGGAGGAGTTTCTTGAAGGACCGTCGTCTGTGTTTGCGTCGGGTAGTCAGCATGCGCAGCCGGTGCAGACCCGGCAGAGCTACGGGCCTACGAGCATGCAGCTTCCCACCAAGATCGCGCCGCAACGCGTTCCTGTGTCGAGCTCTCCGGCGTCTACTACCTCTGAAGGGCTGCCGATACTACAGTCGATCCAGCCGCCGCCAATGTCACCCACTCGCCGCAAACTTCTAGAGCAGCAGCAGTCCTCGCCTTCCTCTGACCACGCAACCAGCCCTCTACAACACACCATCGGCCTAGACACTTCCGACTCGCCTGCAGCACCCCCACCACCCCCCTCGATCGCTAAATACTCCTCCGCCCCGTCGCAGCCGAGACCGTATACCGCGCCGGAACCGACGTCGCCCGTGGGCGGCGTGCAGAGGAAAGCGATTCCAAGGAAACCGGTGCGGAAACCTGTAGGCGGGGGTATTTCGAATGCGGTGGCGGCCGCGGCAGCTGCCGCTGCTGCTGCCGAGGCGGGCGTGTCGAACGCTAGCACGGAGACGTTGACGCCGTCGTCTGGCGAGCATGAAGACGCGTCGCCGTCGCCCGCTGATGCAGACGCACACTCTGACCCACCCAAACCATCGCCAGAACCCGAGCAACCCGCGGCGGTAACCATTCCGCAGCCTCCAGCAGCGACAAAACACATTGACCTTGACGCGCAGCAGTTCGACATTGGTCCGTCGTCGTTTGCGGATCTGGTGGATGAGGGAAATAGTCTCGGGTTGGGATACGACTATGCTGCCGGGGGCGGGGTGACGATGTATGCGGGCTCGTCGCCTACGTATTCGTCGAGCGCGGGGAGTACCTCGTGGGGAGGAGAGCGGGGGCGGAGAGGCGCGGATGAGGAGAGGGAGAGAGAGAGGGAGAGAGAGAGGGAGAGGGAAAGAGAGAGGGAGAGGGAGAGGAAGGAGGAGGAGGAGAGGGGAGCGCCTGCGAGTGTTGAGGAGACGGTGGCGGATTTGATGACGTTTGATGAGGACGAGGGGCAGAGTGCTGCTGCAGGGAATGTCGCTGAGAGCAGCACGGAGAGCAGCGCGGAGACGACTACTGAGAGCAGCGCGGGAAGTGAAGTGCCATCGACGTCTACATCTAGTACCGCCGAGGTGCTCGAGCAGACCGCCATCAGCGCGCAAGAAGATTCGCATGCTGCTGCTGCTGCTGCTGAGGTGGAAGTCGATACCGGCGGTACTCCTCCTCCTACTACTACTACTACTACTACTACTACTACTACTACTTCTACCACTCCTGACCCCGTTGAGGTTGCTGAAAACCAAAACGAGGAGAGTCAGGACGAAGCGGGAAAAGTGGCAGAGAAGGAGGGCGAGGAGTAGAGAATGAAAAGTGCAAAGTATAGATAGAAATAGCGATAGTTTTTAATGATTTATCTTTTACTGCCGCGTCGAGTGAATCGCGTCGAGTGAACTGAGCGATAAAAATACATTCAAAAAACAACACAACAAAAAAAATACTAAATATACACTGTGCATCTCCTGTCGCTCACAAAACAGATATTCATTATCATCAAGAAAGTAATCTTCCTCTATGAAGCTTAGCTTCGTTTACTTGCCAGAAATCGCTTTACTGGTATTAACCCCATTCAACTTCTGCAGATACGCCTGCGTCGGATTCCACCTTCTCACCGACCGGATCTCGTCCGCGTTATACCCGGGCACTCTGATATTCCAATTCCGCTCGAGATGCAACTGCACGTCCTTGACGTCGAGCGTCGTGCTCTTGCGGTGCTTCGCGAGCCGGCAACTGAACGACGCGACCGAGGTCACGAACTCGTCCGCGAGATCGAGAAGGAGCTCTTCGACGTCGCCGTCGATCGCGGCGTCGCGGTCGTCGTTGCTGGTTTGCACGCCGTTCGCGGTCGTCGTGCTGGTGCCGATGATGTCTTTGACTAGCTCGCTTAGCTTGCGCTTCGACAGCACCCGCGCGCTCCCGCCGTTTAATTCGAACGGCGGCGGTTTCGTGATGGCGGGACTCGCGAGCACGGGCGAGCTAGCAGCGTGTCCGCCCGTGAGCGACGGCCGCGAGGGTTTTACCGCCGCGGGAACGGGCTGCTTCATCGACAGCGTGTTGGGGATCGGCATGTGCTGGATCATGCTCGCGGTCGGGTTTATGATGTTTTGCCCCACGCCGAGGGCCGGGGGGACTACCGGGCGCGCGGACGGTCCTGCTCCTCCTGCTGCTGCTGCTGCTGCTGCTGCGGCGGCGGCACCCGCGCCTGCGACTGCCGATCCAGCTGCTGCGCCGGCCGCGCCTACGGCACCTGCTGCTGCTGCTTGCTGCTGGATGCCCATGCCGCCGACGGGCGCGACGCCTGCGAGCTTGGCTTGCGCTGGGAGCTGCTGCTGGCCTTGAAGACCCGCCTGCTGCTGCTGTTGCTGCTGTTGCTGTTGCTGATTGATCATCCGCTGAGGAGTCACGATCGGACGCGCGATAGGTGATCCCTGCGGCCCGACTTTACCGAGCGCTGCGTTCTGCACCTGTCCGATCGCGTTGGGTTGCGGGCGCGGACTGATGTTGGCGGCGGGTGAGCCGCCTGCGACGGCAGCGGCGCGGATGGCTTGCGCGCGGGCGACGTTGCCGGGGAGATTGTTGCCTTGCATCATCGGAGACTGGATTCCCGCTTGCGGTGAGCCAGCGCGAGCAGCGGCGGCCTGGGCCTGAAGTCGTTGTTGCTGTTGCTGCTGCTGTTGCTGTTGTTCCTGTTGCTGGCGAAGTTGCTGCTGCTGCTGTAGTTGCTGACGCGCGAGGGCCTGCTGCGCGGGCGTCAACTGCTGCTGGCCGGGCATGATCTGCTGTGTCTGTTGCTGAATGCCTTGCTGCATCTGGTATGGCGATTGGTTGGCCTGCATGGTTTGAGCCTTGATCTGTTGCTGTTGCTGTTGCTGCTGGGGAGTCAGACGGCGCGCGTTCTGCTGGAACTGGGCTGCGCGCATGTTGTTGAGATTTTGCTGCGCTTGTGTCTGTTGTGACATGGACTGCTGCATCTGCTTGAGATATTAGTATTGGTGTGAGCTGTAGAGGTGATAACAAAGATACACACCTGGCCAGGGATTTGACCAATCTGAGATGGCTGCTGGACCGCGGCCTGCTGCCCCATATTCATATTTTGCTGCTGCTGTTGCTGCTGGGCGGCATTCAGTCTGATCTGCTGGGCAAGAGCCTTCGCGGTCGCGATATAATGCTCGCGTCTACCGTTCAACTCCCTGATTGCGTTTTCGATCTTTCCCCTCTCCTCGCCCTGGATCTGCGGGTTGGCAGACAGCTGCTGCTCGTACTTTGTAACCTGGTTGTGAAACCCGACGATGTGTTTCTGGATCGTCTCGAGCTGGCTCATGCGGAGCTGCTGCTGCTCGGCAGGCGACATCTGCGCGAACTGGGCCTGCTTGGCGGCGTGCTGGCTGCGGAGCATCTGGTTTCGCGCGTTGGCGTTGGCGGCCATGGCGGCCGCTTGCTGCTGCTGCTGGGGTTGCTGCTGTTGGGGTTGGAGCTGCTGGAGTTGCGCTTGAGGGGTCATTGGTGAGGAGCTTTGTTGCTGGAGCATGCGTTGGCCCATGACTGGGGTTGATCGCTGCTGCTGCTGCTGCTGCTGTTGAGCGGCTGAGAGCTGTGCCTGTAGTTGTTGTTGCTGCTGCTGCTGTTGTTGCTGTTGTTGCTGCTGTTGCTGGAGTTGCGCAAGCTGTGGGTTGTTGGCGGCAGCAGTGGCACTAGCAGCCTGCAACTGCTTTGCGTATTCTTTAATCTTCGCGGCACGAATAAGCGCCTGCTGCCCCTCAGGAGTATCGCGCCCAAACTGCTGCGCCTGACGCATGACGAGCTGGTAATTCTGCGACAGCTTCGCCATCTGCTCCTGGATCGTGAGTTGCTGGACGGACCCACCCGCTGCGCCGGGCGTGTTGACCGCCCCGGTCGCGGGCGAGCCGGCAGGACGGATCTGGACTGGTCTGTTCATCATTTGAGGGGTGAGACGTTGCTGCTGCTGCTGGAATTGCAGTTGCTGCTGTTGTGATTGCATGGTGGGGGTGGAGCCTTGGCCGCTGGGGAGTTGCGGGGAGGAGTCCTGGCCGTCGGCAGACATGGCGAGAGATAAGATGAGGGAGTTGAAGAAGAAGCAAGAATAGAAGCAATGAGCGATTGTGATGAGATTGAACGCGATATTCTGATTCGAAAGGAGAACCGCAGGGAACAAGGCTTAGTCTTTTGTTGTCGAAACAAACGCTTTCTGCTTTCTCCAATCGTCAAGCACACACTCTCAGCAAATACAGCAGCTCTTTCAAACAGAATTCTCTCAAAGAATCGATTGCAGCAGACCGGTTGCTGCTCTTCGTTGCTCGCGGTGTTTGCGGGCTTCGCGAAGTTGGATCTGTGGTGGAGTAGCTGGCTTCGGTGTCAGCCAGTGAATCACGTGAGGTCACGTGGATGACTACTTTACCTTCTCTGCTGGAACGAGATATTCGCGGTGTGTAGACGAATAGAATAGGAATAGATGACGGTGATAGAGCCTACGCCGGTTACTGTGTTTACGGGATTTGTGGGTATGTGTATAGACTGCAGGAAGAAGGACTGGAGCTGACTGTGGGACAGGAGCGGGCAAGACTACTCTCATCATATGTAAGTCGACCATGATATCTTGAAGGAGAAGGAGTTGCTAACCAGCTGCAGCGCTGTTGAAGAGACTTCCGAAGGATTACAAGGTTGCAATTCTCAAGAATGAGTACGGTGATGTGAAAGGTACTTCTCTTTTTTTCTTTCAGTAGAAGGTAGGCTAACAAGAACAGTCGATTCGGAGCTGGCAGCACAGAGCTCAGGGAACTTGGCTGGCGTGCAGGAGATGCTGAACGGGTGTCTGTGCTGTGTGATGACCGGCAAGATGCGTGACGCGATAGTCGAGATTCAAGAGAAATATTCGCCCGACCGGATCTTGATCGAGACCTCAGGCAGTGCGTTTCCGGCCGCGATCTCGATCCAGCTGCGGGAGCTTGCGCGCGAGCTGGGCGAGGAAGGCGAGGCGCGGATCAGGCTTGACGGGATCGTGAATGTGATTGATGTCGAGAACTTTGGCGGGTACGCGGACACGTCAAAGTCTGCGTCGCTGCAGGCGCAGTACACTGATCTGCTGGTGTTTAACAAGTGGGAGGACGTGAGCGAGCGGCAGTTTGATGTGGTCTGGGACCGGGTGAATGATTTGAATACCGACACGCCAAAGCTGAAGAGCGATCGGGGTGCGATTCCGTGGGAGGCTATTATGGGACTTGATTCGAAGCTCGGGTTGGCGGTGCTGGAGGATCATGACCACGACCATGACCATGACCATGGCGACGGGGGTGAGCATATGTCAGAGATCGAGACGTTGACGGTGAAGTTTGCAAAGACGGCAGGAGACGGAAGCGAGCTGGTCTCGTTTCTGGAGTATCTCGAGAAAGCGCCAAAGGACGAGATTTACCGGATGAAGTTCATCCTGCGCCTGTCTCCAAGCATGATCCCAGCCGAGCACTGCAGCACTACCCCGTCCTCATCAACTAACAGCACTTATATCCTGAACTGGGCGTTTGGAAGATACGAGTTCACCGAGATCGCAGAAGAGCGGGCGGCTGCGCTGATGAAGACCGACGCCCTGGCAGGACTCGGGACGGTGATGGTCGGGCGGGGCGACGGGCGGATGTTTAGAAAGCGGTTGAGTTCGGGTGTTTTGGGCAGCGATGTTTCTGTCGAGCTTTCTTAGACTTTCTTAGACTTTCTTAGACTTTCTTAGACTTTCTTAGAGTGTAGAGTAGTATATATCTATAATGAATACAGAATATAATAGCAGCAGTAGTTGATGTATTATCTAATCGCCTTATCGGGATCGAGCGGCTCAGACCTCGACTCCCACTTCACCACATTTCACATTTCACACTTCATCACGAGCAATTGGCAGCAAGATGAGCTTACTCTGGCAGACTATCACTGAGGTTTATCCTCCCGGGCCTACTTTGACTGAGAAGGATGTTCCGGATCTGTCTGGGAAGGTGTGTTGACTACTGCTGCTATTACTACTACTACTACTCATCACTAACAGCACAGACAGACATACCTCGTCACCGGCGGCACAGCAGGAATCGGCCTCGAGCTCGTGCGCATTCTCTTTTGGAAAAACGCAACCGTCTACATCGCCGCCCGCAGCGCCGACCTGTTCAAGCAAGCGAGCGAGGACATCATGGAGAACAGCGCCAAGTTCACGAAAGCGCCCGCGCTCGGCCGTCTCGAGCTCGTGCTTCTCGATCTCGCGGACCTGACGACGATCAAGCCCGCGGTCGAGGAGCTCAAGACGAAGATTGGCAGTTTGGATTCGGTGTGGTATAACGCGGGCGTGATGGAGCCGCCGGAGGGGTCGAAGACCGTGCAGGGATACGAGCTGCAATGGGGCGTCAACGTCGTCGGGCATTATGTGCTCAACCGGTATCTGACGCCGTTGATTGTCGAAGGCGCAAAGAAGAACGCGGACACGCCCGGAAGCACGCGGGTGATCTGGGTGGCTTCGGACGCAAACAACTTCTCGCCGGCGCCGGACGGGGTCAATTGGGATGATCCGAACTTTGAAAAGACAGAGGGAAGTCAGTTTTTGAAGTATTCACAGAGCAAGGCCGGTGATATCTTGCTTTCGAGGGAGATGGCTGATCAGATGAAGGAGAAGGACACTGGTGTTCTTAGCTTGGTGAGTCTACAGGCTACAGTGTCTGAACAGCAAGTCGTTGGCTAACATATGTGCAGTCTCTCAATCCAGGCCATCTCAAGTCGCAGCTGTTCCGCAGCATGCCTCCCTGGCGCCAGAAACTCGCCGTAAGTCCCCTCGTTTCTCTCTACTCGACACTCAGCTAACTCCTCCAGTCCGTCTTCTCGTTCGACCCCCGCCTGGGCGCACTCACCGAGATCTTCGCCGGCTTCTCGCCGCAGATCACGACCGAGCACAACGGCGCGTACTTTGTTCCGTGGGGCCGGTTTGGCTCGCCGAGAGGGACTATTGTCGAGGGCATTGAGAAGAGACAGACTGCGACGAGGCTGTGGGGTACGCTTGATAACGAGACGAGGATGTATTAGTTGTGCTTTGTATAAGTTGACTAGCTGGAATATGATATGGGGACCAGGTAGAGAGCCCTGATTATACACCACCGCGCACCACCACCACCACGCTCTTTCTTTCTCTGATTATTCTCTCTGCTGCTTATCAAACAGCAAACAAACACAATTGAGTCATAAAACTTGTAGAAACACAAAAACAGGCGGGAAGCAGTGCAGTGACTCATCGTGGAGGAGTTGCTCAGCTGTCAGCAGGTTTAGGGCTTGAATCTGAATATTTCTCGGAGTTTACATTTAAGAAGATATTCTGCTCTATTGTTGTTGCTGTTGTTGTTGTTGTGTTTAATGCAATTGTTATTGCATTCAACATTAATTGACATAATCCACACAGACAACGACCATGCAATCATCACCTCCTCTCCTCCTCAACCCACCCACTCCTCCCTACCCATCCACACCCCTCCGGCGCGCGCTGATAGAGAATGATCCGCAGTCATGGCATCTCTGTCTCGAGACCTGGCATACGCTCGCGACTTACTTCCGCGCTTTGAAGCCAGCGGACAGAGCAAAGGCGGTGCATTTCAGGAAGTTTCTCGCCTCGTTCGTCAGTGTTTCGCGCGACGACGACGATCTTGACCAGCAGCAGCCTGATGAGCAGAGCGAGGTGTTTTCTAGTCTGAAGAAGGATGTCTACTGGCTGCTTACAGACGAATACTCTCGCTCCTCGACCGTCTCCAACATCGACATGTTCTGGGGCTTCGTCGCGCTCTACATCCCGCACCACTCAGACCGCATCTGCACCCTCTTCGAGACCTTCACCAGCACGTCCGACCAGCTCCTGTCGCGGCTTCAAGAGTTTCTTCTCGATCGAGTGCGTCGGGGCGTGTTTAGGCTTGCGGAGTTGCATGCCGCGCAGTTGCTGCTCGCGAGACCGGCGGTCGCTGGTGTGTTTGGCGAGTTTGATCGGCCGTGGGTTAAAGGCCTGCGATCGATCGTCGGCGCTGCTACAAAATCTGATCCACCACCGCCTCCTCTCTCTTCCTCATCTTCCTCATCGACAACAGCAGCGGCAACACCGGCGGAAATCGCACTCAAGCTCGCATATCTCTCAATCATCTCCCTCGCGACGACAAACCCCGACGGCGCAGCTACGCTCCTCAAACGACTGCTGGCGCTGCTCCCTCCCCCCGCTGAAGTCCTGCCGGGCGAGATGCTGGTCGCGCTCGTGGTTCGGACGCGGCTGATTCCGCGGTTGCGCGGGTTGGGTGCAGTAGGAACGGGGTTGGAAGGGATCGTGGTCTCGCTTGAGACGGTGAGGTATCGACTTCCTGCTGGAGTCGAGAGGGATGTGAATAAGTATTTCCGACGGACCGCGCGACGGCGAGAGAAGAAGACGCAGCAGCAGCAGCAGTCTTCATCACAGGCCGCGAAGAAGGATGAAAAGAAAAAGGAGAAGCAGGCGCAGGATGACGCGTTACTCTCGGTATTGGACGAAGAAGACGCGGCAAAGGTGGTTGAGATCCGGCAGATCTTTGACGGCGTGCGGATACGCGACGCAATCACATTACTGGCTGAGCATGACAAGTCTGTTGAAGGGGTGATAGGGTATCTTGTTGACCATCCTGAGGTTTACACACGAGTCTCGTCAGAAGGTGAGAGTGAGAGCGAGAGCGATCGTGAAAAAGTGGCAGAGATTCAAGTCGACGACGAGGCAAAAGAAGAAGAGGAACTCGCGCGGCGACTTGACACTCTCGACTTTGAACCAGGCACGATCCATATCGGCAAACGGCCGGCGCTGGACGCGGACGCGATGCTGCATAGCACTGCGAGCGAGCGCGGGGATAAGCAAAAGATCTTTGACGCGCTCGCGCTGATTTACGACGAAGACGAGGCGGATGAGAGAGATGATACGTATGACGATCTTGATGCGGGTGTGGTTGATGATGAGGAAGGTGAGGGCCTTGTTTCGGAGGTTTTGAATCCGGAGCAGCAGCAGCGGCGGAAACAGCAACAGCAGCAGAGAGAGGAGGAAGATCCGAATGAGAAGATGCTGTGGGAGTTGTATTCGCGACAACTGGGCGCGTTCGAGACAAAGATGCGCGGGTCGAAGCAGAGAGCGGAGGTTAAGAGTGCGACGGGGTGGTCGGATGAGCAGGTTGAGGGGTGGGCGAAGATGTTGGCGCGGGATGTGAGTTTGTTCTTTTTTACTTTACTTTGGTTTGATGGTGGATATTAACTTGAAGCAGGGCAAAATGCGGAAACGGCTGGAGAATAAGTATATGTTTAAAGGGAATAAACCGCGTGAGGCACAGGCTACAGCATCGGACGACCCGTCTTCTTCCTCGGCGGCTACGTCGGGTGATGAGAATAATCATCAGCAGCCTCGCCGTCCACGGAACCCGCGGTCTGCTGGGGGCGGAGGTGGAGGAGGAGGAGGGAGAGGGGGAAGAGGAGGGCAGAAGAAGAGTGGGTTTGCGAGGGATAATCATAATCGCAAGGACGGGCGGACGAAAAAGATTCGGCAGGGAATCCCAGATGCATAGGAATGTGAATGATAGAATGTATTGTACAGATGCAGCTATTTACAGAGCGAATAGACAAAATGATAGTAAAGCTAAGACTTTTCGATATATACCCGTATCTTCTTCTCTTTCCCCGTGCAAACAAGAGAATCAACATCCACCCCGCGATCAACCGCAAGTTCACGATCCGTCATCACCTCGCCCGCCCACGCGGCCGCAAGTCTGCAACCACTATCCGAAGGCTGGCTGAATGCGACCTTGTCGCGCGGGAGAACGAGGCCGTAGATTGCGGACGCGCAGATGGCGTCGAGAAGAGCGCGGGCGATGCCGAGGCCGCGGCTGGAGTGGGCGGTGTAGATCCGGGAGATGCCGAGGACGGGGGTGGGAGGGGGGGATGAAGAGGATGAAGAGGAGGAGGAGAGGATGCGGCCTGAGGAGCAGGACATGAAGAGGCCGGAGGAGATGCGTTCGACGAGGGCGAGGCCTGTTATTGTTGCTGAGGAGGAGGATGATGAAGAAGACAAAGAAGAAGTAGATGGAGTAATGCAGACGTAGACGGCTGGTTGCGAGCGAGAAAAGAAATCCGCGATGCCTTCGTCGGGTGCAGATAGTTCAGCGTTACAGATCCTGAGCGCGGCGTCGAGCGCAGTCCTTGTCGAGCGCGGGAGGTCGCGGCTTCCGAGCTTGTGAATCGTAGCGTGGACGTTATTCTTAAGCACGACTTTGGCAACGCAGGTCGACGACGGCAGAGGAAGAGAGATGTCGACGCCCGAGAGGGCGCGGGCGTGGAATTTGTGGTGCGTGGCGCGGTCGTCGGGGGAGAGGGTGTCGTAGGACATGCCGCATGCGGAGCAGGTTTTGTGGTGGGGTTTGGAGGAGAGAGAGAGGTAGACCTGCGTCTTTTGCTTCTTCTTCGGGGGTTCTTGTTTGAGGGGCGAGGAGAGGCATGAGCGGGAGAAGGAGGAAGGAGGAGGAGGAGGAGGGAGGGGGAGGAGTTGATGAGCGGGGCGAGGGGAGGACGTTTGCGGGATTTGTAGGTGCGGGGGGTGTTCCTGCTGCTGTTGCTGCTACTATTGAAGTCCATTCTGCTGCTGCTGCTATGAAGCAGTAAGAGCAGTGAGAAGTGAAGAGAGTGAAGAAGTGAAGAGGACGCGAGACGCGTTGTTTACTTTTGTCAAAATAAGGGCCTTGTGTTGTAGGGTTTTGATATTGCTGAATCACTCTCTACTCCAAGTCTACTCAACTACAGCAAGAAGGAAGATGCCACCAAAGAAAGAGAAAGAGAAAGACAAAGGAGCGAAAGAAGGACCAGCGCAGGAAGAAGCGCGGGTGCTGGAATACATGCGCCTGCAGAACCGACCGTACTCTGCAACCGACGTGTTCCAGAACCTGCACGGGAGTATTTCGCGGCCGAACGTGAACCGCGCGCTAGCCGCGTTGGAGCAGAGGGGCGAGTTGGAAGGGAAGACGTACGGGAAGCAGGTTGTGTATGTTGCGAAGCAGGAGGAGGGGGAGGGGGAGGGGGAGGGGAGGGAGGGGAGGAGGCGGGGAGTGAGGAGAGCGAGAGGGAGAGGGTGGAGGGGATGAAGGAGGAGGTGGACGCGTTGGTGAGGAAGGCGGCGGGATTGCGACGAGGTGGGCTGCTGCTGCTTTATGAGCAATAGAAGAGGTGAAGAAAGGAGAAGAGAAGAGTGAAGAGAAGGCTGATGCGGTTTAGGACTTGCGGAGATCCAAAAGACACCGACGACCACCGCGTTGAAGACGCGTGAATCCGAGCTGGACGAGCTAGTATCTCTTCTATTCTCTTATTTTTGCTGTTTTCTGTCTGTGTGTGTCTGTGATAACTTACAACTCGAAAGATCGAAAAAGAGTCGCGTCGACTAGACCTGCTCAAGGCTGCAGCAGCGACAGGACCGGCGATGTCGAGCGCGCAGGTGAGCAAGTTGCGCGCTGATCTTGAGAAGATGCGGAACGAGCGAATGAAGCGTCGGAAGATGGTATCGTTGCTGTAACTATTGAAAAGCATTGAGAGAAGTGTGGAGTATTGACTGAATAGTTTTATGCGGTCTGGGATGTTTTACGGGAAAACCTCGAAACGACTGCGCTTTGGGTGAGTTGGGTTACTGTTTATCTGAGCTCAACTGACACTTTTAGGTGTTTAGGACGACCTCGGGCTCGAACAGGAACCGTCAGTACAATAGCTGACATTGCCTTGCTGCTTGCTGTATTATAAGTAGCTACATTACAAACACCTTACTAATAAATATTACATAATCATTACATAATCAACCCCAGCCCTAACCAGCACGCCTTCCGCTCGGATTCCCAGAAATTGAGCCGTTCTCCAGCTCAGCTTGGACGAAGCGCGGATCTGATCTGATTGAGAGAGAATTAAGAGATTGTTTGTGTTATAAGGACTGCTATTGCTGTTATTGTCTACAGGATATAAGTCTTTTATTGATTTGGTCAGGAATAATGCTGCAGTCGCAAGCGCAGGGCAGCGGGGCTGCGTTTTTAGAGTCATCGCGGAGTCCTCCGAGCAAGAGTGAGTTGATCAGCCGATTATACACAGAAGAGAAGGTGATGATACTGATGCTAATGATATCTTATAGACCTCTCTCATGTTCCCTGCAAGTTCTTCAGACAGGGAACGTGTCAGGCAGGCGCGACCTGTCCGTTCTCGCACTCGATGGATTCGCAGCTCGAGCAGGCGCCGTGCAAGTATTTCCAGAAGGTCAGTTGATTTGATCCTCTCTTGTTCTTCTTTTGTACTTCTTGTTGACATGTTTCTTGTGTATTTTTCAGGGAAACTGCAAGTTTGGAGCAAAGTGTGCGCTCGCTCATATCCTTCCCGACGGCAGGCGCGTGAACCACCGGCAACTCAACGCGAGTGGACTTCAACAGCAACAGCAGCAGCAGCAACAACAACAGCAACAGCAGCAGCAGCAGCAGCAGCAGCAGCAACCACTACAGCTCGGCACGCGCAACACTGTGCTGCGCGAGAACGCGTTCGGCGCAAACGGTCCGTCTGCGCTGGCCCGCTCGCTGCACGCCGCGGCCGCCAACTCGACTTCAAACAACAGCAGCAGCACGGCAGTCGCCGCCGCCCGTCCGATCCCGATCGGAAACGAAGAGTTCGCGACGTCGCCCCCCTCGGACTCGTTCCTGGGCTCATCCGCGCGGACGCTGGGCCCGCTTGATGCGCCACTGCCTGCGTCGCTTGATTCGAACGGGCTCGGGTTTCTTGCGCGGCACGGGCCGATAGCGGCGTCGGTGCCTGCGCAGACGAACTTGAGTTCGTCGAGTAATGCGTTGAGGAATCTGTATATGTCTGCGTATGGGAACGCGGAGACGCACGAGGGTGGGAGTGCGTCGACGTCGCTTTCGTCGTCGTTTAAGACGGGGAGGTTTGGTGAGGAATCGCCTTTTGCGTCGGCGAGTTATGGACAGCCTACGATGATGTCTATTCTGCAGCCTCAATCGACTTATCAGCAGCAACAACCACAACAGCAGCAGCAGCAGCAACAACAACAACAACCACAGCAATATCAAGGAAGCAGCAGAGTTATTGGATCAGGGCGGCGGTATGTGTCGTCGTCGTTCCCAGCGCGGTCTTCGATCTGGCGGGAGCCGGATGAGGAGGTGTTGACGGTGCCGGTGCCGTTTGCGACGACAGGACACAACAGTCAGGGCAGCAACGGGATCAACATCAGCAGCTCGGCGAGTAACAGTATAAACATCATGAACAGCAGCAGCAGTATAAATATGATGAACAGCAGCAGCTTTGGGAACGGGATCGGGATCAGTAGCAGCCATCACAGCGTGCACAATTTCAGCAGCAGTATCGGCGGCGGGCGGGAGGAGGTGGAGGAGGAAGAAGCGGAGGATGATGTGTTTGAGGAGGATTTCGTGCCGGGCTCGTTGACGGAGCTGCTGACGCCGCAGGAGAGACAGCGGCGGGGATCGTCGTCTGCGAGCGGGCGGTTTGCGGGCGGAGCAGAGTTTGGGAGCAGTCCTGGGAGTAGGCTCGGGCAGTTGTTTGCGAATGGGGGGAATCAGAATGGAGGGAGCGGGACGAGTAGCGCTAGTAGTAGCGTGAATGCGATTAATGCGATGGGGATGAGCGGTAATCAAGAAGGGGCGATAGGCTCGCCGTTGCGGTACGGGGGTAGTGGTGATCTGATTACGAGCGGGACGTCGCCGAGGGTAGTTTCGGGGCTTGGATCGCGGACGCCGAGTGGGCGACGACTGAGCGGGCTTGTGATTGACGAGGAAGGACCGGAGGAGTTTGGCGGGTTCCGGCATCTTTCGCGGACAGAGTATTTGGGTGCGGTGGGGAGGGGACGGCATGTTGCTGTGAGCAGTGCGGCAGGGAGTGGGAGTGGGAGTGGGAGTGGGAGTGTGGTGGGGTCGACGGAGGGGACGCCTACGCGGAGGGTGGTGCAGGGAGGAGGAGGAGCGGGGACGGTGGATGAGGAGACGCAGTTTGTGATGGATGAGGAGGGGGGGAGTGGAGGAGGGAGGAGTGAAGAGACGAGTGGAGGGGAGGTTGGGTTGGAGGGTGGATTGGGAGGGTTAGTGTTGAGTCGGTAGTTGGTTCTGGTTGATTGATTGAATAGTTTGATTATTGCGATGCGATTGTTTTTGTGTTTATAGTTATAGTTAATAGGTATAGTCAAGGAAATGATATTATTACAACGACAAGTTCACGAAAGTAGCCAAGAAAGAGAGATAATAGTACACGAGGGATAGTAGGAAGTAGGAAGTAGGAAGTAACAAGGACGATTACACCAAAAGACAGATACAAGGATAAAGAGACAAGCAACGCAGAGATAGAATACAGCGAGCCGAACCAACCAACCGACCGAACAAGAACCCGATAGAAAGAGAAAAGAGAAAAGAGAGAAAAGAGAGAAAAGAGAGAAAAGAGAAGAGACAAAATATTAGTGCTCTTGGAGAAGACTAGGGCTAAGAGAGGATCAGGCCATCCCCGACATACTGGCAGCTTCGAGCAAGGCATTCATGTTCTTCAACTGCCCGTTAGTAGGAGTAGAAGGCTGCTGCTGCTGCTGCTGCTGCTGCTGCTGCTCGATCTGCACCTGCTGCTCGATCTGAACGTGTTGTTGCTGCTGCAGCTGGTCGTCGGCAAACCTCAGCGGGGGCAAGACCAAGCTCGAGTCGATCTCGGGGAAGGAGTTGCGTCTCGGCACACGCTGGGGATATTGATTTAGCATCGGCTGCTGAGGAGGGAGATGAAGAGCCTGTGAAGACAGATACTGGTACTGCTGCTGCTGGTAGTGGTGTAGCAGAGGGGTTTGCGGGCGGCGGAAAGGCACGCCGGAGGAAGGGTAGTGCAGCGGGGGCAGTTGGCCAGGTGTGGAGGCCGAGGTCGGGGCGGTGGAGGCGGCTTCTTCGTAGGCGGGCGAGACGGGGGATGCGTAGGAGCGAGCGGCGGAGGCAGCCGACGAGCGAGGGACAGGGGAGGGCAGGGCGAAGAGCGGCGATGTCGGGGTGAGGGAGGGGGTGTGGAGGAAGGAGGACATGGCGGGGGATATCGGGGGCGAGGAGGAGGAGGGGCAGGGCGCTGAGGGGAGCGGGAGAAGCGCGAGCTGGGCGGGACGGTGCTGGTTCGGGCGGAAACGGGGGGGAGGAGCAGCGAAAGCGAAGGAGGAGGGGGGTGGGTGGGGATGGGGGTCGGTGGTGGAGGGGGAGGAGTAGCGGTGGTCGTAGTCGAAGGGGAGGGGGGCGGAGAGGGGGGCAGCGAGGAAGTGGGAGGAGGGGATGTCCGCGATGGAGGAGACTGTTGCTGTAGAGGAGGAAGTGTTGTTGTTGTTGTTGTTGTTGTTGTTGTTCGAAGTGGAGGTGTTGTTGATAGAAGAGCTGCTGGCAGTCTCATTGCTAACCTCCACCTTCCCACTCCCCCCCTCGTTCGCATGCACAGTCTGCGCGTGCTGTCTGAGATTGTCCAGCCGCGAGAACGCACGATTGCAATGACACCTGAACGGACGCTCGCCGGTGTGTTTGCGGATATGGCGAGCGAGATGCTCGGAGCGGGTGAAGGTCATCTTGCAGTCGCCGTGGCCGGAGCATTGGAACACTTTTGGCGGACGGGATTTCGAGCGGCGGGTGGACATGTTGATGAGAGTATAAGGATATAACAATAAGAATAGTAATAGAAGAAGAAGAAGAAGAAGAAGAGGAAGAGAAGAAGAGGAACAGATATAAGAAAGCGAACAACGACCAGGCTGCCTTGTTGGGCACTGAACGAGGGTCAGGGTTGGATTCACGTGCTCAGTCACAACCACCGTAAGATACTACTACTATTGCATATCATCTACATATATCTTATATACATACAATACAGACAATACAATACAATACAATACAGAGCATACAGACACACAGCTCATGGACCCCTCCGCCTTCCCCTTCCCCGTCTCCGGCCGCGTCATCTCCGCCCTCAACCTCCTCCCCTACGAGCTCTACTCCTCTTCCCCAGACTCACCCACCCCCCTCGCCGTCCGCCATCGTCGCGGCAACTCTGCTCTTTATTCCGCTCTTTCCTGTCTCGACCGCTCGGCCTGGGACTCGGTCCTTGTCGCCTGGACCGGCGAGATCGTCGGCTACGACGACCGCGTCCAGGCCGTCCTCTCGTCCACCTCCCGCACAAAGCACTCCTCTGATCCCATCCTCAATGACTTTCGTCTTTCTCCCGCTGATGAGAAGACTGCTACCGAGCTCCTCGAATCCGCTGCTGCTGATTCCGGCTCGAAAATAGCCCCCGTCTTTCTCTACGGTGGAGATCAGTCGAGATGGCGATCATACGCCGAGCAGGGTATGTCTGATCCTCTCCCTTCCACCATCATCTACTAACTCTCTCTCTCTCTCTCTCTCTCCAGTCCTCTGGCCCCTCCTCCACTACATCCTCGGCGAACCCTCCGACGGCATCGAAGAGAAAAAATCCTGGCTCGACTACGTCAAATTCAACGAAGCCTTCGCCGACCGCATCGTCGAAATCTACCGTCCCGGCGACGTCATCTGGGTCCACGACTACCACCTCCTCCTCCTCCCCCAGATCCTCCGCCAGCGCCTCCCAAAAGCCTACATCGGCTCTTTCCTCCACGCCCCTTTCCCGTCCTCCGAGTACTTCCGCTACCTCACCCGCAGATCCGAGCTGCTCGAGGGCATGCTCGGCTCGAATATGGTCGCCTTCCAATCTCTTTCCTACGCCCGCCACTTTATCTCCTCCTGCTCCCGTCTGCTTGGGTTCGAGTCGACCGCGACGACAGTAGACGCGTTTGGCGCCCGCGTCTCCGTCAACGTCTTCCCGATCGGTATCGACGCCGCCCGCGTCGAGCGCGACATGCAAACCCCCGCCGTCCTCGACAACATGCACGCCATCCGCGAGCTCTACCCGGGCAAGAAGATTATCGTCGGTCGCGACAGACTCGACTCTGTGCGGGGTGTTATGCAGAAACTGCAGGCGTTTGAGATATTCTGCCAGATGTATCCTGAAAAGGTTGAGAACGTGGTGTTGATCCAGATCACGTCGCCCGCCTACGCAAACTCGGCCAAGATCGAGCGCAAGGTGTCGGAGCTGATTGCGCATATCAACGGCACCTACGGCATGCTGCATTTCACACCCGTCCAGCACTATCCCCAGCAGATTGCCAGAGACGAGTACTTTGCGCTGCTGCGCGTCGCCGATCTCGCGCTCATCACCTCCGTCCGCGACGGCATGAACACGACCTCGCTCGAGTTTGTCGTCTGCCAGCGGGACTCCCACGCCCCCGTCATTCTCTCCGAGTTCACCGGCACCGCTGGCTCACTGTCCGACGCAATCACAGTCAACCCCTGGGACTCAGTCGGCGTCGCGAAAGCAATCTACGACGCCCTCTTCGTAATGAGCGACGACAGCAAAGCTTCGCTCGAGCGCAAACTCTACGACCACGTCACCACGCACAACGTCGAGACCTGGGTCGCGCACTACCTCACCGCGCTCATGGGCGTGATCGAGTCCGACAGCAACTCAAGCACGACCCCCGTGCTCGACTCGCCGCGCATGTACGCGGCCTGCAACGCCGCGCAGGACTGTCGCGTGTTTATGTTTGACTACGACGGCACACTGACGCCGATCGTGCGCGATCCGGCGGCGGCAGTTCCCCACCCGCGCGTGCTGCATATGCTCGAGACGTTGGCTGCCGATCCGAAGAATAAAGTGTGGATTATCTCTGGGCGCGACCAGACGTTTTTAGACAGATATCTCGGCGCGCGGATTCCACGGCTCGGACTATCTGCCGAGCACGGCTGCTTCATGAAACCGATCGGGGCAAAGGACTGGGTCAATCTAACAGAGAAAGCAGACATGTCGTGGATGAAGGACGTGATTGAGATATTCCAGTACTACACCGAGCGCACGCAGGGCGCCTTCATCGAGCGTAAACGAGCGGCCGTGACGTGGCATTACCGGCGCGCGGACCCCGAGTACGGCGCGTTCCAGGCGCGCGAGTGTTTGAACCATCTCGAAAACACGGTGACGCAGAAATACGACGTCGAGGTGATGCGCGGCAAGGCGAATCTGGAAGTCCGTCCGCGGTTCGTAAACAAGGGTGAGATTGCGAAGCAGTTGGTGCGCGAGTACACTTCTGCATCTACCACGGGCTCCGCACCCGAGTTTGTGCTGTGCATGGGCGACGACTCGACGGACGAGGATATGTTTCGGGCGCTGAGGAAGTTTGAGGGGTTGGATCAGGACAAGACGTTTACGGTCACGGTCGGGCCGAGTAATAAGCGGACGACGGCGGCGTGGCATTTGTTGGATCCGTATGAGGTTGCGAAAGCGGTCGGGGCGTTGGTGGGGATTACTGATATTAAAGAGGAGATGGGGTCGTCTTTGTAGTCACTGACAATGAGCTGGTCTTTTGATTCATCTTTACATATCGTCTTATACATAACATCGTCTTATACATACAATCAACAATCAAATTGGGAATTACCGATATCAAAGAGGAGATAGGGTCGTCTTTGTAACTGTCATTGAGCAGGATGAGCTTTAGTCTTTTGATTCATCTCTTATACATATCATCATCTTATACATAACAATCAAAAATCAAATCTATCTAATCATACACCACATTCAACCTGACTGTCATAATCCAGCCATCGCACCAGACTCAAACCATTTAATCCAACAACTGCACATAATTACTAGGACAGATCCCCACCTCCCCATTCGCCCTTCTCGCCTGCCACCACCGCCCACTGACGTCGCTAATCTCAAGCACTTCCCCTTTAACAAACGAGATCTCGTTCGCGTCCTCCGGGTTCGCGTCGTATGAGTATATCGCGCGCGCACGCAGAGGGTATTCTGTCGGCGTGTCGAGCGGTTCCATCAGATCGCTCGGTGCGCGGGTTGTGTTTCCGCCTGTAGACTGCACGACGAGAAGGTGTTGCTGCTGCTGCTGCTGCTGCTGCTGCTGCTGCTGGAGCTGCTGTAGCTGTGAAAGCGGCTGCTGCTGCTGCTGCTGCTGCTGGTACGTCAGACTGCGCATCGGCTCGCGCATGCTAGCGGTCTCGAACCCAGAGAGCTGCGCGGACGTGTACATCTGGTTCGCAGACTGCTGGTGCGGCGGCGCAGGCGGCGGGACAGGGCGCGGGGAGTACCCGCTCTGCATCTGCAGGCGCGAGGGGGGTTTGCTGTACATCTGCATGCCGGCTTGTCCTCCCAGACCAGCCTGCGCGTGGGCGGAGGGGTTTGTGCTGAAGTTTGAGTGCGAGCGGTGGGTGCCTGCTTGTGCTGCGACGCCGGCAGAAGAGGAGGACGGGTTCTGGAAGGCGGGGTCGCGGGATAACGCGTAGGAGTCGACGAATGCGTGGACAGGCGCGTCGGGGGTGGTTCCAAAGTAAAACACCCAGATGATGTTTATAATCGAGAGCAAGATGCAGCCAGCCGCTGCCGCCGCGTCGGCCGCGCGGCCGGTGTAGACGAGGTTGTTTGTCGAGTTTGTGGAGTAGACGATCGCGGCGGCGGAGAAGCCTACTGCCGCGAGCCGGTAGGTGTCGAACGCGGACGGGGAGGGCAGGCAGAAGATGTAGGTGACGAAGAGGATGAGGAGGAATTGGTAGGCGAGGCCCCACCAGGAGAACTGGGGGTATGAGCCGGATACGTCGGCGGAGACGGAGCTGGCGAAGGAGATGACCCAGCCGATCTGTGGTGCTGTGTTAGTAAGAGGAGAGAGGGGGGGGAAGGGGAAGGGGGGACGTACGATGGCGACGGAGGTGGTTGCGAGGGCGAAGGGGTCGCCGAGGATGAGGCCGATGTCGAAGTGGGAGTGTTGGCGACGGGGAGGAGAGGCAGCGGGAGTCGCTGGTAGTTGAGACTGGTCCATTGTGTTGTTGTTGTGCTGTGAAGAGAAGGGGTGGTGGTGAAGATGAAGAGGTGGTGGTGGTGAAGTGAAGAGTGAAGTGGTGAAGTGTCGAATACCAAACCGATGTTCTTCAGATAAGTTGTTGTTCCTGTTCTCTTATTGTATTCTTCTTCCTCTTCTTCTTCTCTTATTCTTCTCTTATTCTTATTGTATCCTTCTCTTATTGTATCTTCTTCTTGTATTCTCTTAATGCATTCTCAAAGTGCCCCTGTTTAAAATAAAAGTCAAAACTCCCGTTTCATCTGCCGCAGCTCTGCTCTGCTTACTGCTCTGCTTACTACTTCTTACTACTACATCTACAACATTTATATATAAACAAAATACATTAATCAAATACACTACCACTCAGTACACAATAATCCTCTCCACCACTTCACTCACTCAGACAGATTTACATGTACTGCGGATCATGCCACGGGCCCGCGTCCGAGAGCTCGCATCCGCCTTCGCACTCGCACTGCCCGCCGAATTTCTTGGGCAGGTTCTCGCTCGGGACCTGCTTCAGAAGCTCGGACTGGTAGCTCGACGACAGGATGAAGATCTTTTGCACAGTCACCGGGTCGAGGAGCGGACGGATCAGTCTGAAGGCGGTCGAGAAGCCGAAGGGGGCGTTGATCATGTAGAATTTGCTAGTTTTGTTATTAGTCTCTTCTTCTCTGATTATGATAAAATAAAGATAACTCACCCCATACGCTCCGGATAGTAGTTCTGGCCGATAACAGAAGCCTCGCGGACGTACTGGTAAACCTGGTTGATGCTCGAGATGCCCACGCCCTTGAGATCCATAATCGTGCACGACGTCTCAATCAACACGCCTGCTTTTCGCGAGCACGCAGCCTACCAGGAGTTAGTCTCCTTCCATCTCTTTATAATAATAAGAGGAACTTACAAGTCGCTTCGACGTAAAGGTCTCGTACTCCCACACAAGGTTCTGCAGCATCCGCTCGAACGTGGTAATCTTGTACATCTCCGTCAAGTTAACCGCGCCCAACTGCTCGATATACACCGGTCGTCCTTCCTATACTCTTGTTAGTCCCCTTTTCTTCTATCTCTCTCTTTCACTCTGTAGAAGGTAGAAGGCTACTCACCACATCAGTCTTGTGGTAGTACTGCGGATAGTACTTTGACACAAGCGGCTTCTCGTCGTAATGAAAGTTGGCAACAATATCATCGACCTTGAACTCCTCGCGCCACTTTTCGCACGCAAGAAACATCTCCTTTGCTTTCGGCACATCAAACTTACGTGCTCGTAGGAATCGCAACTGCTCTTGTTAGCCCCCTTCCTCTTTTATTACAAGTGCAGATAGTATACAGAGACATACAAGAGAAGGGTCGTCAAGGCGCTCGGTGCAGCCCGCCGACTTGAGCTCGTTCCGCAGCATCCCGACCTTGGCCTGTTGCTCGGCTGACACGTTGCCTGGGAATCCAGACGGCGCGTCGGGGCCACAGGACTCCGGGATAGGAAGCGATTGGGTAGGTCTGTTTGTTTTATTAGTACTTGTGTGCTGTAGCAGTCAGATATAGACACGTACGTTTCCTCCTGTGTTGCTGTTAGCATTATCCTCATATAAATAGAATAAAGTACTCTCACTCACCGACATGATTATCCTCTTCTACTAATTGTTGATGTTGATATGGTGACGACGCGTCAAATCAGCTTCCTTCTCTTTTCAAAAAACGGCAATTATTCAGATGCAGCACTAGTTCTCAAGACTATGTACACCTCGACAATTGTTCGATTGCTTGATTGATGCTTATTTCCAAGATAAAAGAAACAAGAGAAAGAGAATTGGGTGGGTTATTCTACCTGTTGTTGTTAGCTTCTTCTTCTCTTCTTCTCTTCCTCCTTCTTTTCTATCTTATATCAATAATCCCTCCTTATTCTCCTCCTCTTCTTCTCCTCCTCCTCCTCCTCCTCTCCCTACACTCTCCCCAACAACAAAGAAGCAGCACTCACCGTTCTGGTCGATACGCAACAAAACATCTGCGCACCTTCCGCCGCTCCTTGCAAATCCCTCCCCAGCGGCGCAGCCAGTCCGAAACCTTATTCAAATCTCTGACTAAGTGATTATGTACTCTAATTACTAATGTTTTCATAATATAATTACTAATATATTATTAACATATTTTACTAACACTTATAAACAACACTACGCGTAATATCGCGGCTCGTCAAAGACATGGTATCGATGCCCACGAACACCATCCCCCCTAAACACAGCCGGATACCTCAACCCCTCCGCCACCTGCTCCTCCGGCACGCGCTCGTTCGTCGACGCAGGCTCGACGCCCACCACAAACTTGCCCGTCTGGATCTCGGTATCGGTAATCGTACCTCTGCTCACGCGCGCATACGCAACCCGCTTGATCTTCTTGTACAAAATGTACTCGCACCACCGGTCCCAGTCGCTCGGATCAATGTCCGACATCCCCGTGTACTCGCTCACGTACGTGTTGTAATTGCCCTCCAGCGGCTTCGTCACCAGGTAACTCAGCAGAATCGTCGGGTTCTCGCTCTTCGCCATGATCTCGCTCACCCCCGCCGTCTGCAGCCGCCGGTCCTCGACGTCCTCCTCCTGCCCGCTGTGAAACACAACAACGTCAATCATCTCCCCGTACACATCCAGCGTCGCGTGGATCGCCGGCGCAAGCTCGCCCACCGGCGACGGAAGCAAATGGTGCGTCGACTTCACAATCGGGAACTTGGACAGCAACGCCGCGCCCCACGTGTGCCGGTTCGGTCCGGGCCCAAAGTCAACGTACATCCCCAGGTCCTCCGCAATCTGCTGCGTGACGTCCCGGTTGCCCATAATAATCCGCTGCGTGTCCGACTCAAGCAGTCCCACCACGTCCAGCTCCAGCTCCGCAATCGCGTCCCGCATCCGCACCTCGCTCGCCCACATGTCGTTGTCGAGTCCAAAGTGGATCGTCCAGATCCCGACAGTCATCAGCTTCTCTTCGGGGTGGTACGGCTGCGGCGCGGGTTTATCCGTTCGCCGCCACGCAACAACTACCGTCAGCACCGAAATCGCCGTCAAAAAGATCGCAGCCATCGCCCGCACTTTGAAAAAGCTCACGCTCTTCGTCTTCTTCCCCGGCGCAAACACTCCCGTGCTGCTGGACGTCACCGCCTGCGCCTTCTTCGCGCCATACACGCCCAGCCCAATCATCGCCATCGAGACCGTGACCAAGATATCAGTCCGCTCGCGCAGCAACGGGCCACCCGGCACAAACGCGTACGCAACAACCCACACATGGCCCAGCACAATCAAATCGTACAGCAAGAATCCGACCCCAAACGTCCGCCCCGCCGGATGAATCGACGCAGACTCAAACAGCACCGGCACAATCGCAATCAAGTACGTCGCCAGCACAAGTCCGCCAAAGTACCCGAACCACCCGTCAAACTTGTACAGCACAAACGCGCCCGCACTGCCGACCGCAAACGCAGGCCACGACGCAAGTGTACTGCTCTTGCCCGTCACTCCCACGTACGCGCCCACCACCATCGCCAGAATCGTCACCGCGCCGTACGGAACAGGAAGAGGCCCAGTCAGCGGGTACCCGTCCCACACCCAGTAAATCATCGTGCTCGAGTCCGAAAGCAGCGAGTGCATCGAAAACAGCAAGCCCGCAAGTCCGCAACTAGCAAAGATAAAACTACCCCGCTTGCTCGCCGACACGGCCTCGCTCGACCCTCGCTGCGGCCGCGTCGTCAACAGAGCCGCAACCACACCAACGACAAGCCCGCTCTTGTTCCACCCGCCGTTGGCGTCGTGCATAATCGGCCAGATCGGGTTGTTGGCGTAAAACGCAAACTTGGCGAGAACAGAGCCGATGAAGCCGATCGAGAACGCAGTCGCTTTCGTCAGGCTCAGGAACGGCCGCGCAGTCACGTTGTGGAACTGCATCGCGAGCGAAATGCTCGCAAACATGCACGCCGCAGAAACCGTAAGCAGTCTGTCGCTCGGGCCGGGAACGAGGTACGCCGCGATGCCGACGACCGTGCCGAGCTGCGACAGCTGCGGGAAGCGCGCAAATAGAGGCGTCAGAAAAGGCAGGCCGAGCAGGAACGGCGAGATCGTCGACAGCAAAGTGACTTCGTAGCCGGAAATTCCCATGTACCACAGCGGGAAGTACCAGATCAGAAGGCCGAGCGAGGTCAGGACCGACCAAAACACAAACGAGTTGTACACGTCAACCGCGAATGTGAACAGCGTGCCGAAGCTGAATCCGGTCAAAAGACCGGTGTCTTTCACGCGAAGTTCCACGCCGCTGCAAGTCTATTAGCATGTGCCGTTTCTCTTTCAAGCATGAATGTACATACCGAGACGAAGATGAAGAAGAAGAAGGAACCGCGCTAGATTATGAAAAAAGACATCTATTAATACATTATGTACATCAAAAACAAATACAGAAACTCCAAAACCAACACTCCTTTTATGTTTTTGCTATTAGACAGGAAATGTTGGTACGTACCCATTCGTGATTCCGTTCATATCTACGACTCTGATCTCCAGCGCGCCGAAATCAAACGCAGTAGCAGCATCGAACGCGACGTCAAAGAAAATCAGCGACCATTCGAAGAAAGCGTAGATCGTGTAGGCTGCATGATTTATTAGTCAACTGCTCAATTATAAGAAGGGGGGAGAAGGGAGAAGTACCTCCGGCGACGTGGTTGACTTTATGCTGGATAAAGTAGTACACGAGCGGGACAATCATGACAAAGAACGAGATACCAAAGATCTTTCTGTACTTGAGCGCCTTCGAGCCCGGACGTGAGAGCAGGATGCCGCCGACGGTCCATGGGAGTGTCAGCAGCATGTACGCAATCATGAAGATATCGTGCCAGTCATGGTCGTCAGTTGAGGTGATGTAGACTGTGGATGTTAGTTGGGTGTATTTTAGTGTATGTGAAGATGGCGATACGCACCCCATCCACCGCAGGTGAGAGTGCGGAGTAAACCGACGGCGACGTGGGCTCGAGGGCCCCAGGAGCCGGGTTTGTTGTAGAGCAGGTAGGTCAAGAAGACAAGGGCGAATCTCGGACCTGCGTAGCGTGTTAGTATGATATATTCTTCAATCAATTGACGAATTGTAAAGCAAGAAAGGGAAGAGGTACCAGCAGTGACGGCGATGAATAGCTGGAAGATGCTGCGTTCGGGGTATCGATCGCCGATGGCAGCCGAAACGGAGGGGAACCTGAGTTATCTCAATCAGAACCACTTGATCAGATCAACAGCAAAATAGCACAAGAATATACACACCATTCGTCGGGAAACCCGTAGTATTCATTACGCACAATCTTCTCGAAATGGAGCGCCATTCCGACCACCAGCGCACTAATAAAGGCATCTGTTTGCGTATCGTCAGCACAGCTCAATTCAAGCAAACGCACTCAATTCAAACACAGAAAGAGACTACTAACATCCTGCAAACACCGTATGCGCATAAGACACCCATTTTCCACTGACCTGAACAACACCTGTTAGTCTCTCTCTCTATCTCATCATCATCTCTGCCGCTCAGCACCGGTCAACCTACAGAGGCAATCACTGTCCCGGGCTTTGCCCTCTTCTCAGCAACAGCCGACATGACAGAACAGAGACGAACGAGTGGCTGTGGAATGGAAGTGAATTGCTGTTGAAAGACAATGAACAGAAGAGAGGAAGAGAGCAAAGGGGCCGGTTATCGTTGACCTCGGCTGCGATTGGGTTTGTTACCCGGCTTGAATGACTTGACTACTACTCCAGATATCTCTGATATAGCGACTTTATATCAATTGTGCATCCGCAATGGACGAACTGGACAGAAAATACATGAGCTTAGCCCTGGAGCAGGCAGACAAGTGCATAGGCACCCCCACCGCCTTCTGCGTCGGTGCCGTCATCGTCCTTCCGCGCAACTCAGACGGCAACTCCACCTCCGAGGGTGAGCCCGCTTCTTCTACCTCTTCTTCCAATTCACACACTCTCTAACGACAGCAGCTATTTCTCGATAACAGACATCGTACTCTCAACCGGCTACTCCCGCGAACTTCCCGGAAACACCCACGCCGAGCAATGCGCTCTCGAAAAACTCACTTCCTCCTCCTCTCTGCCCCCGCCGAGATCAGCAGTCATCTACACGACAATGGAACCCTGCAGCGAGCGCCTGAGCGGAAACCTGCCCTGCGCGGACCGCATAATCGACGCCGGAATATTCAAGTGCGTGAAAGTGGGCGTGCTCGAACCGGATACCTTCGTCAAGCATAACGTCGGTAGGGAAAAGTTGCTGGCCGCTGGGATCGAGTATGTTCATGTTCCGGGGTTTGAGCAGCGGTGTTTGGAGATTGCCGAGAGAGGACATTGAGCTTGTTCTCGTGTCTGGTTTTGTATATATACTATCTTCTTATTCAATCTGATTCAATCTGTTCAATCTGGATCCAAATAATGTACAAACAAACAACGAAATCACAATCCCTACTCTGAAAGAAAACCATTACTCAACCCCCATTTTTTGGTTCATCCTCTTTCTCTTCAAGAAACTATACAATACTACTCCTTCTTTCCCGCCTGCTGCTGCTGCGCAGCTCGTTCCCGCTCTCGTCGCCTTCGCTGTTTCGATTCGTATTCATGCCATTCTCCAAGATCACCAAGCCTATATATCCTCTCATTAGTACTTCGCTCTACTCCATGCTTCTTAGAAGAAGAGAAACTCACATATCAGGCCGCACAGGCTTTGGCTCTTCGTGCGCAAAATAATCGTGCTCTAACGCTTTCTCGGCTGATGGCCTATTAGCGGGATTCAGTGATAGCAGTTGCATCGCTAGTTCAAGGCCGCATGGCGGAAGAAGACTGCAAAACATAATCAGCACCACCCTCGCACTTCAGAATCTGCAATAGAACTCACCTCTCAAACATCGACTTGAACCGACTCGCCTTCTCCTCCGGCGGCTTCACCAGCTCATACCAAGGCAGCTTGTCCATATCTGGCCAGCTCTCTTTCGTCGGCGTGCCCATCACTGAATATATCGCCTCCAACTGCTCGATCTCGTCATGGCCTTGAAACACAGCGCTCCGCGTGTACAGCTCGACCATCAGGCACCCGGCACCCCACACATCCACCGCTGCGCCATACGCCGTCGCGCCAAGCAGCAGTTCAGGGGGGCGGTACCACAGCGTGATCACCCGGTTCGTGTACTCGAGCGTCGACTTGTGCTTGTTGTAAAACCGCGCCAGGCCGAAATCCGCAAGCTTCAGATCCCCGCTACTGCTAATCAGAATATTCGAGCCCTTGATGTCCCGGTGCAGAATCCCGCGCTTGTGCAAGTACGCCAGACCTTCGAGGAGCTGCTTGTGCAGATGCTTGATGTGGCTTTGCTCGAGCTTGAAGCTTGGGTGCGTCAGAATCCCGGTTAGGTCGTGGTCAACGTACTCGAATACCATGTAAACCTGTGCCTTCTCAACCATAATCTCAAGCAACGCCACCACATTCTCGTGCCTCACAGACTGAAGCAACTTGATCTCTCGCAGCGCAGTGATCGGGAACCCGTCGCGTTCGGATTCCATCCGGATACGCTTCAACGCCACTCGCTCCTTCGTGATCTGGTTGATCGCTTTGTATACCTTGCCGTACGTGCCTTCGCCAACTTGCGATTGCCGCTCATAAATCGATCCAACCTGTTCCTGCATCTTGGGCGCAGGAGCAACACTCGCTGCTGCTGCTGCTGCTGCTGCTGCTGATCTGTCTTCCTTATGCCGCTCATCTTGCCTCCTGTCACGATCATTCTGCCGCTGACGATCGCGGGAACTGGACCGCTTAGACTGTGCACGACTCCGTGAATCTGAAACTGGGATCTCGTTTGCCGACATCGTCGCAGTCGCATCACCACGATCGTGCTCGCGCCCGCGCTCAGCATCCTCACGGGTACTATACTCGGCATCCGCGCTATCCCACTGTCCTGCTCGCTGACGATCGCGCCCCTGGAAACTCTTGTGTTTCTGCTCTTGTCGTGAGGGTTGCGCAGATTGATTGTACTCCCGCGCCGGACGAGCGGTGCCAGATGATGTGGATACCTGACGTCCTGGTAATCGCGACGCGAGACCGCGCTCTTTCTTGTTGGGGAATTTAAAGTACATCTTTGGACCCGACGACGGTCTGGCAGCCGATGCCGTAGACGCAGATGCAGACGCAGACGATTTCTCTCTTTTCTCCTTTCCCTCTTCTCCCCTCACATCTGCATCAATCATGCTACTACTCCCGTGACCCGCATCCTCAAATCCAGGACCTGCGTACGGAACCGGCGGCACATCGCGCGGATCAGGCATGTTTGGGAGCATCGGCGCGGCAGTCGAAACCAGCGGACTATTCTCGGCCGACACTGAACTGCTTCGTCTTCTCAAGCTTGTATCCGACGGCGGCACGATATCAGGCCCGAACCGCGACCGCCTCTTGCGCAACGATGAGCTTGCTGGCTGTTGCTGCGACTGCTGCTGTTGTTGTTGTGTCGGTGGCGAGGATGCGTAGTCGTATTGTGGCTGCTGTGCGTATGACGAGGACGAGGGAGTTCGTGAGCTGCGGTAGTGCGATGGCTCGCGAGCAGGGGGTAGTGGGGTTGCTTCGGGCGGTGGCGGGTGGTAGTCCTCGTAGGCTGCTGTGTCGTCCATCGGAGGCCCTCTTGCCCGCGGCGGATATCCACGGGCATGGCTTTCGGAGGAGGAATAATATGGCGGCTGGTGCGGTGCGGGTGAAACGATATGTGGTGGTGGGGCATGTGGATCTGGAGAAAAATGGCTTCTGGAAGCTGTGCTCTCTGATGGGTATATCGGCGGCGGATGGCTGCTGGAGTATGGGTAGTCGCTGTCGTTTCTGTCGATCGCTGGTGGACGTGGCGGCCGGCCGCTTGCGTTGCTGCTGCTGCTGCTGCCATTTCGAGAGTGTGGGTGGCGGGCGTCAGACGGATATTGTGATCGGTCGTCGTAGTATGGTGCGGGTGCAGCTGCTGATCTGTAGGATTCGTGCTTGTCGTACTTGACGGTCGTGGTGTGACTATACTCGGACGACTCCTCAAAGACACCGATCCGCGCCTGCAGGCTCTGCTGGTGTTCGTATCTGTGACTTCCAGGCCGATGCTCAGACGCGACAATGGATCCCGCACGCGCTGCCCACTCTTCGTCCTTGGAGATATATCCCCTGCCGCTGGTCTCGTTTGTTTTGCTTTTGCCGTGCCTATTACTGCCCTGGTATCCCTCCGCGTCGATCGTGTTTGTAGTTCTGCTGCTGCGCGCGTCGTGAGCGCTCAACCTCCGCTGCTCGTTGCGGTCGCTGTATCCTCCCCGATCGGACCTGCCGCCTCTATTGCCACCACCCGCGTGTTTCCCATGGTATTTTTGCTGTCCTCCTCCAGGGGTAGTCGTCGAATCGTCAAACGGAGGTCTAAACCGTCCTCGTTGAAAATTCTGAGAATGGCGCGCATGCTTGGATGGCGTGGGGTGATGTGTTGATGAGGGGGAGGACTCTGGTGCGGGCTGGAAGTCGCGGTGCGCAGGTCCGCGGTGATTGATCACGGCAGCATGGTTATTCTTCCGACGATGGTGGCCGTGGCTGTTGTTCAGGTCGGCGGCGCCAGGCCCGTCGTCGTCTTCTGGCTTTCGTCGCTTGTGTGAGGTCGTTGTGCTGCTTGACATCCCGATCTGTTGTTGAGGGTGGTCGAAGGGCGTGCGGCCTGGACGGTGGATGAAGAGTCGGATGACGACAAGAGCGCAGTGAATGAATAAATCAGGGTAAAAAAAATATTCTGAAAAAAGAAGAATCAAAAGCTGTGAAGTCCTTCAGTGGAATCGACGGTGAATTCCAAACGGTCGAAAATATTTCTGCTCCTCGACCGCGCAAAGCCAGTAGCGAATGATGGTGCAGGTGCCGACGACGCTGGTGAGGATGGTGAAAATGAAGACAGTCCGCCTGCGGTGTTTGTGAAAGTGCCAGTCTTGGAGAAACCACACATGTGTGATCTCAACCCAGAGCAAAAAAGCGAGTAGTCACAGCGATCACGTTCACGTTCGACCTGGCCCTGGCCTAGACTATCAACGAGAAGAGAGGACGGCGAGGGAAGAGAAGAAAAGAGGGCCGAGTGATCTCTCTCCGCTTGTGACAAACACGAGGTCTCTTGAGCACCACAGACTACCTCCGACAAGAGAAGAGGCTGTGAGAAGAAATCAAGTGGGTTGAGCTGAGCGGGCAAGCCACGATTGAGTCTTCTTGCTCTTGTTTTCGGGGATGCGAGGGCGGAGGGTGAAGCAGAGGAAGAGGCGGGGTGGTGGTGGTCTGGATAACGATGGCGGTGAGAGTTGACTTTGCGGAATTAAAAAAATAAAAATAAAAATAAAAATAAAAGTCAACTCCTGACAACTGCTCATCTGCTACGACTTCTTTATCTCTTCTTTATCTTTTATTTTCATCTTTATTCTATTCTTCTTCAATAAACAACATCACTAATCTCTACACTAATGCATATCGACCAGACATACGCTCACCGAAGAAGAATATAAGCATACACGGTCCCTCGCTAGTAAAATATAGAAAAATATTGAAACAAAACGAAACTTGAAATCAGATTATAATATAACAAGAAGCATCAGCTCACAAACACAGACACAAAGCACTGCAAATTCATAAAAAATATTTATCCGCTTATGTGTTCATGTAGGTCGCGGGGTCAACTCCCTCCTCTGGGAAAGGCGCAATGTTGACCTCAAATCGCTCCTGGATCTTATCCAACACCTCCGCGTCTTCCTTCGAGCTAACAAACGAGATAGCAAGACCCTTGGTGCCGAATCGTCCGGCTCTACCGACTCGGTGAAGGTAAGAATCCGCACTGCAAACACTAATTAGCATTGACTCTCATTAAGAAAAATAATGATCCACTTACTCAGACGGCAGATCGTAGTTGATAGCCAAGTTAATGCGCTCAATATCGATACCACGACCAAACACATCAGTCGCGACACAGATTCGCTTGTTGAACTCCTTAAACTCCTTGAATCGCGCAATTCGCTCTTCCTGCGGCATACCAGAATGCACCGCAATACTGGGGAAGTTGCAGTCCACAAGCAGCTTATTAAGCTGGTTCGCACGGACAGTCGACTTCACAAAGATAATAACCTGGTTGAACTCCAATGTATCCAGGAGATCGTTCAGCTTGCGGTTCTTCTCCTGCTCCTCCAGCTTGAGATAGTACTGCTGCAGACCGTGAAGCGTGAGCTTCGTCTCGTCGTCAACGTAGATCTCCAGCGGGTTCTGCATGAACTTCTTGCAGATCGGTCGGATCTCCTGGCTAAGAGTGGCCGAAAACATCATCACCTGCTTCTGATGGGGCGTCGCGCGGAAGATCTCCTGAACATCACGACGCATATCAGTCGTGTCAAGCATCTTGTCGCACTCATCAAGAACAAACACCTTCACATTGTTCAAACGCAAGTACTTGTCACGCACAAGCGCGTTCAATCGTCCAGGCGTAGCAACAATAATATGAGGACTCGTCTCCTTGTTCTTAATCACCTCAACATCTTTCATGATGCTCGTACCTCCAAAGAAAACAGCCGTTCGCACCTCCGGCATGTACTTTGAGAATCGAGAGTACTCGTTCTTGATCTGGTACGCCAGCTCACGAGTGTGGCACATCACAACAACGGAAACTTCGCCCGGAACTGGATCGAGCTGCTGAAGCGTCGACAACACAAACACGGCCGTCTTACCGAGACCGGACTTGGCCTGGCACAAAACATCGGTTCCGAGAATAGACTGGGGAATACAGACTTGCTGGACTAATAATATATAACAATGCGTGTCAGAATTCTTCTTCTCTCTTTCAAAAAGCGTCATCGTGTTGAAGAGAGGCGGTTAGGTTGTGCTGCCTGTTCTGCTTTGCCGTGCGTAAATTTCGTCCTGCTAGCCGCGATCCAAAAGGGAAAATTGGTGTGCAACATCGCACTCCCAAGAGATAACAATAACAGTGTACTGCATCCCCAGATCAACTACTGATAGATGATCGAACACTGATTGACTCCAAAATTACAAAAAGGACAATCATAAGAGACTGAAGGCTGAATGCAACATCCTCAAAGGACACACAACATGTACTCAGCGCAGGTCCCGATCGAGCACGCGAACAATATCTGGTTTCACGAGGCATGACGCCAGGTAGCCCCAAAATTCGATAGGCAAACATGATCGCAAAATGCAGTGAAGCACTCTCCCCCTTCATGCAGTTCAAGACATGCGCAGTTGCAATAATTTGACAATCAAAGCGGCATATCGAGGATCAGTCGCTGAGATCGATCAGTAAATCATTTTTCGAGAAAATCAAATGATCTACCACGCAATCCTCTTCTCTTCCCACTAATTGCATGATATAACGCCTTAAACTAGCGGCAGAAACTAGCGCAAATAGAGAACCTTCTACTCATGATAGGAGGAAGCGGATGAATGCGCCGGTGGCAGTGGCGAAGGTACGCAGGGCATAGCAGGATAGAAAGGCACAACCAAGCCGTTCTTCAACACGACGACGAAAATGGATGATGGATGGATAAAACACAACTAACCCTCAGAAGGATGCTCAAAGCCGCAGTCAACGATGGCACGAAGTAATTCGGGCTTGAGCAAGAAGTCGCGGAAACCGGTCGAGTGGATTCCAACGTATGATCCCTTCTTGTCACCGTTCTCTTCCTTGGAGTCGGTGGCAGCGGCGGTGGTGGACGCAGCAGTGGTGGGGGCGACGGGGGCGACGTCCTCGCTGTCGGAGTAGTCGAGAAGCTCTTCTTCGCCGTTCTCAGCCATTGTTTTCGGATTGATTAAGTCGGGATGGGGATGGGAGTGGTAGGGTGGTTGTTGTTTGATATGATTTGCTGCGTTGAGTCGAGTAAATCCGGGAGCTGATCGTACAAAAGAGCGATCCGATCACGAGAGTATTCGAGTGCTTATTGCGGCAAATATAAAATATCGAGAGAGTGTCTAGAACTGATTAGTGAACAGGCGCTCTGGTGGTTCAACGAGGAAGGGGGGCAGCGGTGGAGAAGAGTGGCAGCGGCGGAGCGAGGAGAAACTGAGCCGTGCTGACGGATACGCGCACGTGCCGAGATATTTAAGGTTTGGTACAAACAGCACGATGCTGACACTGCGATGAGCCCAAACATGAAATTTCAATTGCTCCCAGATCATAACCCATCATAACCCACAGAGAAGGAAAATGCAGCGATAGCAGCACTGTACATAATGGCTAAACAGGAGCAGAGGAAGACGCAGAAAGCTATTGGAAAGCCACAGGCGCCAGTCAAGAACCGGGATCAGTATCTCCGCGCGTCGTTCCTGTACCAAGCCGCGGTCTTGATGGCCTCGAGCGCGGACGCCAATCCAGAGGTGTCGACGAAAGCGACTGCTGCTACTGCGCCGCTTAGTCGACTTTATGCGAGCCAGATGCGCGCCGTGGCTCAGAAGAGTGTGCTAAAATTGTAAGTATTTGTGCGAGCGAAGTAATGTTGCAGAGTGCTGATGAAGACTTTTACATGCTACCAGAGATCCGAGTATCAAGCGCACAATATGCAAACGCTGCGATTCAGTGCTGATACCGGGAAGTACACTTAGCGTTCATGTGGAGAATCTGTCTAAAAAGGCAGTGCCTCATGCTGATGTCTTGGTTCATACATGCAAGGTGTGCGGAGGGCAGAAGAGATACCCGGTCGGCCAGAACCGCGAACACGTCCTCTTTACAGATCGCGAAGATATAGTCAGCAAGTCGTCATGATGATGAGAACTGTGTATTTTATTGTATATATATGAGCTGGTAATATATTCTGTATATATAATGCTTTGCGCGCACCTTTATAATGCAACCGCGCGAATTATTTTCACGTCCTCGATCGGTCGGTCGGCGGCGCCAGTACGCACCAGACCCATTCGCTGAATAACTTTCATGCCCTCGCTCACCCTTCCAAAGATAGTGTGTTTTCCATCTAACCAATCCGTCGGCGCGAGCGTGATGAAGAACTACAAAGAGCAGAGTCAGTGCAAGATTTCACCAGAATGCTGTTCTATAAGATAGTAATAGTCACCTGCGAGCCATTCGTATTGGGACCGCTGTTTGCCATACTGAGAATTCCGGCGCCAGTGTGCTTCAACTCGTGATGAATCTCGTCCTCGAACTTCTCGCCGAAAATAGACGAACCGCCGCGGCCGGTACCGGTAGGATCACCGCCTTGGATCATGAAGTCCTAGTAAGAGTTAGGTTGACTGCCTATGTAATGGAGGCATAAATCTAGGTAGGGCAAAACACATACCGGAATGATTCTGTGAAACTATCCCAAATCATTTGCAGTTAGTCCCTGAGAATGATCAAAAGAATAACAATAGACGCTTACGATTGTGCCGTTGTAGTAACCGCGACGCGCCTACATTTCGGTTTTGATCGTCAGTATACCACTCCATATCTATACGGTTTATGCAGTACATATCCTACCAGCTCATAAAAGTTCTTGCATGTCTATTATTAAGAATCGTTAGCAGCAGCACCAGACAGACTGTATTTGCAGAAGAAGACGTACCTTTGGCGCGTGAGAATAGTATAGCTCGAGCGTCACATTGCCCTGCACGGTGGTCAACAACACTGATCCTAACAAGTCCACAACTTCAACAGCATAATACACACCATTGTGGTCTCCAGAACGACATTCCCACTCATTTTGTAGCTTGTTGATTGCAACCTGTTTCGAGAAGTTCGCTATTGTTCACTTTCCTCGAGATGCCTACTTTCGATCCCCTTACCCAAAAGCTTCAAGCCCTAGCCCTCTACGAGGTTAAAAAAAAGCAGCGCGGTCTTTTTCTTTCCTTCTCTCTTCAGTCCACTGGAGTCCCCCTCAAGAGCTGTATTCTTTTCACTTCTTTCTTCTTTCTTCATTATGCCGACTTGCTTATTCTACGGGTTGAGATTACTGTGCAAGCAGGAGTGGAGATCCGCGGAAGAGCGAGGAGGTTGAGGAGAGAGGGAAAAAGCGAAGAGAAAATGATGGCTCGATACGAGGAGGGCACATGAGTGGTGAGAGCAAACTGATCGAGGTGTATCTCCGCATTGGATTCCCTTAGGGGGAGTTGAAGCATGCGGTCGAACCCATTGAGAAATTTACGTTGTTGAGGGCCTGTTTCAGAGACGATTGTGAGGTAGAGGCATATTCGGAAGGAAGTGGTGTCAAAGGATATGTGTATATATGTCTCATCTGTGCCTAATTGATATGAAATAATACAGAGACGTCAAAAGACAAGTAGACGACAGCTCCGAGCGGTCTGAATCAGCAACTGAATCAGCAGCTGAATCAGCAACACGAGTGGCCAGCTCACCATGTTCGATTTTAGGATGAATACTTTTAGCTGCATGCATGCACATACATCAATCGCATGCAGAACAAGCAATTCCGCGACAATTACGTCCGAGAGCCATGCTTTATCGACGTTGACTCTTTGACCGCGCAGGCGGCTTGGCCAAGCGTGGCTGCGGTACGTGTGAGCGGAGAGACTGACTGTGTGTAATCTTATTTGATCAGAGGATGGAGTATGACTGAGTGATATCCGGATAGTTGGACGAGACAAAGTTTAGCTACGCCGTCCGTCTTACTCGTCCTGCTAGCATTAATCATAGAGGACAGGAAATCGTGATCGTTACTTATCGGCCGAGATGTAGGCCGTGGCCGTCTGGAAAATCAATGTAGAACTTGTTTAGCATAGCGTTTGGCTGGGTGGTATTAGCGCACAGTACCGGCTTTGCAGGGCTTGAAGTATGGGTTGACTGTTATTCGACGGCTGGCATAGATCTGATACTCAACACCTCTGACTGTAGTAAAGGAAGGAGGAAGAGAAGTAGGAAGAAATGAGCCTTGAGCGTGGATCCCGACCCGTGTCCCCGGGACGAGGAAGCAGATCGCCAGAGAAGGTTCGTCCATGGACTATGCGGTAGTAGTCAAATTCTTAGCTCCCCCTGCCAGAAAATTCGAATTTCCTTCGTTCGATAGCGCATGTAAGCCTAGTCTCTACGAATTGATCGCCCGGAGCTATTGAAAGACTCAGAGATCTGGGTCGGGGGCGGAACAAGCGGATGCCGTCATCGACTTCTATGCGGTATTCCACGGTTCTCGGGTGGGGAACGAGGAGATAGAAGTGACAGATCTAGAAAAACGGGCAAGGAAGGGGAAAAGTCTGTTGACGCTAGCTCGACTGAGAAGATCTTTGGAATTCTCCAGACGTTCGAGATGGGATTATGGAAGGAAGGGAAGAAACCAGGAGACAGACTGTTGGTACGAGTTTAGTTTTAGGCAGGAACGGCGATAGTAGCCGGTCGTTATTGTTTGCTGTCATTATCGACCATTTCACTCTTCTTCTGAGACACGGCAGCGGTGACAATCCGTTTGTCCTGGTCCAAGCAAAAATTAAAGGCGGATGGAGTTTACTGAACCGTATCGAATCGACATTTCTACGAGCCGAGGTAATGTGGAGGATTGGGAGCCTGCGGGATGGAACAGCAGCGTGCAGCAGCCTGCAGACACAAATCATCTCTACCATTGAATGCAACATCACAAGAAGCAAGCTGAATTACACTGGTAGACAGTTATATTTCTCATCCTCTCAGCTTCCGGATGGGCCCTGAATTAGGCGTTGCCTGTCATTCAATTTCATTCATTTAAGAAGCAGATTCTCAACTCGTGCACGAACCCCGATACTTGAGTGCAGCCAACTCAACTCATTCGTCGTCCCGCCGCGGGTCGTGCGCCTCTTTTTCAAATTTTCTAAGATTTGACTTTTCACTTTTCCCGTTGCTGATGTTCCGTGCGCTGTTTTGCGCTCTGTTTTTGACGCAAGGGAACGAGGGCAGAGGGCCAGATGATGCAGCCACGGTTTTCATTTTAAGTAATTTGTTCCTGCTAGGGGGCTTAGTTGACAGCGGCCACAGACCAATTAAAGCGGTCTGGTCTGTCATTGCCGATGTATACAAGATTAGAGAACCGCAAGTGGGGGTTGACCTTGAACTCGACGACGACTCCGACACCCGGGGGGGGGGGGGGGGAACGGCGGCACAAATAGCTATGTGGGACACGAGAAAGAAGATTTCGCAGTGGAGGCAGCTTCGAGTAGCAACCACTCTGCAAACGAAACTGAATGATGATTGAACAAAGAACTGGAAAAATCTAGTCTCGTGGTCTTAACATAATCGTGCTTGCTGCACTGCACCGCCCACCTCAAGTCGCATATGAGAAGCAGGAAGTGGGTCAAAGCACATGCCCTCTGGGTTTCACCATTTGCAGCAGAGAGTAGGTAAGAGCAGGTAGCGTGCTTCACGCGACACCAAATTACGCAGAGAGCAGAAGAGATTCGAGTGTGAAATGAGTCTTGCGAATAACTTTTCTGATGCTTACTGAGTCTGCTAGTCGGACCTTCGCGAACGAAGACCACAACATCTGACAATTCAGAGTCACTTCACAGCATCTTCAAAACTCGACAGAGATGAGATGGATCTCGCATCAAGAATAAAACAGAGATTGGCGCAGTCTAGATAAAGAGAAACGATTACCGACGCCAGAGGACATGTTATAAACACGAATGATCATGGCCACTTCTCTATTACTCGAATATTAAAGCTTCTTCCCGCTCTCTTCCTCCCCTTTTCACGAGAGTTTCCTCTCTCAATGACAAAGGCCGAAATAAGAGACGGAGCGTGCTTTGGAGAGCCGTTCTGATACGGTATTGTAGATGTGCTGGATATATGGATGTAGGCTGAAGCTTTCGGAGCCTCTTCGGCGCGGGAGAAATCCTCCGTTCTCGTGTATTTCGTCTCGTCTGGAGGCGACCACGGGACACCTGTCTGTATGTAGGAAGAGATGACGGCCATTATCTGCGTCAATTCTCGTTCTGAATGACTGTGTCATGTCAGATAAATGTATTTGTTTGCATGGGTTGTACTTGTAGATTACAACACTTTCACGACTGTTTCTGCAGCTACAGGACCGGACCGATAAGATAAGAAAATGACTTTAAAGATTGACGAGCAAATTATCGAACTGGGACCTTAGGCCCTTAAGTCCTCTCGACCAATTTTTTCCTACTGCGCTATAACACTATCAGACCATGGACTCATTCAGTGACAGAGTAGAATAGAAAGACACACCGTTGAGTATCAACCAGGGGCGATCTACGTATTGAAGCTGTGTGTGATGAACCCTTTAACTCTTGGCAGGGCGCGCTAGGCGTCTTATGAAGGAATGACAATAGAACAAGAGCTCCGTGCAATTGAGCGTACAGAAGATGAATGTGAAGGCAAGCGATACGGGAAATTCATTAGATGGTTAATTAGATGGTTAATTAAAGAAATGACTGTCAAAGGAAAGGATAGGAAGACAGGAAACTGGGTAGAGATACGGTCTGGCTTCCCAGTAGGGCTTTAGTGAGTTTGACGAGCGGGGAGCCTGCGTATTATCACGTACATTCGATTCTCTTTGTTCTTTGTGTCCGTTTATGCAGAATAAATGAGATATTGTCTCAGATAAAATGGGCAGCTATGAATTCACTTCCTCTGGCATACTCGGTCTCGAAGCAGATCAAAGACACCAATTTAATAGACCGAAAGCTGGCAGCTATATTTGTATTCATCTCACTCCAGTTTCAGAAAAGGATACCCTTCAACTCTCTTTCTTTCAGCTACTCAATGCCGTTGTCACTGCTGATGCTGATGCTGGTGCTGGCTGAGTGGGCTTCAAAGACTCGACACAGATACGATATGCTTCTGATCACACGACACGGCGCGACGAAAATAAACTTGAGCTAAAAGCTTGACGACATGACATGGCCGCGCAACGAGACGAAACGAAACGAAGAGACGAGAACAGAAGAGGCCAGAAAAAACGAAAAGTCAAAGCCAAAAACAAAAATTAGAAATGCAAAATGAGAAATAAGAGACAGAAATGAAACGAACGACGTTGAGTAGCTGCATAATCATACATGCCGCTTGCATTTACACAATTTACGCGGGATATGCTCTCTTTGCTATCGCCCTTCTTCATCTCAAGTTATCTCAAGATACCTACCTGCGTGCTGTTTACATCCTCAGTGTGATTAAGCTACAATACTAGCCACTTTCCTCGTTCTCCATGGATGAAAGCAGCTTAGTTTGAGGTATGTGATACCTCTATCTGCTGGTCTACTGTGGTAAAACGAGAGACAGCCATTCGGCAGCGTCAAAAAACTTAGCCGGGCCAGGGCAGGGCGGCCGTCGCGGCAGGAGTCTGAGCAGCTTCATGCAGCAGCTGCATTGTGTCGTATCAGATGGTACTGCTTTATGCGACACTTTCCCTTTCCCTTTCTCTATCAAAAGCTGAGAATTGTTATAAATACAGAGTCAGAGATCAAAGAGATAACCGCCAGACTACAAAAATACAAATCTAGAACAATGGTCGAGAGTGAGGTCACAAATCCCAATCAAGGACGAGAACACAGCTGCACTTGGCCGTTCGGCAGTCTAACTTAAAATCAAAAACAAAAACCTGATTCGAGGGCCACCGGCAGCAGCAGCAGCAGAGCCTCGTATTGCTGCTGCTGACGCAAGAATAAGCTATGTCTTGTTTAGTCCAGTCTGGGATGGTCTAGTTCGCGTGCGTGCGTTTGTACCTGGTTTATTATATCGGTTAATCCTGTTTGCATTGT